TATATTATATAATATAATAATATATAATATATATAATAATATAATATAATATAATATAATATAATAAATATATATAATATATTAATATACATATTATATATATATAATTTATATATTATATAATATAAATAATAATATAATAATATAATATATAATATATTATAATATATATTATAATATATAATATATTTAATATAATATAATATAATATATATATATTATATATTATAATATATATATTATATTATATATATAATATAATATATATGTATAATTATAGTATTACAATTGTATGGTAGTTATAATAAATAATAATAATATAATTAATATAATATATAATTATATATTTATTTAGAAATATATTGTTATAATAATAAACCTATATATATATATATATATATATATGTTATATATATGTATATGTAATATACATAATTATAAACATATAATTATGTAATATATATATATAATATGTAATTCTAGATATATAATATATAATAAACAGATATATATAGATTTATAATACACTATATATATATATATATATATATATATATATATAATACCAAACATATAATTATATAATCATGGAATATATTATAAAAATATTATTTTTAGAATACATTTTAGATTTAACTCATTGGGTTCTTTCATAATACATTTTATTCTTTTTTGAATATATCTATCTATTTATGTAATATACTATAATTATATCATTATATATTAGAAAAAAAAAATTTAAATACATTTTAGATTTAACATGTTGAATTTTTTGGAATACATTTTAGCTTGTTGCATTACTATTGGGTTGCTGTGAGTTTCCCGGGCTGTCTGGCCATGTTTCAGAAGCATTATCTCCTGATGTTTCACCCACATCTATGGCAGGCTACTTCAGAGATTGTGAGGTCTTCTGGAAACTAGGCAAGCGGGGTTTATATATCTGTGGAATGATGTCCAGGGTGGGAGAAAGAAAGAACTCTTATCTGTGGGAGGCAAGTGTGAATGTTGCCATTGGCCAGCTTGATTAGCACTGAATGGCCTTGCAGCTGCAAAGTCAATCACTGAGGGTATCTACATAGAGGTCTGTTGGAAATGAGGCAATAAGACTCTCTCTATATGTGTGTGTGTGTAATAATGTCCAGGATGGGAGAAAGAACTCTTCTCTGTTGGAGGCAATGCAAATGTTACAACTGGCCACCTTGATTAGCATTTAATTCCTTTGCAGCTTCAAAGACTGGCTGCTTCCTGCCTAGGGAAATCCTTTGTTGGGAGGTGTTAGCTAGCCTTGATTGAAAGACAAGAGTTGGATATTATTCCACAGGTATATAAACCTCACTTGCCTCGTTTCCAACAAACCACACAACCTCTGAGGATGCCTGCCATAGATGTGGGCGAAATGTCAGGAGAGAATGCATCTGGAACATGGCCAAACAGCCTGGAAAACAGCTGTAGTACAGTAGAGTCTCGCTTATCCGAGTTTCGCTTATCTGACATTCCGTCTTATCTGGCGCTCTTATCCAACACCCCCTTCTCCTCCAGCATTTCCCCTTTAATTAAAGGAGCGCTCCCCTACTCTCTCTCCATTCCCAATAAGTGAAGAAGACAAGACAAGAAAGAGTAGGAGGGAGGAAAGAGGCAGGACTGGAAGCGGAAGCATCCTTCCTCCTTCCCTCTATGATTTCCACGCTCCTCTTCCGCATCCGGACACTTCCTGCTGCACCGCTCTAGCACCAAGGCGTCACCTTGCCTTAATCCTTTCAGTCCCTATTGTTAATTAGTATTCTAGGTGTCTAGCGCCATGTCAGATGGGTAATAGGCAGAGACTCCGTATTATCTGACACTTTCGTTTATCCAACATTCTGCTGGCATGTTTATGTCGGATAAGCGAGACTCTACTGTATTTCTGTAAAGCTTGCAGCCACTACATAGTCATATTCTATTATTTTTCATGCTGGGACTCTAGAGCAGCTGATTATCACTACTTATATACTTACTGTATATACTTGAGCATAACCCTAGTTTTTCAGCCCCTTTTTTAGGCTGAAAAAGCTCCCCTCGGCTTATACTCGAGTCAAGGTTATTTATTATTTTACTCTATTATTATTATATTTACATTATTTTGCTCTATTATTATTATTACATTTACAGTGTTTTACCCTATTATTATTACATTTATTATTTTAATCTTATTGTTATTATTATTATTACATTTACAGTATTTTACCCTATTATTATTTATTATTTTAATCTATTTATTATTATTATTATTATTACATTTACTGTATGTTACGCTATTATTACTACATTTATTATTGTACTCTATTACTGTTTTTATTGCATTTTCATTATTTTACTCTATTATTTTTATTATATATATTATTTTAATAATAAGCACATTTACATTGAAGGAGGTTAGAATAATGGTTTAATAAGAATTGGGCAGTCATATCTTGAATTACGGTTTTATGTAAATATTCAGAAATATTTAGCCTATTGATGCCTCAGTTAATGTAATTTTATTGGTATCTATTTTTATTTTGAAATTGACCCATAGTGGATGTATTTCCCACCCTCGGCTTATACTCGAGTCAATATGTTTTCCCAGTTTTTTTGTGATAAAATTAGGCTTATATTTGGGTCAGCTTATACTCGAGTATATACGGTATATTCTAGAGGAGGGGTCATCAAACTTTTTAAGCAGAGGGCCAGGTCACAGTTCCTCAAACTGTTGGAGGGCCAGATTATAATTTGAAAAAAAAAACAACAACCATGAATGAATTGCTATGCACACTGCACATATCTCATTTGTAGTGCATAAAACACAAAACCATACAATAATTAAAATGAAGAACAATTTTAGCAAATATTAACTTATTAGTAGTATTTCAATGGGAAGTGTGGACCTGCTTTTGGCTGATGAGATAGGATTGTTGTTGTGTGTGATTTCAAGTTGTTTCAGACTTAAGTTGACTCTGATCGAGGGCCGGGTAAATGAACTTGGAGGGCCGTATCCGGCCCCCGGGCCTTAGTTTGAGGACCCCTGTTCTAGAGCACTGATTATCGTATTACTACTACAACTACTACTACTAATAGTAATAATAATAATGAAAAATGTGTCAGCAGTGCCTGCCCTTCTGTCAATAGGAAAGTGGCCTTTGTTGACCTGATGGGGATGGCGGCCCTGAGTCAGATCCCTGAGAGGCTCAGCATCCCCTGCTTCTCATTCTTCTGGGTAGAGAGTGCCAGGACTCCCAGAGGAACGACTCCAGGCCTTGCCAGTTCTCTTCTAGGGAACTGGGAAGCTCCCTCTTCCTGACCCCTTTCCCATCCCATGAAGGAAGGGAAGAGCACAGAGGCTAAATTGGCCTGGACTGGGTCGACTTTTCTCTTATTGTCAGAAGTTGAGGAGAGACTGTGGCATCGCTTTTCTATCCCTAAAGGATTCCCTGGGATGCCCACCCTTCCGTTTCCTTAAACCCCCCACTGTGCACCAACTATGGTATCTGTGGTCGTTACTCTGGTCGTTACTCTGCACTCTTTGGTGTCGTCCCCTCGCCACCGTCTGCACCTTCCTAGGTGTGCAACCCATCTTAAAGCCTCCCTGACCAGGTCCTGATCCAGGAGCAAATGACCCCAAAGCCAACAAAAGAACACAGCCCTTCCCTGAAAGGAAATCAAGAAGTCTACTTCCAAAATAAAATGGGGGTTGGATTGAGGGGAAGGGGGTGAATGAAGGACAATTTAGAGGCAGTTTTGTGAGCCCGTTCTTTGTGCTGCGTAGCGCAAAACAGAAATTGCATTTCCCTGCTGACCAGATGTCCCAGCGTGCAATCAGTGGCATCCAGGCGAGGGTCCATGCAAATTGTGGCGGGGAGGAAGGGAGAGGTTTGTCCTGGTCTTGGTGGAGTTGTGCATGCAATTCCCCCCCACCCCACCCCTCAGCCCTCCCCCCAGAGGGGCATGTTGGGAAGCAAGAAGCTTAGAGCAAGCAAAGGTTTCGGCGGTTGCATCTCTCACCCTGTGGGAGACGGCTTCCGCCAAAACGGAATAACTTTTCTTTCCAGTTGGGCCCCCTGCCTTCTTTTCCTTTTTTAAAAGATTGTTTCTTCCTGGTTTGGCTCTTTTTAATTTTTGTTACCTTCCAAAAAAAAGCTAAGGCTCCAAATCACCACTGGCTATTTTCCGGCCCTGGTTAGTTGTGATCAGAGAGAGTTGTCACTTTAGTACAAAACCCTACATCAGGCATTGGCAAACTTTGGCCCTCCAGGTGTTTTGAACTTTAACTCCCACAATTCCTAACTGCCGGCAGTTAGGAATTGTGGGAGTTGAAGTCCAAAACACGTGGAGGGCCAAAGTTTGGCCATGCCCGCCCTATATCCTGTCTTCTCTCTCTCTTCCTTTGTTTAAAAACACAAACAAAAGTCACATGTCAGGGATGCAGTAAAGGTAAACAGGTGGCCTCCAGGTGAGGTAGGTTAGATAGACGTGGCCTGAATAGAACTGGGGCAGAATGKGGGGTAGAATAAGGGGCGTCGGGGACCGCTAGAGGCGTACAATGACAAAAACAGGTACAAGAACACTCAGAAAACAGCAGGAAGGGTGGGGGGGGGAGATCATTTTAAAAGGTCGGTGAGGAAAATTTAAGAAGGAAGGAATAAAAGGATCCAGCTGGAAGAAGAAGAAAAAAAACGAAACAAAAACATAAACAGGAAACTCACTGCAGTGATCTCCAAACTCTTCACAGAACACTACAAGGGTATTCAAGCCTTTTTCTTGCCCAGCGGGGCTTTGAAACTTTTTCGAGGGACACGGGAATGACTGACTGACTGACCGACTGACTGACCGACTCTTGACGGACATGAGGCTATGGCAGCTTCGGGATGGGCGTGTGGTAAGTTGATGGGATGGCAGAAGAGAGAGGGGGAGAGAGAGAAAGAGAGAGAAAGAAAGAGAGAAAGAAAGAGAAAGAAAGAGGGCATAATTGTTTTTCTTCCTCTTACCGTATCTTTGGATGACCTACGTCTCTTGAAGCTGGAGGCCAGGGTAGAGGTGATGGACCTAAAAGTGGCTTTCTTTTTAGGGTCTGGTTCTGCTCTACCACTTTTTCTATCCTAAAATGAATATGTATATAAGCGATTAGATCTCCAGTGGGTGGCTTGGACCTCTACACCTACATGAACACTGCCCCACGGTCCTTGGTTTGCCTCGGTCTCTTTTTTATTTTTCCTTTCCGGCTCACTTTCTGACATTGGCAGTGGCAGTGGTCAAGACCATGACTGAGTCATCATTAGCGGCTGTCAGTCCAAAAAGTGGCACGTGGCCCCTGACTCTGGGTCCTGGCACTGGGCGAGGGCTTGGTCTGAACGAGGATTGGAGGAAAGGAGCCCCTGGAGGAGAACGGAGGGGCAGGGAAGGGGCCGTTGGGGGGCGCTACAGGTCAAGCCTCCAGTTGGAGTGGTCTTCCCCGCGAGAGAGTGGGGGTCCCTGGGGGAGCCCGCCTGCGCCCGACCCCTTTCCTGCCACGGCTGGCCTGACTAGAGGGAGAGGGCGAGACACTTTCACCTACCACTAAATAAAAATGCTCGGGGCCTTTTCTGAAGCTGAATCCTACGGCCACAAGAGAGAGAGAGGACTGCATTGAAAGAGAAGGTCATCGTGTGTTAAAAAAAAGGTATTCCAAAAAATTTCAATGACGCTAGGCGCAAAGCTTGAACTTGTTTGTTTTGTTTTTTCCGAAACAATATTTTGAAAACAACAATAACAAAAAATAATAATAAACTATAACAAGAACGGAACTTCTGAAACGAGGAAAAAGAAAGGGAAGAAGCAAAGCGTTTAGGCTTTGAATGATGTTAGGGTCAGCGGGAACTCAAAGGAACAGAACCAAAGAGAAAAAAAACCACAGCGGCAGAGCTGAGCGGTAGGCGGCCAGACCTGGTCCACGGGGCAAGTGACGGCGCAAAAGGGGACCCCAAGCCAATCTCCCTGCTTCCCCTGCTTCCCCTCCTTTTCCTGAATCCATTTGCGATGTTTGTGGTGGGCTATAATGGTGGCTGGGACCAGGTCTGGCCCTATCCGCCCATGGTGGGGGTGACCAAAAATGTATCCCGCTGGTGCACGGAGCATGCACAGGGGATACATTTCCTCCTCCTTTTCCGGTTATTTTTTTCTCGGTTTTTTGTTGTTGTTGCATGCATGCACAGAAAAAGAAAAGCTAGCGAGAAGAGAATGGGATGGGATGACTTTTTTTTTGTGCCTTCCCATGGCATTGCCAGAAATAGCCATGGCAAAACTGTGATATTCCCCCAGAAACAAAAGAAAAAGAAAAAAAAAGAACCCATTATAGATAAGATATATTTGCTTTTTTTGTTTTTTTTTTCTTGAACAAAGAAATCTTTCCACTTGCCTACCTTCTAGCAATGTACCAGATACTAGTGGTCTGAGGAATCCTCCTGTGAAAAAGTCTTACATTGTCAAACGGATCTAATGAGCGTACTTTCTTTGTATCTTTGTCATAATATCCCGTGGGGTGGCATGCTTGGCTGGCAGCCCCAAAAGAGTCTGTCCCCCCCCCCCACAATGGCCCCGGGCAGGGTTTTTTCTAGAAAGTTGGCAAGTGAAAAATGACAGTGACTAATGTGCTCTGGTTCCCTGCACATTGCGCCCCATTTGGTACGGCTGCCTGGGATTTTTGGGGAGCTGGAGAGGGACAGAACGAGGGAAGGAGAAAGAGAGGGACGGAGGGAGGTGGAACACAAGGACATGGTATTAGTGAGGAGCTCTTGGTCTGTTTAACAGGGTCATACACAGCAGGCTTGACTTTCCCCTTCTGCTCTGCACCTTCTCTAGCAGGAAAGGGCATTTGCAGGTTGCCAAACCCTCCCTTGGGAAGGTGTACCCTGTTTCGCCAAAAATAAGACATCCCCTGAAAATAAGACCTAGTAGAAGTTTTTCTGAATTGCTAAATATAAGGCCTCCCCTGAAAGTAAGACCTAGCAAAGTTTTTGTTTGCTCCCCCTGGTGACTGGATCCTTACAGTCTCCAGACAGTGTGTGGGAGCCAGGGACTTTACAACCCTTTTTTTTGTGGCCCTGTGTGTGAGTCAGGCAACCAGTGTGACCAGACAACTATGGTGTTCCCTCACTTACTGCAGGGGTTACGTTCCAGGACCACCCACGATAAATGAAAATCCGCGAAGTAGGGACGCTATATTAATTGTAATATTTTTACATTATTTATACATTAAATATTACATTAATTGTAATATTTTTACATTATTTATATTTATATAATATTTATACATTATTTGTACATTAAGAAATGAGCAAAAAAATGACAGGACGCGAGGGGCCGCACACCAGCCTCCCTTTCTGAGGCCCGTTGTAATGTAAATATTTTAAATTCTTTTTTTAAAAAAAATTGTGAAACAGTGAGTCCATGTAAAGCGAACCGTGAAGTAGTGAGGGAACACTGTACTGTACAGTATATAATAAATGTTCAGTTTTTGTTCAACAATAAATGTGAATTCTTCATTGAAAAAATAAGACATCTCCTGAAAACAAGACCTAGCACATCTTTGAGAGCAAAAATTAATATAAGACACTGTCTTAATTTTGGGGAAACAGGGTAGGCCTGCTTCTCTTGAGTTGACCTATGGGCCCCGTTCTCTCCTGGCTTGGTTGGTGCTCTTGATAGTGGGGTGTCTCCTTGGGAGCTCCTGGTAGGCTTTGTTTACTTCTGGTTGTTGCTTCTTTAAGATAATGGAGAGGGCAGGGGTGCAGACCTTCCTGGCCAGAATGATATAACCCTGGGCTTTGATGGGAGAGACACGGTTACCCGAAGAGCAATAGCCCTTCGGTTGGGCTGACTGTATGTTAAAATGCCACAAAATAGATATGATAGGTAGGGGCACTGAATGACATGCACCAATAAGGCTGCCCATGGGGTGCGAAGAGGGGAAGTCAGCCCACCTCTTCTCCGATTCTGCTCCAGGCACCTGCAGTCTCTTCTGCCAGCCGTTGGTGGCGCCAAATGCACGGGAGTTAATGCAGTGACCGGCGCTCTTGGTGGAGCAATGGGTTAAACCCTTATGCCGGCAGGACTGCTGACCGACAGGATGCTGGTTCGAATTGGGGTGTGGGGTGAGCTCCCATTTCAGCTATAGCTTCTCATGTGGGAACATGAGAGAAGCTTCCAACAGAATGGTAAGACATCCAGGCGTCCCCTAGGCAACGTCCTTGCAGACTGCCAATTCCCATCTGTCAGCCCCAAATTCTCATGCAGGGAGATGAGAGAAGCCTCCCACAGGATGGTAACACATCCAGGCATCCCCTGGGCAACGTCCTTGCAGACAGCCAATTCCTGTTTTTCAGCCCCAGCTTCTCATACGGGAACATGAGTGAGGCCTCCCACGGGATGGTAACACATCCAGGCGTCCCCTGGGCAACGTCCTTGCAGACGGCCAATTGTCTCACCAGAAGCGACTTGCAGTATATTCTCAAATTGCTCCTGATATGAAAAAAAAATGGAGTGACCCTCTCACAGCCCCCCCCCCCCAATCCTTCAGGTGTGGGCAGAGTCACACATTTAGGCTGCTCTTGGGCCTGTTGCCTGGGGCCCTGAGGCTTCCTTTTCTCGGACAGGACCCGTGAGGCAACAGGTTGTGACTTGCCCAAGCAAGCCCATCTCAGAGGGGAGGGCATGGCGTGGGGCGTGGCGAGCCATTCCTTGCCAGGGACCTGGGCCTGAATGGGGAGCAGGACATGGGGCCGGGGCTCGAATGCAGATGCCAGCCGGAGGGGCAGGAGCAGATCTTTGCCCCTGTCGCCAGGGGCAGGCCTGTGGGGAAAGTGGGGCTGCAGAGGGGTTTGGGCTCCTGTCCCTGTGCTATTCCCACATAGCACTGTAGTCACTGGTTGGGTGAAGTAATGGGAAAAACAAAAACGAAACGGAAAAGAAAACCAACCGCACCTGTTTTGGAGGTTTTTTTTTCTCTAAAAACGGTCTGTCCTACCTGCAGGTTTTTCCGCCACACATTAACCGCTGCAAACGCCAGTTGCATCTGCTTCCTCCGGGCGTCTTTATGCCTTTTGTATGCTATTTCTATGAATATTAAAAATATCCCGGCCACAATACCTCCAGCCACCAGCATGAATACACCTGAAAGAAGCAGGAAAGTTAACGCCAGGGAGCAAGGAGGATGCAGGCCCCCAACGCCCTCCCCAACGCCTCCCCTTTGGCTTTGCGAAGGTGAAACCAGGCCTCTTCAGTGCAGTCAGTATAAATACACACAGCTTTCGGGGGGGGGGGGGGGGGCTTTGTTTGTGTGAGGGGAAAGATTCCACCTGAACATGAGGAAGACCTTCCTGACCACAAGATGAGTGAAAAACTTTGCCTCGGAGTCCAGTGGAAGTCCCTGGATGACCATCTGTCAGATGTGCTTTGATCGTGCCTTCCTCTATGGCCGAAGGGAGTTGGATTGCATGGTTCCAGGGGTCTCTTTCAACTCTAGAATTCTATGATTCTGGCTATGCAGTATCTTCCCAGAGATATTTGTAACTCCTCTTGTTATTTGTTTTCTTTGTTGTTTGTTACCATGAACCAGGGAGCATACTATAGGCATTTAAAGAGGCAACTCCAGGGCAAAGTTGTCAGAAATATTAAAAATTAACAAGATATTTTTAATTACAAAAATGTGAGTCCAGCACTGAAAGGGTTAAATGAATGCAATGACTCAGCAAAAGCTGCATTTCTATATAAACAGGTGTGCCGGTAGCTTAGTAGCCATCAGTCTGAGGTAAACCTAAGTGGGATAAAAGTCTCAGTTTGTGAGGATATTTCACAATGTGAGGTAGGCCTTAGTCTGTGAGAGAAGACGTCACAGTGTGAGGTAGACCTTAATCTGTGAAAGAAGCCTCTATGTGAGATAAGCCTCACAGTGTGAGGTAGGCCTTAGCCTGTGAGAGAAGCCTCTGTGTGAGGTAAGCCTCACAGAGTGAGGTAGGCCTTAGTCTATGAGAAGGCCTAGTGTGAGACGCCTGATGTAGAAAAGCTTCGGTGAAAGAAGCCCCAGATTAAAGGCCTCGTGTGTAAAGCTGTGTGTAAAGGTACTACATGAAGCTTCTGTGTAATTACAGTGCGAGAGAAAGCTCTGTATGAGTGAAGCTGTTTATCTGAATGAGAAAGAATCCCAGCATGGAAGCAAAGAAGGAAGTATAAAGGAGTTTATTTGTGTTGGGGAAACCTTGTTCTTGTAAATAGTGCAACCATATTGTTTTACTACAAAGAAAACCCTCCAATGGAAGAGATAACATTGGTCTGTGTTTTTGTTCTTTTGTCACTTTGGGCTACTGGTGCTGGGTCACTCTGCTGCTGCTAAGTTACTCTGCTGTACATTTATGGGGAGGGTCTTTTGTCAATAAGCCCACTCGCCCAATAAAAGTCACAGAGAAAGAGAACTGAAATCAGGCAAAGGTATGGGCACTTAAGGAAACCTGGGGCCTTGTCTGACTGTGCAGTACAACTCAGATCTCATCAGTCACACAATTTGGACCAGAGTAGGAGGGCAGTCTCTTTACTTGAGGGCATGTCATGGAAGGAGAGAAAGAAAGGTCTAGTGTGGGAGACATGTGGGCATCCAGTGCCAGGATAAACATGGGCTTGAACACGTGGCTGGGTTTTGGGTTTGGAGGAATTGCCGTTCCTAAATTGACCCAATGCAGCGCTGTCTACTTGGAGCTTATTGGCCTCAGCTATAAATTTTATTGCAACACAGTAAGAGAAAGAAAGGGTTGCACTGCTATGTCTTTTGGCCCAGACTCATGTTTGCTGTGCCCTTCCCACATATGAATGACATGCTGTGAAAAGAGGGAGTGTAATGAGCCTCGTGATATTAGGGCCAGTGTATTTCGGGCAGGGGAGGGGGGTGGATTTGGAGCTGGATTGTGATTCAAAATGAGACAGGGGTGAGGACTTGCCCTGCTTAATGCACCCTTTTCTGCAGTGCTCCTTGTAGTTGCTTCTCTTTGGTGGCTCATAGCGCCTCTCAAGGGAGCCATAAAGGACTTGAGACACTCCCAGAGACGCTAGTGTTTTCCTTGGGACTTAGTCTCCCAAAAGTGTGCATTTGGATAAGTACGGAGGGAGTGGTGAGCAGGCCGAACTTGGAGGAAATTGTTTTGTCAGAGGATTTTCCCCCACTATATGTCTCTAGGAAGACAGAGGAATTTCTGAAAAGCCCTATGAGGAGCAGCTTTAAGAGCTGGGCATGTTTAGCCTGCAGATGAGAAGCCTGAGAGGAGACATGATGAGGGCCATGTGTCAAGAGGTGAGGGGAATATGTCATAGGGAGGAGGGAGCAGGCTTCCTTTCTGTTGCCCTCGAGACTAGGATGCAATGGAACTATGGCTTCAAACGACAGGAAAGAAAGGAGATTCCACCTGGAGGAAGAACTTCCTGACTGTAAGGAGTGGAACTCTCTGCTCTGGAATGTGGTGAAAGTTCCTCCTTTGGAGACTTTGAAACAGGCTGGGTGGCCATCTGTTGGGGTGTGTGTGTGTGTGAATGCTACTTTCCTGCTTTTTGGCAGAAAGGGGTTAGACTGAATGACCCATGAGGTCTCGTCCAACTCTGTTTTATGATTCTATCTCAGGCCAGGGAAGAAGTTGCCTTCCAGATGTGATTGGAGTGCCCTTCCCATCAGGAATGACAAGGGATGATGGGAATTGTAGTCTAGTGCCACCTGGGTTGTTACCCATTCCCCATTCTTCTTCTGAATCAACCTATCCCAACTCTAATTATTCTGAACCGTGGCTCCCACTATTCCAGATCGTTTGCTACACTGATTGCGGCCCACGGGATTCGTTGACGAAGATCTCGGGTCCTGAGGGCTCTCTCTCAAAGCAGGGGTGTGAGGTAGGCTCTAATCTGTGAGAGAAGCCTCTATGTGAAGTAAGCCTCCCAGTGTAAGGTAGGCCTTAGTCTGTGACAGAAGGAGTCACAGTGTGATGCAGACTTTAGTCTGTGAGGGAAGCCTCTGTGTGAGGGAAGCCTCACAGAGTGAGGTAGGCCTTAGTCTATGAGAAGGCAAGGGGAGGGAGGAGGGGGAGAGACCCACCTGCCATGTTCTCAAAGGTGAGGGTCGCTGGGGCGTTGCTGCGGGAGTCACACTCCTGGTACCTAACCCAGGTTTTGTCCAGCTCTTCCATGAAGCCGTTCTCGTGGAGGCTGGGGGCAAAGGGAGAGAGAATGTAGAGGGGTCACTAGGGCCGGGGACCCAATGGGGAAGGATGCAGGGTTTGCAGTGGCAATGGGAGAAATGCACAAGGTGGGACCTACTCTGGCATATATCCTAAGTGGCTTCAGTGAGGATTCAAAACTAGACTCAGGTGTCACTATTATAAAGGGCCTTGCTCAGGAGAGCCTTCGTGCCACAGATATGCAGAGGTCACTGAGCTGGGCCTGCTTCCTGAGGGAAGGTGCCAGAAATTGACATGGGAGCCAAGTTTGACCATTGGTAATTCAGGAGGAAGGTCCTGCAGTAGGCTTTTCATACATGGCAGATGGCCCCTTCCTTGCAGGACATGTGTGTGTGTGTGACGTGGGGGGACTCCCGTGCCTCATGGACTTTTGTAAGGATGCACTAGTATGCCCCAGTAGGCTTGTCCTATATTCCTGATAGGCAGATTCACCAGGTCGCCCCCAACGCCATCTCCTTTGATAGAGAGAATGTAAGAACCTCACTCAGGACCTCCTTCCCGGCCAAGCAACCCCCTTTGTTGCTCTTCTGAATGCCCCCCATGCAACATATGGAGCGTCTCGCGCTCCCTTTTGGAAGACATTAAGATACAGACTTGAGGATGGCCAGAGAGACGTTCTGCTTCCAGGGGCTGTCCTTGCGCATCCCGATGCCGAAGCCGGAGCGGAAGAAGAGCTCTCCTGTAGTCACCAGGTCACACTTCTGCGAAGCTTCGAACTCCAGCACTGCTGAGTCCCAGATGAAAGCGTGGAGTTTGCTGTTATGGGGAGGGAGCGGGAAGTATAAACAAGAGAGGTCAATGCTCCTTGACAGGAAAAGTCAAAATGTTCAGCAATGAACTAACAAAGCTCATTTGCAGAGCAGCCCTGCAGGTCAGTCTGAAATCAGCTGTGCAATGAGGCATCCCAACTCTAGGGATCCCAGGGATGACCTGGGAGGATGCACTGGAGCATTGCAGCACACCAAAATACCTGTGAATCACTCTGAACTGTGCTCTGACCTATAAGAAACGCTGCTTGACTATCAAGCAAAAAGTGGGTTCTAGAAATAATATACGAAAGTAGAACTTGGGGACCACAATCAGACACAGTGAAGACATCTGCCCTTGTGCTTTGCTACTCTGCAGCTGAGTACGCATGCTCAGTGTGAAATACATCACACCACGTCAATACAGTGGATGTGACTCTTAATGAGACATGCCACAGGATGTCTATGCCCCACACCGCTGGAGAAATTTTACTGTTTAATTGATATTGCACCACCTGACATCTGTCAGGAAGTAGCAGCCTGTAATGAAAGGACCAAGGCATTGACGTCTCCGGCCCATCCTCTCTTCAGATATCAGCCAGCATACCAATGCCTTAAATCAAGAAACAGCTTCCTAAGATTGAGAGAGATACTTGCAGGAACACCTCAGCAAACGAGAGTCCAAAAGTGGCAGGTTAAAACCCAGCCCTTTAATCAGTAGCTGATGAGAAACTCCCCCTTGGGCACACAGAAGATTGGGCAATCTAGAAGGTGCTGAACAGACTGCACCCTGGCACCACGAGATGCAGAGCTAACCTTAAGAAATGGGGTTACAAAGTGGAGTCCATGACATGTGAGTGTGGAGAAGAGGAAACCACAGACCACCTATTACAATGCAGTCTGAGTCCTGCCACATGCACAATAGAGGCCCCTTTTACAGCGACACCAGAAGCACTCCAAGTAGTTTGCTTCTGGTCAACGGACATTTAGTGTTCCCTCGCTACTTCATGGTTCACTTTTAGCGGACTTGCTGTTTCATGGGTTTTTGAAAATATTAATAAAAAATATTAAATATTTATGTCCAGTGGAGGCCAGGGAAGCTAGGGACCCCGGAAGTGCAGTGGCCTAAGGCGCACCAGGGAAGGCCAGCCTCCCTAGCCTGCTTCTGCCTGCACGGCTCCGGAGGCTCTGTGGAGGCCAGGGAGGCAAGGCAGGTGCCCTTGGATGGGCCAGGAGGTGGGTAAGGAAGCACGGGTAAGACAAAATATATAAAATATATAAAATAATGTATAAATATTAAAATTAATATGGCGTCCCTACTTTGCGGATTTTCACTTACTGCAACGGAACTCCCGCGATAAATGAGGGAACACTGTAATGCCAAGTTTTTTAAACTTTGTGTTTTTAAACGCATTTTAACTTTACCCTCTAGTTGCTTCTGACATGATAAATAAAATCTCAACTCTAATAAACATTGTGATACGTTGTAGGAACTTCTTTATGCAAAATCACCTGGAAATCCTATTTCCTATTCCCTGAAGAAGTCCTGGACAAAGAGTGGCTATAGACTGCACTTGCTGGCCTTTTTTGCCAACTAATCCTGTTTGGAGATGCCTGTTCTCAAAATATGTTCTTTGTTCTGTTGCATCATCCAATGTTCCCAATCATTTGACTTCATCTGACCAGCTGACTATTCATCCGTAATAGTCCTAATACAGACCCTACTCCACTGTTGCCTCCGTTATGAGTACTGTCTCTTTGTTTCTGCTTGCTGCTTCATGTGATTTAATCATGGATTGATCCAAAAGTGGGACAGGGAAGTTGTGCATCTGGGCAGAAGCACAACTGAGGTGGACATTGAACATCACTGTTTGTGTGGGTCAACTCTCAGTCTCCGAAAGACCACCCGATCCCCCCACAGATGTGCTCCAGCCGGCCCCCTGATTTACTTGTCCCGGACGGCCTGGATGGCTTCGGCTGCGCTCTCATAGTTGTGCTTCTCCATGTGCCGGTACATCGTGCTCAGCTCCACCTGACGCCGGAAGTAAATGTCCACAGAACTCTGCTTCACGGTGGCGTAGATGAACTTGTCGGAAGGGTTCCGCAACTGGAAAAGCAAAGCAAGAAGAGTCCGTTCTTTAAAAGGAAAATGCCAAATGATGCTGGAATTTGGAATTTAAGGTGTGTGACTCCTGTTTCTCCCCTAAAGTCAAAACACAGTAAATTGGATTGCTCTCAGTACAGTGTTGCCCCCGTCTCCTCCTGTGGCCACACCTCCGGCACCCACCAAGTTGCGTTCCTGCCAAACTGCTTCTGCTGCTGTTTATTACCCTGGGGTCGTTGATGCCAGTGATGCGTTCCTCCGGTCTGTCCAACACCAGGAAGGCAGCCAGGTTGGCAGTGTAGGAGGCAACGATGATCATGGCAAAACCGGCCCAGACCATCCCGAGGATCCGAGCAGAGAAACTCCGAGGAGCACCTGGAGGAGAAAGAGTATCATGGGACAGGAATCAACAATGAGGAGGCCTGGGGTGGAACTGAGGCACAGAAACCCCAACAAGAGGAATGGCACTGGCGCTCTCCATCCAACCTTGTTGGGACCTCACGCTTTGCCCACTAATGAGCTGAATGCTCAACTTTTGTATCCTGTTTGTTTTTGGATGCTCTGCTATATTTTAGTTTTCCCTAACATCCTTAAGCCCACATTTCTGTTGCCCTGCCATGTTAAACTTCAAATGCTTCTGGTTACCCCCTTCTACCTCTTGTAGTCTCTTGTACCTGCCTGAGACCCACCTTCTCCAATACCAGAGTTCAGGAGGACTCCCCAGGAAAACCACATGGCAGAAGAGAGCGTCAGGGCATCCTCCTCCTCTTCTTCGCTGTTTACTTTAAACCGGCCAAATGGACTGGAAGAGAACAACCAAGTACAGCAGAGTCTCACTTATCCAACCTTCACTCATCCGATGTTCTGTATTATCTGATGCAGTTTGCCTCCCACCCGGAACCACAGCAGTTTCTACTGTAGATGGTTTCGCTGCTCCAAGGTAGTCATTTGAAAAGGGGTGGTTGGCAAAAGGAAGGGGGCTGGAAACTTGAGGAGAGGTGGGACCCTAAGGATATCAGTCTAAACATCAAAAATGAGGGCAAAACTGATATTAAGAGAGGGAGGGGAAGTCAGGGGATGGGCTTCCTACCCGTTATGGCTCTTCTCGCGGCCTGGGTCGCCCCAGAGTTACCTGAAGCGGTCCAGGAGGTATAACATCACCGCCACCACATGCACCGAGAGCCCCACTAGGAGCCAGAGAGTGCTCTGGAACGGCTGCATGAATGAGTCCAGTGTGCTGCGGGGAATTTCCTGGAAAAGAACAGGACCAGAGAAATGGGCCGCAGCTCTGAAACAGCCCAAGGCAAATCTCGCCAGCGTGTGACTACACAAGGCAGCTCTCTGTTTGGGGGAAAACATGCTGGTGAATCCCTGAAAATATGTGTGTGAAATGGCATTCTGGGTCTGCCTCCTGACAGGCGGCAAAGGGAGCCACCACTAGCCATCCAGCTATCTAGGAGAGGATTACCTGCTGGGTCAGGCCACAAATGGTCCATCAGGTTTCCTGTTGTGAGCAGCCGGGTGCTTCAGAGAAGTCTGCAGGTGACAGCCTGGGGCTGGACTGTTTCATGTGGCAGATTTTCCCACACCCACATTACCTTTTTGACGAGGATGGTGAGCCCCTGGTACTTGAAAGGCTTGGAGAACTCAATGTACTGTGCCCGCTCATTGTTGATGGTTAGCGGGGCCACAATCATGTCGGCCTGGCCACTCAGCAGCTCCCCCATCATCCCATTCCACTCCTTCTTGTTGCTGTTGTTCACCTGCCGTGAGAAAGCAGTGCACCCATCTTTGAGAAAGGGGAGAAATCTCACATTCAGAGGTACCCCTGAGTCCTCCACACTGAAATACCGAATTAGTATTCCCACTTTGGCTCATTGTCTGTTGTACTTTGGAGGTATCGTGAGGTGACATAGCTCACAATGCTCAGAAAGTGGAAGAAAGGAACGGAAGATAGTGTTAGGGAAGGAGAGATTCCACCAAGAAAGCCAAGGTTGCTTGATGGAGTTTGCAAGCACTGTGAGCAACAGAGAGATCTGGAGGGTTTTCATTTAGGGAGGTTTGGCATAAGCAGTGTTTCTCAACCCTCCTAATGTTGCGACCCCTTAAACCGGTTCCTCATGTTGTGGTGACCCCTAACCATAAAATTGTTTTTGTTGCTATTTCATAACTGTAATTTTGCTACTGTTATGAATCATAATGTAAATATCTGATGTGCAGGATGTATTTTCATTCACTGGACCAAATTTGGCATATATATGCCCAATTTTGAATACTGGTGGGGTTGTGGGGTGGTTGATTTGGTCACTTGGGAGTCATAGTTACTGGGATTTATAGTTCATCTACAATCAAGGAACATTCTGAACTCCACCAATGATGAAATTGAACCAATCTTGGTACACAGAACTCCCACGACCAACAGATAATACTGGAAGGATTTGGTGGACATTGGCCTTGAGTTTTGGCGTTGTAGTTCACCTACATCCAGAGAGCACTGTGGACAAACAATGATGGATTTGGACCAAACTTATCACAGATACTCAATATGTCCAAATGTGAACACTGGTGGAGTTTGGGGAAAATAGAACTTGACATTTGGGAGTTGTAGTTGCTGGGATTTATAGTTCACCTACAATCAAAGAGCACTCAATGGATCTGCACCAAACTTGGCACACTACCTAGATGACCAACAGTGAATACTGGTGAGGATGGGGGGGATGCTTTTGAATTCTGGGAGTTGTAGTTCATCAACACCAAAAAGGAAGAGAAGGACAGGCGGAGAGATCTTCAGCCTTCTCTGCCAAAGGGGTTCCTAAGACCATCAAAAATATGTGTTTTCTGATGGTCTTTGGCAACCCCTCTGAAACCCCCCTCGTGACCCTCCCAGGGGTCCCAACTCCCAGGTTGAGAAACACTGACCTAATGGGTCAAAGGCATATTCCAGACTTCAGTGCCATTCTGATTATAATCAAATTCAACTGAGCCTGTTGGAAACATGCCTGGTGGATTGCGGGATTCTGAGAGTTGGAGCCCCAAAATATGGCTTTCCAAGCTCTAGCTTGGAGTCACCCATCTCAGGCTGGAGTTTGTCTCTGGACTGGGTTGAGTCCTGGCAACAATGCAGAATCCAAGCCTTGGCATGAGCCAAGATGGCTCTCTAGCTGCTCCTTCCACTTGCAAAGGAAATGCCTGGAATGGGAGGCACTTTGAGAATTGGATGTTTTCTCTGGGACTCTTTTTCTACTCTCCCAACCCAAACCGGGAGGAAGAGGTGCTTTCGTAGCCCACACTTACCCGCTCTTGAGTGCCAAATTTGCCATCGGCCACCAGGTGGACTTCATAGGTGAAGTTCATGGTCTTGGCGAGCTTGATGAGTAAGTCAATGCAGAATCCGTAGCAGCACAACATTACGCTGGGCCGGCCTGCGTCGCCAAATTGGGAGAAAGCAAAGAGGTTTTATGGCAGCGTTTCTAGGATCCGCCATTCAGGCCAATCAGGGATTGCCTAATTCCATGCCATCCAACAGCTGTCCGCTGTCGGAAAGAGTGGAAAGCAATCCCAGGTTGGGCTTCATCACTCATTCGTTCACTTTGTTAGCACGCTCTCCTAGAAAATTGTGGTCTTAGTTGGTTTTGGCTTGGACCTGATGTCTCAAATTTTGCTTATGGCTGTGTGATTGGGATTTTGAGTGAAACCCATTCTGCCTCTGCCCCTTGCATCGTTCCCCACAAAACAGTTCTGGGCCTGTTTGGGGTCAGGGAACAGCCTGCAGAGGGCTCGGGAGGCACCTTGTGAGCTCCAATCTACCCCAGGGATCTGGTTCCACTGCATACTTGAATGAGGGGAAAGGGTCTGAGAGAATGTGTGTGTTTTTATGACACAGCATTTGAGTTACCAAGAGACAGCCTGCTTGGGGCCTCCACCCAACCCCTAGTCCCCCATGGCATGCAAATAGTCTCTGTGGCAACCTGCCTGGAAATGTATAGGAACACAGTCCTCTCAAAGACGCAGAGGCTTCCCTTTGTGTAAGGAAACACATGGTGATGCCAGTTTCCTTACAACTTTGTTTGGAAGTTAAATAAGATCTGTTTTCAGTTGGATTTACATTGCAGGGCACCGGCTCAGGTGAAGGGCAACAGGGCTCTGCTTGGAAACTGTGGGCACGTTTTGGAGGCAGAGCCTGCCTTGCTCTTGAGCAGGAATGGGCAAACCTAGGCCCAGGGGCTGGATGTGGCCCCTTGGGCTCTTTTCTCAGGTCCTCTCTCTTTCATCATCCCATCCTTCCTTCCTTATCTCTTTGCTTCCTCTTTCCCTCTTTCCCTTCCTTCCTTACCTCCCTCTTTCTCCCTCCCCCTCCTTCCCTTCCATCCTTCCATCCGTCCTTCCTTCCCTCCCTCCATTCCCTTCCATCCTTCCTTCCTTCCCTCCCTCCATTCCCTTCCATCCTTCCCTTCCATCCTTTTGTCCTTCCTTCCCTCCCTTTTGTCTTTCTTTCCTTCCCTCTTCCCTTTTTCCTTCCCTGCCTTCCTTGCCTCCCTCCATCCTTCCATTTCAGCCTTTTGTCCTTCCTTCCTTCCTCCCTTCCTTTCCTCCCTCCTTCCATCTCTCCCCGTTTCTCCTTCCTTCCCTTTTGTCTTTCTTTCCCTCTTTCCTTCCTTCCTTCCCTCTTTCTTGTTCGCTCCCCCCTTCCTTATTTCCACCCTTTTGTCCTTCCTTCCCCTCCCTTTTGTCTTTCTTTCCTTCCCTCTTTTCTTTCTCCTTCCCTTCCTTCCTTGTCTCCCTCTATCTCCCTCCCTCCTTCCTTCCCTTTCAGCCTTTTGTCCATCCTTTCTTCCTCCCCCCTCCCTTCTTTTCCTCCCTCCTTCCCTCTCTCCCTGTTTCTACTTCCTTCCCTTTTTTCTTTCTTTCCCTCTTTCCTTCCTTCCTTGCCTCTTTGTTGCTCACTCCCTCATTCCTTCTTTTCCACCTTTTCATCCTTCCTTCCCTCCTTCCCCCTCTCTTTCCTTCCTTCCTTCCGTCCTTCCCTTTTGTCTTTCCTTCCTTCTCTGTTCCCTACATCCCTCCATTCCCTTCCATCCTTCTCTTCCACCCTTCCTTCCTCCTTTTTTCCTGGGGGATGTTTAGCTGGGAGAAGAGAAGGCATGAGAACCATGTTTCACAATTTCAAAGGGTCTCCCATTCAGGAAGAGGAGGAGGAGGGGGACAACTGGCTTTCTGCTGCTCTAGAAACCAGGGCACAAGGGAGCAATGGGTTCACATGGCAGGGAAAGAGATTTGACTGAAAAGATGAGGAAGAACTTCCTGGAGAGTGGCCTGGGCTGCCTGGGAGTGTGGTGGATTCTCCTTCTCTGGAGGCTTTTCCGCAGAGGCTGTCTATCGGGAGTGCTTTGATTGTGCCTTCCTGCATGGCAGAGGGTTGGACTGGATGGCCCTTGGGGGGGTCTCTTCCAGCACTAGGATTCTATATCTGGAGTAGGCAATACAGGGTCTAATGGATACACTTTTTCTCTCCTGTCCACCATCTCATCTTGATCAAGGCCAACCCTTTTTTGGGATCCAAATGTTTCCCATCTTTCCTTCACTTTCTGCCTCCAAAAGAGAAGAAGAAAGGGAGGAAAGGGCATGGAGGGGACTTGGGGAGAAATCCTTCCCTCCCAGCCCCCAAGTTAGAAAGTTTGCCCATGCCTGCTCTATAGCAGCCTTCACAGCTTCGAAAGCAGACTTCCTGCACTCTACCAATTCTCCACTCCAAATCTTAGTATCAAACACCAACATGGAAAAGCTTGAACATTGCAATATATTAGCTTCTAACATGTTACTTTCACACTTATTGTCAGCGCCACCATCCTACTTTTGGTCAGAGCCGAAGAGCCCTGACATGAAGCTCATTCGGTGACTTTAGGTGAGTTTCCTTCACACACAGCCTGACCTAATGGTGAGGGCAACGTTCACCTCTCGCAATATGGATGTCAGTTATGACTTCAGCCTTTGATATTGAAGTCAGAATGGCCAAACGTCCTCCATGGCTCTTGGCCCAGACTGGCTTCCAGCCCAAATGCCTTTCACAGTGCTGGGCCTCACCTGGCATGGTCTCATTGGGGCCGGTGCAGAGGACCTGCTGCACCAAGCCCCCAGTGCTGTTGTGCCGGGCCTCGCACTTCCCATCCAGCTGGGTTTGCTTCACATAGACAAACGGCTCTTGGTGGATTGTGACAATCTGTGGAGAGAGAAGGTGGGCATTCACCACTTTGGACCCAAGGCTCCCTTGCGAAAGGGGAGCGAGAAGGATGTGGTGTTGACCCAGATTCAGCCTGAACCTTGCCGACAGTGAGGGAGGTGCTAAAAGGTCCATTTGGGGGGGGGGGGGTTCTGCTCCCCTACCCAAGTGCAAGTGCAAATAGAACCTGACTTGTCTTGCATTTCTTGCATAGAGGGAGGTGCTAAAGCAGTGGTTCTCAACCTGGGATCCCCAGATGTTTTTGGCCTTCAACTCCCAGAAATCCTAACAGCTGGTAAACTGGCTGGGATTTCTGGGAGTTGTAGGCCAAAAACATCTGGGGACCCCAGGTTGAGAACCACTGTACTATGCGAATAATACAATATAATGTCATATATTATGCATACATATAATATTTATAATATTATAAAGTAACACAGTGGTTCTCAACCTGGGGTCTCCAGCTGGTTTTGGCCTTCAACTCCCAGAAATCCTAACAGCTGGGATTTCTGGGAATTGTAGGCCAAAAACATCTGTGGACCCCAGGTTGAGAACCACTGAGCTAAAGGATCCATTTGGAGGGTTTCTGCTCCCTTCCCCAAGAGCAGGTGCGAATCAAAGCTGATCTGCAAGTGCAAATAGAAGCTAACCTGTGTTTCTTGCACATAGGGCTTGGACACACAGAGGAAATATTCCCCCGCCAATCTCCTTGACTAATGAAAGCTTCTGGGGAACTTTCTGTGATATTATAGTGTTCCTGACAAAGGTCTTACCTAACATGGATATTTGGATTGTTGAAGGCTTTCATGGCCAGAATCACTGTATTGTTGTGAGCTTTCCAGGCTGTCTGGCCATATTCCAGAAGCACTCTCTCCTGACATTTCACCCACATCTATGGCAGACATCCTCAGAGGTTGTGAGGTTTGTTGGAAACTAGGCAAGTGGGGTTTATTAGGGCTGGGCAACCACGGAAAAATTTGTTTCTAAACTCGATTCGTTTTTAGGGGGTTTTTGCGTTTCAATTTTTAAAAGAATTCAGAAATTTTTCTTTAAAAAAGTTCGAAATTTACGAAATTTCGGAAATTACGAAACAATTATGAAACAATTACGAATCGATTCGTTAATGGCGGCCGCTATCGCACAATACGCTAAAAAAACCTCCAAATGGGACAGGGGGAACTTCTGAAGCTTCCCTCTCCCTCTGTTGTTGACTGTTGGTGTGATAATTATATATTTTTTTCACTGAGAAAACAAACAGCAATCCTAAAACTTGCACCAGACATGCGGAAATAACGAAACGATTACAAAACAATTACGAAACAATTACGAAACGAATTGGAAAAATTAGTTTCGTTTTTTAGTTGCTCCTGAATGGTTCAATATCGCTTCGTTATCAAAAAAAATAACGAATTAATAACAAATTACGAAATTAACGAACGAAATCGCCCAGCCCTAGGGTTTATATCTCTGTGAAATAGTGTCCCAGGTGAGAGGAAGAACTCTTGTCTTGGAGGCATGAGTGAATGTTGCAATTGGCCAGCTTGATTAGCACTGAATAGCCTCGCAGCTTCAAACTGGCTGCTTCCTGTCTGGGGAATCCTTTGTTGGGAGGTGTTAGCTGGCCTGATTGTTTCCTGTCTGGAATTCCTCTGTTTTTGAGTGTTGTTCTTTATTTACTGGCAGTAAGAAGCCAGACAGTAAAGAAAGAGCAACACTCAAAAACAGTGGAATTCCAGACAAGAAATAATCAGGGCCAGCTAACACGTGTCAACAAAGGATCCCCCAGGCAGGAAGCAGCCAGACCTTGAAACTGTAAAGCCATTCAGTGCTAATCAAGCTGGCCAATTGCAACATTCACTCATGCCTCCAACAGACAAGAGTTTTTTCTCCCACCCTGGACATTATTCCACAGATATATAAACCCCACTTGCCTTGTTTCCAACAGACCTCACAACCTCTGAGGATGCCTGCCATCGATGCAGGCAAAATGTCAAGAGAGAATGCTTCTGGAACATGGCCATACTGCCTGGAAAACTCACAACAACCCATGTATATTTGGCTTAAGCGGAATAAAACCCACATGCATTAAAAGAGTATTAAAACTGCTCTGGAAATAGGGCTGGGAGGTGCATCGGTGATGTGTGTGTAGTGCATTACACGCACATCACCCTGGACATTATTCCACAGGTATATAACCCCATGTGCCTAGTTTCCAACAGACTTCACAACCTCTGAGGATGCCTGCTATAGATGTAGGCGAAACGTCAGGAGATAATGCTTCTAGAACATGGCCATATAGCCCAAAAAGCCTACAACAACCCCGTGTTTCCAGCCACGGAAGCCTTCAACAATACAATGCATAGATATCTATGGCAACGACCAACAAAACAACAATGTATGTGCATGACTCGCAAAACTCTGCCTCAAAATAGGTTACTTCATGCTGTATTACTATGTCAAAAAGACTTCAAAATTCACAGTAGTAAAAGTACAATTCTCATATTATAATTCACCAAAGGATAGGCTATGAATGAAATAAGTAACAGACATAAAGAAAAGCATACAAAAACAACAAATCCTAATTAGTCCTGGAGCTGCGAAAGGTCTTGAGTCCAATACCAGTAGTAGTGAAAAAAAACAAAAACAAAAACAAAACAGCTTCCAAAATAATGACTTCTATATTACAGTGGATTCTTCATTAACTTGTAATTTTGTTTAAACTTAAAAGTAATATCTATCCCAATACCAATAATATTATGATTTTTTTTTTGTCGTGTCAGGAGCGACTTGAGAAACTGCAAGTCGCTTCTGGTGTGAGAGAATTGGCCGTCTGCAAGGACGTTGCCCAGGGGATGCCTGGATGAATTGATGTTCATCCTTGTTCATCCTTGTGGGAGGCTTCTCTCCCATATGAGGAGCTGGAGCTGATAGTGGGAGCTCATCCGCCTCTCCCCGGATTCGAACCTGTGACCTGTCGGTCTTCAGTCCTGCCGGCACAGGGGTTTAACCCACTGCACCACCGGGGGCTCCTAATATTATGATATTATGATAAAATACTATGATAAAAACATTTGAAAAAATAGTGGAATGAGATATTAGTAGACTTTCAACATCCAAGGCCAAAACCTTTCCTAACATGTCATTGTCAGAATTCAGTATCATCAAAAGATATAGCAAATATATCTGGAAACCAGCAGATAAGGGAGCAGTGGTGGTATTACTCAACAGAACCGACTACGTTAAGGAAGTAGAAAGACATCTTTCTGATAATCTTTTTTACAGGCGCATTTCTAACTATCCCATAAATAAAATCCGATCCTTCACTCGCATAGTTTGGTCTGAAAGTCTCTCTTTGGTATACATTTCACTACAAACGTATGAATTCCTCCAGAATCAATCCCCGAGAACACCAGTTTTTTATGTTCTCCCTAAAATCTACAAAAGGTATCATTCCTCCACCATGTAGACCTATCGTTTTAGGCACTGCATCTATTTTAGAACCTTTAGCTCAGTATATTGGTCATTTCTTACAACCCTTTCTCCCATTAACTACATCATTCATGAAGGATAAGTTTTCCCTCACTTATCGCGGGTGTTACGTTCCAGGACCACCCGCAAAAAGTGAAAATCCGCAAAGTAGGGATGCTATATATGTATATTGCATTCCAAGGGTGAGGCAGAAGCGAGGAGAGATTTAACGGCACCATGCACTTTTTTTTTGCAAGCTATAAGTAAGCAGCTATGATTTACATACTGCTTGGTATCTCCTTTCTCTCTTGATTGGCTGCCTCTCTCCTGAGAGGGAGGGTGAAACCTCCTTCCACACTCCATCGTTGACAGGAGGCGGGATTAGAACGTCGCTCTGGGCAACAGCAACTATTCATAAACTGGGAGGCAAAAAACCACGAAACAGCGAGTCCGCGAAAAGCGAACCGCGAAGTAGCAAGGGAACACTGCTTTGACAAACAACTTTATTTGCAGACCTTTGGGATAGTTATGGGCAGTCCTCTGGCATCTTCAGTAGCCAATCTATTTGTTTCCCATTTAGAAACTGAATACATTTTAAACACAATTACCAATCAATTTGTGCCAGATATCGTATATTATGGAAGGTATATTGATGATATTTTTGCAGTAGTTCTCAATCTGTAGCCAACCAATTCTGCACCTGGATCAACACACTTCACAAACATATTAATTTCACTAGCCATTGTAGTCATACCAACATGAACTTTTTGGACATCATGGTAATCAAGAATAGACAAAAACTATTAGTGAAAAATTACAGCAAGCTGACAGATACAAATTAAATCCTTCATTTTTCTAGTTTTTACCATAATTCACTGAAATGCACAGCTTTTAAGATCAAAACATACAGTGTTCCCTCACTTATCGCTGGTGTTCGTTCCAGGACCACCCGCGAAAAGTTAAAATCCGCGAAGTAGGGACGCTATATATGTATATCGCATTCCGAGGGTGAGGCAAAAGCATGGAGAGATTTAAAGGCACCATGCATTATTATTATTTTTTTTGCTAGCTATATCTGCTTTGCTTTGCAATCTCTCTTGATTGGCTGCCTCTCTCCCAAGGGGGAGGGTGAAACCTCCTTCCACACTCCATCGTTGCCAGGAGGCGGGATTAGAATGCCACTCAGGGCAACGGCAACCATTCATAAACTGAGAAGCAAAAACTCGCGAAACAGCAAGTCTGCGAAAAGCAAACCGCGAAGTAGTGAGGGAACGCTGTAATTCTAGCACTCAAAAGGATTTTGAATAGCAAATATGTTGGGGAACTGTATTTGGGATTTTAACCCCCCCCCCCCCAATCTATCAATGTATGAATCTTTATGTAAAGAGGGGAAGCATCACTTATCTTTGCCTCCCTGTTCCTCCTGCTCTGAAGTTTTTACCTTTAGCTTCGTAGACATTTCGTAGCCCTGTGGYGTCTCCGTCTCTCCTCCGGGCCAGATGATCTTGCGGTCATTGGGCAGGAACTGGGGAAGGAGAGGGGAAACGGTAAACTGCAAGGCTGGCCAAGGGCTGCAGTGGGGGTCAGTTGGCCTGCAAACCCACATTAGTGAGAGTGGTGTTGTGCATTTCGCTCTTTCATGGCATGCACTTACAAACTAGTATGAGGCACAGGTGTCAATTATAAACATTGAACAACATCTTAGCCCTGAAGGCAGGAAAGGCTTAAAAGTAATAGTCAACTCTCAAAAGATATGCTAAAATCAAGAGAGTTGACTATGTATGACTATGTATGTTGGCTAAGCATGTTTCTCAGAGTCAAAGGCAGGATTTCAGTAACCTGTTCATTCCCTTGACTAGAATCATAGTCAAGGGAATCATAAGAAGAGACCTCGTGGGCCATCCAGGCCAACCCCCTGCCAAGAAGCAGGAAAATTGCATTCAAAGCACCCCCGACAGATGGCCATCCAGCCTCTGTTTAAAAGCCTCCAAAGAAGGAGCCTCCACCACACTCCGGAACAGAGAATTCCACTGCTGAACAACTCTCACAGTCAGGAAGTTTTTCCTAATGTTCAGATGGTGAAAACCAGAATGATTTGGGTACAGTAGGCCTTTGAATCAAAGAGTAATTTGTACAGTTTCCAGCAATTGGGATCTGGATGAAGAGGGTGGTTTATGGGCCTACCCCTTCTTTCCCTTCCCTTCCTTTTGCCACCTCTAAGGATTGGCCCCTTATCCACCACCCATCTGGGTTCCAAGGGAGTTGTGATTCCATTGGCACTTATGGAGGAAAGGCCCTGAGAGGTGGGAAGGGACCCCAGCCTAGTGTCTGCCCTACGTACGTGGCTACCGTTGTAGACTCCAACTTGAACCAATTTGTTGTTCTGTAGGTTCATGACACTGTAGTTGGCGTATTTCCTGTCGCCATCCTCATTGAACTCCACTCTGCCAGTCACGCCATCGGCATACTTGGTCTGCATCAGCACCCTGGGGAGAAAGGCCCCTTGTTTAGGCATCTGGAGTGATATGCTCTCTGGTCCGGAGAGAATTTGGTGTTCATCTTGGGTCAGCGGAACAGGAGGTGTTCATAGAATCCTAGAGTTGGAAGAGACCTCATGGGCCATCCAGTCCAACCCCATTCTGCCAAGAAGTAAGAAAATCGCATTCAAAGCACCCCGACAGATGGCCACCCAGCCTCTGCTTAAAAGCCTCCAAAGAAGGAGCCTCCACCACACTATGGGGCAGAGAGTTCCACTGCTGAACGGCTATCACATTTGGGAAGTTCTTTCTAATGAATCTTCCTAAAGAATCTCCTTTCTTGTAGTTTGAAGCCATTACTCCACTGCACCCTAGTTTCCAGGGCAGCAGAAAACAAGCTTGCTCCCTCCTCCCTATGACTTTCTTTCACATATTTATACATGGCTATCATGTCTCCTCTCAGCCTTCTCTTCTGCAGGCTAAGCATGCCCAATTCTTTAAGGCGCTCCTCATAGGGCTTGTTCTGCAGACCCTTGATCATTTTAGTCACACTCCTTTGGACACATTCCAGCTTGTCAATATCTCTCTTCAATTGTGGTGCCCAGAATTGGTCATAGAGAGCCAGCAGGTGGGAGAGAAGCTCTGCTAGGGCCGCTGGGTCATCCAGCAAGGCTCTAATAGAAACCCCAGTGAGTCTCCGTCTAGGTTGGAAGCAGCTATACTATGATATGTCCCCACCCCAACCGTCAGTGTGCCAAGGCCCCTTCTCCCTTGGTGGACCTTTCTGATGGTTGTAGAGAGGGAAGCCACACAGAGGAGGATTTGTGGGGCAGGGAGCAGAGGCGCAACAAGGAAGTGGCATTTCAGTCACTGGATAGCTCCGTAATGAGTCAGAGTGAGCTGTGCAGCAAGAGGTGGGACAGGGCTGGGCTTGATAAGTGTGTGCCTATAGTCCAGAGTATTTGTTTGTTAGAGGGTTGTGTCTTCCCCTTAAAGCAACGTTTCTCAACCTGGGGGTCAGGACCCCTGGGGATCGGTCATGGGGGATCTGTGTGGGAAATTTCTGTCGGTCATGGGGGATCTGTGTGGGAAGTTTGGCCCAATTCTATCATTAGTGGGGTTCAGAATGCTCTTTGTAGGTGAAATATAAATCCCAGCAACTACAACTCCCAAATATCAAGGTCTATTTTCCCCAAACTCCACTAGTGTTCACATGTGGGCACATTGAGTATTCATGCCAAGTTTGGTCCAGATTCATCGTTGTTTGAGTCCACAGTGCTCTCTGGATGGCGATGAACTGCATCTCCAAAAAATGAGGTCAATGTCCACTAAACCCTTCCAGTATTTTTTGTTGGTCATGAGAGTTCTGTGTGCCAAGCTTGGTTCAATTTCATTGTTGGTGGAGCTCAGAATGCTCTTTGATTGCAGATGAACTATCAATCCCAGCAACTAGAATTCCCAAATGACAACATCAATCCCCCTTAAACCCACCAGTATTCAAATTGGGGTGTATCAGGTATTTGTGCCAGATTTGGTCCAGTGAATGAAAATACATCCTGCATATCAGATATTGGTTCAATTCCATTGTTGGTGGAGTTCAGAATGCTCTTTGATTATAGGTGAACTATCAATCCCAGCAACTACAACTCCCAGACTCAAGCTCAAAAGCCCACCAAACCTGTCTAGTGTTTTTTGTTGGTCATGGGAGTTCTATGTGCCAAGTATAGTTCAACTCCATCATTGGTGGAGTTCAGAATGCTCTTTGATGGTAGGCGAATGATCAATCCCAGCAACTATAACTTCCAAACGATAAAATCAACCCCCATCAACTCCACCAGTATTCAAATGTGGTTGTATTGGGTATTTGTGCCAAATTTGGTCCAATGAATGAAAATACATCTTGCATATCAGATGTTTACATTAGGATTCATAACAGTAGCAAAATTATAGTTGTGAAGTAGCAATGAAAATAATGTTATGATTGGGGGCCACCACAACATGAGGAACTGTATTAAGGGTCGTGGCATTAGAAAGGTTGAGAAACACTGCCTTGAAGTGTGGACCTTACTCTTCCTCCCTGCCTCTCCTTCCTCCAGCCTCTTCTCCCCTCTCCCACTTCCAGCGCCATTTTCCTCCACCTCCTGCTTCTTCTCTGCTTTGGTGGCAAAGGCAAGGTCTGAAGCTGTGGCCAGGCATGATGCAATGGGCTTGCAGCTCCTGTTACCTTTTGAAGAGAGGGCCCGTCTTCCAGATGTTGGTGTTGCCCACGCAGCCCCTTGGCGGGTCTGTGATGTTCTCCTTCTCAAACAGGTCGTGCACGGCTTGGGCCACCACAGCCACCGCATCCCTGATGTGAGCCGACTCGTTCTTCCCATTCATGAGCTGCAAGCCAATCAGTCCTGGAACAGCAGAAGGTCAGTTAGGCTGGGCACAGGGGGTCTGGGTTCTGCCTGTAGCTCATGATAGGGTCATGAGCTAGAGGCCCAAGCCGTGCACGACCTTTTCCCCTTCGGCCGCTTAAGCGGAAGCGTGCTGGGCCAACTTGCCTCTTATCATTCAATTAACCAACTTCAGACAGTTGTTTCTGCTTCAGCAGCAGCTCTTATTGCAAATAATGAAATGTAAATAAACATAAGAGCTGCTGTTGAAGCAGAAACAACTGTGCTTGAAGTCAGTTAACTGGATGATAAGAAGCAGGCTGGCCAGCTAATGGCATTGATAAGGGTTATGGGCCCAGCACGCTTCCGCTTTGAACTCTTTTTCACACATAGTGGAACCTCTGTGATTAATGGCCAGTGATAGATGAGTCTGATTTTTTTCCTCTAAGCTACTGACCCTCAACCCCAGTGCCCTATATGAAGGGCCAGGTCTGAGGCAGTGGGCAAGCAGTATCCATGCTTGACTTGGTTTGAGGTCTTTGGGCACTGAATATGACACTGCTCTGGTTTCTCTGCACTGTGGGTCACTCAGGGGGAGTGAGATGTATCCGTTAGACGCATGCCACTCATAGAATTATGGAAACATAGAGTTGGATGAGACCTGGTGGGCCATCCAGTCCAACCCCATTAAATCAAGAAGAAGGAAGATCACATCCAAAGCACCCTTGACAGATGGCCATCCAGCATCTGCTTCAAAGCCTCCAAAGAAGGAATCTCCACCACATTCTGGGGCAGAGAGAGAGAGAGTTCCACTGCTGAACAGCTCTCACCATTAGGAAGTTCTTCCTCATATTTAGGTGGAATCTCCTTTCTTTCCTGCAATATTCCATTGCGCTCTAGTCTCCAGGGCAGCAGAAAACAAGCCTGCTCCCTCCTCCCTATGACTTCCCCTCCCATCTTGATTCTGGCCCTCATCCTGTCTCCTCTCCGTCTTCTCTTCTGCAGGCTAAACATGCCCAGTTCTTTAATCCGCTCCTGTTAGGGCTTGTTCTCCAGACCTTTGATCCTTTGAGTCTCTCTCTTCCAGCTTAAAGTCAACCTCTCTCTTCCATTACAGTGCCCAGAATTGGACACAGTGTGATTCTAGGTAAAGTGGTCTGACCAAGGCAGAATATAATTGAGGGGGAGCATGACTTCCCTGCATCTAGGCACTTGGCTCCTATTGATGCAAGCCAAAATCTCATTGACTTTTTTAGCCGGAACATCACATTGTTGCAGTAGCTACAAAAGCATAGGAGGTCAGCCCTGGGGGAGACGCATCTGGTGGTAGGGGAGGGTCGAGGGGTACCTTCTGGGGCGCTGCGCAGGGCGTTGCCCGAAATCTCCCTCTCTCCCACCAGCCAGACGTAGCCGGGACCAGTCATGTTCTCTTTGGCTGCCGCTGTGTAGACCGTAGTGGCATCATCCTCGCTGGAAGAGAGCAGAGAACTGTGGGCCGGGTGGCGCAAACACAGGAGTCCTGGGCTTAGCCAAGGAGTGCTTGGAGTGGCAACCATGGGACCAGGGGCCTTGGGGCTGTCTCTCTGAGTGTCTGTGTGTGGACACACACTCTGTGCTTCTCTCTCTCTGCTGGTGAGCGATGTCCCAAGCCCCCACCAGTTCATTTCAGTTGGGGAGAGGAGGGTTGTCCCAGCAGAGACCCCCTGCATCCCATTGGGTTCAGTTTCATCTTGGGAGAGGACCCCATCAGCAATCCCTTGAGATGGAAACCAGCCGTGCTGTGTTTCATTCCTAGACTGCACAAGTGTCTTGTGTCATCAAGTCTCCAGTCCTCAAAGAGTAGCAAGACTAGAGATAGGATTAAGCTGAGGGGTTCCCCCCTCACATTCCTATGCATGTTTCCCAAAAGGGCTTTCTCTTTCCTCTTTGTGCCAGCTACTATCTCCTCCCCACAGTGTAGCAATGGAATTGATATCGAGCTGACTTCATTTTTGAAGATATTTCCCCCGGGCGTGGCCATGTGGTCATTCACCACCATTGTCTCTTCTGCATTTTTTTCTTCCAGTGAGTACACATTTTGTGTCTCTTTTTAGGCAAAATGTAGCTACATGGATTTTTGACTATTGATTTTTTGAGATTTAGTAAGCTAGTGAGCACCAAAACCTGTTTCATCTAGAATATATTTCTTTTACTTCAATAAATATTTTGAACCTAAAGTTCTGACTCTGCAGTCCTGTGCCATCCTATCGAGTAAAAGCTTATCCCATCTCACCACATGTAAGTTTCTGCTGGTTATGAAGTTTGCTTTTGGTACTCTGCTATATTTATAGCAGAATCACCCCAACGGAGGTTTTTTTTTTTTAGACTCTAACAGCTCAGATTCCCCAAAAGGCCATGAAACACATTTGGGAGAGAAGGTTCCCACCTATCCAGCCTCATGAGTGCAGGCTCTCAGCTTCACAAACGGTCGTAAATAAGATTTCCTCCTCACTGGACGTTTCCAGTTTGAAGTGGAGTCTGACTGCCCATTTGCTGTCCTCTCTGTCATACACTCAAAGCAGTAAAACTTTCATGAAAACAGAACTATTCCGATTAGTGGACATTCCTCCCGTTTTGGAATGTGTGAAATGTGTGTGCACGAGTCTCTCTTTCTCTGTGTAGGTGAAAAGGTGAAAAACAGGCCGGTAGAGTCTTGGAAGGGAAGTATGGTCCCTCAAGAATTCTGCCCTCTCTTTGACTGCAATGTCCCCATTCCGCAGCTTGTGACTCTTTTGCAATAATGTGTCCTAGTCCACTCAAAAGGCCCAGGTCAGCTATTTGCCTCGTCTTCCTTGAGTGCAAAGTAGGGGCTTTTTGGGCAGAAAGAACACATGGGAAACATGGGAGGGCTAGAAATGGAAGACGCCACCCTCAGTCTGGACTGGCTGTTGGACGGGGGCCATGCCGTGCACCTCGTGAGCAGTGCATGGCATGACATCCATGCAGAGCACTTGTCCGGACATCTTCAAATGGGTAGCAATAGGACAGGGGCTGACACTCACTTGGCTATCCTTTCGTTCCCTATCTGGTGAGAATTGCCATTTTTTGTGGTCCTCCAAATGCTGGACTCTTAAGTCACGTATTCCTCATCATTAGTTATCAATCATGACCAGAGCTGATGGAAGTTGCAATACTTGAACATCTGGAATGATGCAGTTTGTTGTGTTGAGTTAGGAGAGTGGGGTTTGCACTTAGACCAGGCATGGACAAACTTTGGCCCTCCCTCCAGGTGTTTCAACTCCCACAATATCAGTGTAATGTCAGTAGTTTAAATGTCCATGCTGCTAGCTGTGAAAGAGTTAATCTTTGGAACATTATGAAGCATGCATAGAACAGATAAGGAAGATGTTGTAATAGACTAGGAGGCTGGGCACTGAATTAATGAGCTGATAACAATGGGGTATAAATATAACAGACGCCATTTGTTCTGACTCTTTGCTTTTGCATTGTGACCATGCTAATGAGTAAGGGTTATTGTAAAGAATGAAATGTAAATAAAGGTAAGAGCCGCTGTTGAAGCAGAAACAACTGTCTGAAGTCAGTTAATTGGATGATAAGAAGCAAGTTGGCCAGCTAATGGCATTGATAAGCTTTCGCTTAAGCGGCTGAGGGGGAAAAGGAAAGGGCCCGAGGTTGTTAGGAATTGTGAGAGTTGAAGTCCAAAACATCTGGAGGTTCGAAGTTTGCCCATGCCTGATTTAGACACAAGGCTTGTGGATATATCATCTGACCTTGGCTTGCAGCATGCACAGAATGACTGGGACCTGACAGGGGAATCCAACCTTGTACGCTGCATAGCCATGGCTATCTATCACTATGTCTTATTTTTGGGGTATGGCTTATATAAGATCTTCTGGGGAGGCCCTGCTCTCGGTCCCGCCTTTCTTGCAGATGTGTTTGGCGGGGTCGAGAAACAGGGCCTTCTCAGCGGTGGCCCCTCAACTGTGGAATGCCTCGCCTAAAGATATAAGATCAGTTCCCTCCCTCTTGACCTTTCGAAGAAAGGTGAAAACCTGGCTTTTTGAGCAGACCTTCCCACATATGGCGTAGTTATACGAATTAATGGAATTACTTGATGACACAATTGAATAATGACTTGATATGGAGATGCTCATGACAGCTTGTATGTTTTTTTTCTATTTTTTGTTAATGTTTTTAATAGTTTTTATGATTGTTTTACTTTTAATTATTATGACTGTTGAGGCATTGAATCGTTGCCACTTGTAAACCACTTCAAGTCACGTCTGGGCTGAGAGGGGCGGTATATAAATATGGTAAATAAATAAATAAATAAATAAATTGTGGAAATGCTTAGAAACCCTGCTATGGCTTATTTTGTGGGTATGTCTTATTTTAAGGGAAACAGGGTTTCTGCATGGTTATGGGGCCTATGGGAATTGTCTTATGGGGGAGCGGGGGATGATTTGGAGGTGTCCTCCCTCCCCAAAGGCAGCCGCTTGTGTCTCAAGGCCTGGATCCATCTGTCCATCTGTCTGTTGCAATGCTCACCTGGCAGAGAGGATGATGACGCGGGCCTCCAGTTCCTTGGCCTCCAAGAGCAGCGAGGTGACATTTTTGGTCCCGGGTTCAAACTGCAGCACCTTCTCGGCCTGAAAGGGGTGCGAGCAAAGCAGGTCAGTGGGGAAGCCAGTTGCCCTTGGGCTGAGAGCCATGCTTTCTAGGAGGAAAGAGGGTCTCCTTAACGCTTTCCAAGCACTGCTAGGTATGGAAAGGAAGGGTGGCCGCTAAGTCGGTGGTCTCGTCTTTTTCTCTTTCTCCCCTTTCTTTTCCTTTTTTTCTCTCTCTTAACGGTTCTTTCTTTTTTCCCCCTTTCTTTCAACATTTTCTCTCTCTCTCTCTACTTTTTAAAAAGGTATTTTGCACTCGGCATGCAAACTGAAGTCACGCAAGACCCAAAAGAGAGGCGTGCATTTGTACAGGAAAGAGGAAAAAAAGGCATATATAGATATATATATATATAGATTCATATATTTATTTTTTTGCAATGCAATTGAAAACTCAAACCAGTGTTGTTTTTCAAAAAACCAAAACAAAACCAAAACAAAACAAAGAAACAAACCACGGGAAACTGAGAAATGAAAAGAACCGAAAGAAAGAAATGCACAAGGTTGACCTCCAGAGCGGGGAGGGGAGATACCAAAGTGAGCGAGATTCACACCAAGGAACTCTTTCCTTTCGGGGCAGGAAGGAGGGGGAGGGACGGAGGGGGAGGGGAGCATTTGGGGAGGGGGTTTGGTTCAACTCTCCAAGAAAGAAAGAAAAGAAAACTTGCAAGTTAATTATTGCTCGACATGCATGTCTCCAAAAGAAATGCTTCCAGGGCTGGCTTGCTACGGTTCCATTCTCAAGGTCAAACCAAACTTATCCCAACATAAAAGAACGTGCTGCCAAAAAACATGGAGTTTGCTCGCTTGCTCAATTAGAGGCATAGACAGATAGATAGTATTTGTTTTTGGATTTTCTTTTCTTGATATTATGATTATTATGATTATCAGTATCTTTATTATTATTATCATTATTTATTTTTATCATTATTTATTTTTGTGCCTGTGGCCAAGTTCATCATTTTTGCTAGTTAGGTTGGTGGGCGGCGTGCATTGTCCATGCAAATATACCTTGGGTCCTCGCTTGTTGTCATAGGATAGTTGTTCGAGGCTGTCATAGTTCCTTTTTTTACTCTGATGAATAATGTGCACAGAAAAAATATGTAGACACAGAAGAATATTATAAACAGTTGAAAAAAAATGACGTGTAGTAAAGCAATCCAATATCCAACTCCTCCTCCACTGTTTGTGAAAAAGGGGGCCGAATAACCCTGGAGCTTGCAAAAACCGGCCGGGGGCATCTCTATGACAAACCCTGATAGTGCTGTCAGTTTTGCTTTTTCCTCAGGCTTGTGTTTATTGATTACCTTTGTTTTTATTGTTTGCTTGTGAATAGTAAACACTGCCATTTCTCTATATTTATTGTTAACGTTTCCAATAATGGTTCTATACGAGTTCAAGGGGTCTTCCAAGGCTAGGATGAGATGGTCTGCAAATGCCTTTATTTCAGTGCTTCCCAACCTGTGAGCCCCCAGGTGCTTTGGCCTACAACTTCCAGAAATCCCAGCCAGTTTACCAGCTGTTTGGATTTCTGGGAGTCAGAGGTCAAAACATGTGGGGACCTATAGGTTGAGAACCACTGCTCTAGAGCTTTGGAGAGCTTCTGTCCAACCATTTTAAAGCTCCCTGCCAAAGTGGTGATGGCACGATCATCAGCATAGATCTCAATAACCCCATAAGTTGAGGGGTTCTCAACTTATGGATCACCAGATGTTTTGGCCAACAACTCCCAGAAATCCCAGCCAGTTTACCAACTGTTAGGATTTCTGGGAGTTGGAGGCCAAAACATCTGGGGACACACAGGCTGAGAACCACTGCTTTATTTTATAGGCTTGATTTGGAGTGGAGAATCAGCAGAGTGGAGGAAGACTGCTTTCGTGGCTGTGAAGGCTAGTGTGGAGAAGCACAGGCCTATAGAGAAGACATGGGCAGACTTTCTAACTTGGGGGCTGCATGATGGGCCGCAGCAGGGTGGATGGGCCGGGAGGGCCCAGGGGCTTCTACCCAAGTTCCCTCCCTGCTCTTCCCTCCCCTTTCTCTTCTCTTTCAGAGGCAGAAAGTGAAGGAAAAGATGTTTGGAAACATTTGCATTCCAAAAAGGTTGGTCTTGGTTAGGATGAGATGGTGGACAGGAGAGAAAAAGTGTATCCATTAGACCCCATATTGTCTTTTCCTGATATAGAATCCTAGAATCCTAGAGTTGGAAGAGATCCCCAAGGGCCATCCAGTCCAACCCCCTACCATACAGGAAGGCACAATCAAAGCACTCCCAATAGACAGCCTCTGCGAACCTCCAGAGAAGGAGACTCCACCAAATCTTGAAACATGGTTCTCATGTTTCCTCTCTACCTTTCTTCTCCCAGCTAAACTTCCCCCAGGAGGAAAGGAGGAAGGAAAAAGAGAAGGAAGGAAGGAAGAGGAAGGAAGGAAGGAGGAAGGAAGGAAGAGAAGAGAAGGAAGGAGGGAGAAAGAGAAGGAGGAGAGAAAGGGAAGGGAGGGAGGAAGGGAGGAAGAAGAGAGAGGAAGGAAGGAAGAGAGGAAGAAAAAGAAAAGGAAGGAGGAAGGAGAGAGAAAGGAAGGAAGGAGAGAGAAGGAAGGAAAGACAAAAAGGAAGGAAGGAAGGAAGGAAGGAAGGAAGAAGGAAGGAAGGAAGGAAGGAAGGAAGGAAGGAGGAAGAAGGAGAGAGAAGGAGAGAGAGGGAGGGAGGAAGGAAAGGGAGGAGAGGGGGAGAAAGAGGAAAGGGGGAGGGGGAAGGGGAAGGAAAGAGAGAAGGAAGGAGGGATAGGATGGTGAGAGAGAGGAGGGCCTGAGAAAAGAGCCCAAGGGGCCACATCTGGCCCCAGGGCCTGGGTTTTCCCATACCTGAACTAGACCATAGCAGCCTTCTCTGAACTTGGAGGTTTCATTTTAAGACCTCTATGAAGTGTTTCTAATCCTTTGATGGTTGCATTTTGAACGTAAACTAAAACCCCATGCATTGGATCATAGCTAGGTGTCATTATTAAATGTATTGGCCGCAAGAATAATCTCAAGTCTCTGTGTAAGTCCTCATTCAGCCTGAGAGGACTTCTAGGACTTGGGAGCAGGAAGAATGATGACCCTGTTCTCTGAATTCAGTGGTCAGTGATGTACGATCTGCATGGCTCAATTGAGTCCAGAGAAGCCAAGGTTGCTGCCTGTTGCCTCTCTGTCTGATTGGCCGCCTCCTATTTCACTCACTGCAGGAAACATCTCCTCAATGAATGTAGTTGGATCACATGGTCACTAAAGAAGAAACCAAGCTGTTCTGTGATCTGTGCCAGCCTCCTCTTAGTATGACATAGCATGTCTTTCCGGGGCTCACCAGGAAGTTCCCCCAGGCTTGTTTCCATGCGCCCATTTACTCTGAGGTCAGATGGTTCTCCCAGGAGTAAGAACAAACCGTATTCCCTTGTCTCCTGATGGAGAGTGAAACGGCTAAGTGTTGCACAGGCCTTGCTTTTGAACTGCATGTTCAGGATTAGAATGGGGCAGCTAAATACACTGGGATAACAAACGTTGAAAGAAATCCATAATAAATTGAAACTTCAGTCAATCAGAAGTAGGTACAGTAGAGTCTCGTTTATCCAAACTTTGCTAATTTGACATTCCGTCTTATCTGACGCACCCCTTTTCCTCCAGCCTTTCCCCTTCAATTAAAGGAGTGCTCCCCAACTCTCTCTCCATTCCCAATAACTGGAAAAGGCAAGTCAAGAAGGAGGAGGAGAAGGAGGGAGGAGAGGGGGGAAAGAGGCAAGACCGGAAGCGGAAGCGTCCTCCCTCCTTCCCTCTGTGATTTCCATGCTCCTCTTCCGCATCTGGGTACTTCCTGCTGGGCGTTGCCTTGCCTTTACTCTTTGAGTCCCTGTTGTTAGCATTCTAGGTGTCTAGCGCCACATTGGACAAGTAACAGTATTATCCGACGTGTTCGTTTATCCAACGTTCTGCTGGTTTGTTAATGTTGGATAAGCGAGACTCTACTGTATGTGTGCATTTCTAAATGGGAATTTCTATTCTCATTTCTTTTGAGCCAGTTTGGACTTTGTGGGCTAGGATCTGAAACTCTAGGTGCCCATCTGACAGAAGGTAGTAGCTTTCCTGCACCATTTCCAGGGCACGGCTTTAGTGTCACGTAACACATTTCTCCCTGAGTCTCTTGGAAAAGACAGATGATGGGTCTGAGCTCTGCCTGCCTGCTGACCAATGGCCTGCTTGTTAAGCGCCCAAGGCCAGTTTTGTTTCCTGTTTCCTGCTTCCTGGTTTGGCCCTTTTTGGGAGGGAGAGAGGGTGAATGGGCTTAGCTGTGTAATTCTCTATGGAAATTTGATAAATTTTTTTGTGGCTGAAGTATGCATGACCCTCAATGTGTGCTCATGCACAAGGAGGTGCCATGCGGTGTGCAGATGGCCATTGCAAATGCCTTCTGCAGCTCCTGGCATGGATTCGGACAAAAGTAGGGCATCCATGTTTCCTGTTCTGTCCTTGAACTGAAAGATAAGGCCTGACTTTGCTTTTCGTCAGTGGAGGATGAGATCTTTTGCAAAATGAATGACTCGAGGAGGGTTATTTTATGATTATTTTGCAGAGCTCCAGGTTATTCTCCCCCTTGTTTCACAGTTGTTGCTGGGTTTTGCTTTTTGTTTTTGTTTCAATGTAGGAGATTTTTCGACCATGGCAAAGCAAGTGAAATGAATAAGAGTACAAACTTTTGTCAGGTACTACTCAAGAGACACTGTTGATGCTTAAAGCATAATGTTAGTCATGTTAACAATGGGAAGAAGAAAGAAGGTGTTTTACATACAGAAGTCTACATACAGACAACAAGTCTGAGACTTTAAAAAGGTTCTGCTGCGTATCGGCAGCAACAACAAGAACAACAACAACAACAACATTGTAGACAGCAGGGCAGGTGCAATACTGACCTTTGACTCTTTCTCTTCCAAGAGGGTCTCTAGTTTCTTCTGGGCTGCCCGCCCCTCATGGTCGTCGCTCACAATGAGGATGATGTGGTTCCACTTGTAGAAGCGCATCATCTCAAACCAGACGTTGGACTGGTGGGAGTATGGCGGCACCGTGCGCAGGAAGGACAGGTGGATACTCTGCGGGAGAGGAGGCCGTGAGCAGGAGCCCCACAGAGCTCGGCCCCACAGCTCCCGCCCCCTCTAGCATCCCTTCCCCATGGGGCTAGTTGGGGCACAGCATTAAGAACCCAATGGGATTTGGGGCTGCATCAGTATCTAGATTGAGGGAAGTCATGGTACCCCTCTGTTCTGTTTTGCTCAGACCTCTTCACTTGGAATAATAACCCTGTGTCCAATTCTGGGCCAAACAAGTCAAGAGGGATATTGACAAGATGGAACATGTCCAGAGAAGGGCCACCGAAATGGTCAAAGGTCTGGGAACCATGAATCTCTCTGAGGAGTGGCTTCAAGAGCTGGGTCTGTTTAGCCTTCTGAACAGAAGGCTTAGAGGGGATGTGGGAGTCATTTATTTATTTATTTATTATTTACGACATTTATATGCCGCCCTTCTCACCCCGAAGGGGACTCAGAGCAGCTTAAAAGATATATATACATACAATATATTATATTATTAGCATAATACAATATCAGTATTATATATTACTATATTGTACTATACCATTATATTGTAATATTATTAGTAATATTACATGTAATATAAAATATATAATTATCTTGCGGCAACACCAGAGGCACTCCAAGTGGCCAGATACTGGTCACAGGACATTTAATCAACTACCAAGGTTGCAAATTTTGTGTTTTGTCTGTTTGTTTTTTTGTTCTGTTAGAAATGTAATACAATTGTCTGGTTGCCCCTGACATGATAAAATAAATAAATAAATAAATAAATAAATAAATAAGTAGTAGTAGTAGTAGTAGTAGTAATATTTTGTATTACATTATAATATTATAAATATTATATGTATATACAATATATTACATTATATTATATTGTATTGTATTATATTATTAGCGTAGCACAGTCATGTCTCAATATTGGAAAGGATGTCCTAAGGAAGAGAGAGCTGCCCTGGAGACGAGGCCTCAACGGAGCCATGGGTTCAAATGACAGGAGAGAAGATTCCACCTTAACATGAGGAAGAACTTGCTGACTGTAAGAAGAAGAGCAGGTCAACAGTAGAAGTCTCTGCCTAGGAGTCCAGGGGAGGCTCCTTCTTGGAGGCTTTTAAACAGAGGCTGGATGGCCATCCTTTTGTGGGGGGCGGGGGGCGGCTTTGATTGTGCTTGAATGGCAGAAGGGAGTCAACCTTTGGATTGCAAGCATCTCCTCCAAAGCCAAGAGTCACTCTGACGGAATTACCTTATCGGAGTAGATGGACATGCGCGTCGTCAGCCCAATGACTGGGATGCGATAGAAGCCCGCCGTGTAGGAGACAGGGGTCGGCGTGAGGTGGTCGTTGGGAGCTGGAGGGTGGCTCACGAGGATGGCATAGACCTGGGGAACACAGCATGCAGAGTGACTGAGGCACGCACCTGGGGGAGCTTTTTTGTAGAGTCCAGGATCAGAGAAGCAGAAGGCAAAACCAGAAGAACGGCCTGCCTCAAGGAAGTGTGCTTGCTCCATCAATGTTTAACACTTACAAAAATGATCAGCCACTGCCAGAAGGGACAGCGAGTTTCATCTATGCTGACGATCGTGCCATCACCGCCGAAGCAGGGCGTTTTGAAATGATGGAACAGAAGTTATCTGAAGCTTTAGGTGCTCTTACTGCCTATTACAGGGGAAACCAGCTCATTCTTAATCCATTAAAATGCAGACGTGTGCTTTTCACCTTAAGAGCAGGCAAGCATCTCGAGCTCTGAGGATGACCTGGGAAGGAATCCCACTGGAGCATTGCAGCACACCCAAATACCAGGGAGTTTCTCTGGACTGTGCTATGACTTACAAGAAGCACTGCTTGACTATCAAGCAAAAAGTGGGTGCTGGAAATAATATCATACGAAAGCTGACTGGCACAACCTGGGAGTCACAACCAGACACTGTGAAGATATCTGCCCTTGCGCTTTGCCATTTTAGTGCTGAATACGCATGCCCAGTGTGGAATACATTTCACTATGCTAAAACTGTGGATATGGCTCTTAATGAGACATGTTGCATTGTCACAGGTTGTCTATGCCCTACACCACTGGAGATATTATACTGTTTAGCCGGTATTGCACCTCCTGACATCTGCTGGGAAGTAGCAGCCAATAATGAAAGGACCAAGGCATTGACATCTCTGCCCCATCCCCTGTTCAGTTATCAGCCAGCATCCCAACAACTCAAATCAAGAAATACCTTCCTAAAATCTACAGAGATACTCGCAGGAACTCCTCAGCAAGCAAGAGTCCAAAAGTGGCAGGCTCAAATCATGGCTGATACCGAATTAGAGACTCCTTCCTGGGCACACTTGGAAGGAGCTAAACAGACTGCACTCTGGCACCATGAGATGCAGAGCCAACCTAAAGGAATGGGGCCACAGAGTGGAGTCCACGACATGCGGGTGAGGAGAAGAGTAAACCACAGACCACCTACTGCGATGCTGCCTGAGCCCTGCCACATGCACAATGGAGAACCTTCTCACAGTGACACCAGAGGCACTCCAAGTGGCCAGCTTCTGGTCAAAGGACATTCCCTCACTACTTTGCGATTTGCTTTTAGTGGACTCGCTGTTTCGCGGGTTATATTAATTAAAATATTAAATATTTATGTCCAGTGGAGGCCAGGGACCCCAGAAGGACATTTAGTACATTGCCAAGTTTTGAACTTTGTTTGTGTATTTAAATATATTACAACTGTACCCTTGGTTAACTTCTGAGATGATAAATCAATTAACCCGGGGGAACAGGTGAGGCAGGCTGTGATAGAGGAAGGCTCCCTTCTGCTGTCAGTTGGAAGGGAAATGTGCAGAGGAATGATTAAGAGAGGGAGGGATACGCTCTTGACTGTGCCAATTGGTCCCTCCACCCACAGGGCTTCCTGATGTAAGGTGGCCTGTGTATTCAGCTGAGAGGCAAAGGAGCTGTGGGCTCCATCTTGCATTGGTTTGAAGCCGTTCCTTATACTGGAAAGATGGATCTGGGAGTGCAAGGTGCAGGAGCTGGTGGACTTCTCTCTCTTAGTGCCGTTAGTGGACGTGCCACTTGCCGACAGAGGTTTAGGAGCCCTCTTTCAAGAGGGAGTGAGCAGAGCATCTCTTTTTGGTGGAGGGATCTGGACTCCTTTGCGCCGGCCTTCCTGGGAGCATTTCCCTCGCCTATCATGCCTTGGCAGGGCTCAGACAACCTTTCCCCGCTGGACAGGCCTAATGTGATTTATCTAACCGCACATTTAATGCGTAAGTGTAATTCCCCTCCAAGGACAGTTTCAGATGAAACGAAGGAAGACGGAGAGATGGAGGAGAGGTGCCAGGGAGGGAGAGGCTGCCAAGATGCTGTCCACAGCCACTGGCAGCCTCCTTGGGCAGGAAGCCAGGAAAGGGGGTTTGTTTCAGGGTCTGCTGCAGGCATGGACCAACTTCGGCCCTCCCTCCAAGTGTTTTGGACTCCAGCTCCCACAACGTGGGTAAGCAGATGATCCCTTGACTGACTGAAGTGTCCAGTTCCAAGAGGACAAAGGCATGGGCCAACTTCAGCCCTCCCTCCAGGTGTTTTGGACTCCCAACTCCCACCACTCCTAACGGCCTCAGAAAAAGGCCTGAGGCTGTTAGGAATGGTGGGAGTTGAAGTCCAAAGCACCTAGAGCAGTGTTTCTCAACCTTCCTAATGCTGCGACCCCTTAATACAGTTTCTCATGTTGTGGTGACCCCCAAACATAAAATTATTTTCGTTGCTATTTCCAAAACTAATTTTGCTACTGTAATGAATTGTGATGTAAATATCTGATCTGCAGTATGTATTTTCATTCACTGGACCAAATTGGGCACAAATACCCAATACGCCCACATTTGAATACTGGTGGGGGGAGGGATTGATTTTGTTATTTTGGGAGTTGTAGTTGCTGGGATTTATAGTTCACCTACAATCAAAGAGCATTCTGAACTCCACCAACGATGGAATTGAACCAAACTTGGGACACAGAGCTCCCACGAACAACAGAAAATACTGGGAGGGTTTGGTGGACACTGACCTTGAGTTTTGGAGTTGTAGTTCACCTACATCCAGAAAGCACTATTCAAACAATGCTGGATCTGGACCAAACTTGGCACAAATACTCAATATTCTCAAATGTGAACACTGGTGGAGCTTGGGGAAAATAGACCTTGACATTTGGGACTTATAGTTCACCTATAATCAAAGAGCATTCTGAACCTCACCAATGATGGAATTGAACCAAACTTGGCACACAGAACTCTCACGGCCCATAGAAAATACTGGAAGGGTTTGGTGGGCATTGACCTTGAGTTTTGGAGTTGTAATTCACCTACATCCAGAGAGCACTGTGTACTCAAACAATGATGGATCTGGACCAAACGGATACTCAATATGCCCAAATGTGAACACTGGTGGAGTTTTGGGAAAATAGACCTTGACATTTGGGAGTTGTAGTTGCTGGGATTTATAGTTCACCTACAATCAAAGAGCATTCTGAACCCCACCGAAGATAGAATTGGGCTAAACTTCCCACACAGAACCCCCATGATCAACAGAAAATACTGATGGTCTTTGGTGACCCCTCTGACACCCCCCTCCCAATCTCCCCCCCAGGGTTCCCAAACCCCAGGTTGAGAAATGCTGACTAGAAGGAGGGCCCAAGTTGGCCCATGCCTGGTCTATTCGGAGAGAGGGTCAGTTTGGGACAGTTCTTCTAGCTCTCAATGGCTGGCAGTGGACAGCTCCTGGTGCTGCCTTCCCTCCCTCCCTCCCTCATTCCTTCCCACTCAGATCTCCCTAATCCTAGGTGTTTTGGACTTCGACTCTCACCATTCCTAACAGCCTCAGGCCCTTTCCTGTGGCTGTTAGGAATGGTGGGAGTTGAAGCCCAAAACACCTGGAGGGAGGGCTGAAGTTGGTCCAGGCCTTTGTCATCTTGGAACTGGAGACTCCAGTCAATCAAGGGAGCATCTGCATCCCCATGTTGTCTGAGTTGGGAGTCCAAAACACCTGGAGGGAGGGCTAAAGTTGGCCCAGGCCACTGTCCTCTTGGAACTGGACACTTAAATCTTGGAACTGGACACTCCAGGCAATCAAGGGATAGAATCATAGAATCACAGAAACCTCATGAGCCATTCAGTCCAACCCTCTGCCAAGAAGCAGGATCATCTACATACCCATGTTGTGGAAGCTCAAAACACCTATAGGGAGGGCTGAAGTTGGCCCAGGCTTTTGCCCTCTTGGAACTGGACACTCCAGTCAACCAAGGGATCATCTGCATACCCACGTTGTGGAAGTCCAAAACATCTGGAGGGAGGACCCAAGTTGGCCCAAGCCTTTGTCCTCTTGGAACTGGACACTTCAGTCAACCATGGGATCATCTGCATACCCATGTTCTGGGAGTTGCAGTCCAAAACACCTAGAGGGCCCAAGTTGGCCCATGCCTCTATCCTCTTGGAACTGGACATTCCAGTCAACCAAGGGATCATCTGCATACCCTCGTTGTGGAAGTTACAGTCCAAAGCACCTGGGGGGGGGCTGAAGTTGACCCAGGACTTTGTCCTCTTAAAACTGGACACTCCAGTCAATCAAGAGATAGAATCATAGAGTTGGAAGAGACCTCATGGGCTATTCAGTCCAACCCCCTGCCAAGAAGCAGGATCATCTGCATATACTCGTTGTGGAAGCCTAGAGCAGAGGGAGGGCTGAAGTTGGCCCATTCCTCTGTCCTCTTGGAACTGGAGACTTAGGTCAACCAAGGGCTCATCTGCATACCCTCGTTGTAGAAGCCCAGAACACCTAGAGGGAGGGCTGAAATTGGCCCAGGCCTTTGTCCTCTTGGAACTGGACACTCCAGTCAACCAAGGGATAGAATCATGAGGAAGAGAACCTCGTGGGCTATTCAGTCCAACCCCCTGCCAAGAAGCAGGATCATCTACATATACTCGTTGTGGAAGCCCAGAACACCTAGAGGGAGAGCTGAATTTGGCCCAGGCCTTTGTCCTCTTGGAACTGGACATTCCAGTCAATCAAGGGATCATCTGCATACCCACGTTGTGGGAGTTGCAGTCCAAAACACCTGGAGGGAGGGCTGAAGTTGGCCCGTGCCTTATGTTTGGGGGTCAGCACAACACGAGGAGCTGTATGAAGGGGTCGTGGTATTAGGAAGGGGGAGAACCCCTGATCTAGCGACCCTTCCCCTTGGCGGGCATGGGAATGCCCCAGTCGATCCTGTTTGAAGGGACGGGCATGGGGCGCGCTCCCGGGGCTGCATTCCTGAGCCAGGCGCGCCCCCGTGTCCTCTCCCCGACGACGTCACCGCGCCAAAGCGCGCCCCCGCGCGAGAGGGAAAGGGAGAGGGCTTCCCTCCCTCCCTCCCTCCCTCCCTGCGTGCCCACCTGGCTGGAGATGAGGTCCTCGCAGACGGAGAGGGCCATCTGGATGGCGTTGGGCTTGTGGGTGACGGAGGTGGCGTTGAGCTGGATCTTCCAGGCGCCGTGCCGCTTGTTGGCCTGCAGGACGGCCTCGCGGAAGACCGCCTCGTGCCGCTTGGTGCTCAGCACCGCGCCCAGGTTGACGATCTTGGGCTCGCAGCCCGCCCGGGCGAAGGACGACGAGAGCAGCGCCGCCAGCACCAGCAGGCGCATGGCTGGGCCCCCGCGGAGCCCCGCGCCCCCTCGCCCCGCCGCTCACTCGCCCGCCAGCCCGGCGCCCAGCCCGCCGCTCTCCGTGGTGCTGAAGCGCCCCCCGCGCGCGCACACGCACCCGCCTGGCGCGCGGCCCCGACGCCGCCCAATGCGGAGAGTCCGAAGGAGGGAGGGAGGGGGAGAGATTGAGGAATGGAGGGACCCAGCCCCACCCTCACGCATCATCACGTTGGAAGGGAGGGTGGAAAGGCACCTTTTGGAAAGGCACCTCCCTCTCTTCTTTCCCTCCTTCCCCAAAAGAGCCCCCATGGGCAGCTGTTGAGTCACTGATTTTTCCCCGGGCTGTGTCGCCTCCCCACAGGAGCTGCCTGGCCATCTGTCCGGAGGGCTCGGCTGAGCCCTGGGAGTCTCTTCCAACTCTAGGGTTCTATATCAAAAACCCAGGCTCAGGGGCCGGATGCGACCCCCTTGAGGTCTTTCCTCAGGCCCTCCGCTCTCTCACTGTCCTGTCCTTCCTTCCCTCTTCCTCACGCCATCCATCTCTTCTTTCCATTCTTCTTTCTCCTTCARTCCTTCCCTTCTACCCTTCAGTCCGTCCTTTCTTCTTTCCTCCCTCCTTCCCCCACTCCCCTTCTCCTTCCATCCCTTTTGACTTTCCTTCCTTCCTTCTTTCCTCCCGCCTTCCCCATCTCCCCTTCTCCTTCCTTCCTTCCTTCCTTCCTTCCTTCCTTCCTTCCTTCCTTCCTTCCTTCCTTCCGTCCCTTTTGACTTTCCCTCCCTTTCTTCCTTCCCTCCCTCTTTCTACCACCCTCCCTCCTTTCATCCTTCCCTCCTTTCCTCTTTTCTTCCCCTCTCCATCCCTTCCTTCCTTTCCTCTTTCTCCTATCCTTCCCTTAACCCTTTCGTCTGTCCTTCCCTCTTTCCTCCCTCCTTYCGTCTCTTTCTCCTTCCTACCTCTCTTCCCAATTGACTTTCCTTCCTTCCCTCTTTTCTCCCTCCTTCCCTCTCATTCTCCTCCCTTCCTCCATTCCATTTTGACTTTCCTTCCTTCCCTCTTTCCTCCCTCCTTCCCTCTCATTCTCCTCCCTTCCATTTTGACTTTCCTTCTTTCCCTCTTTCCTCCCTCCTTCCTTCTCATTCTCCTTCCTTCCTCCCTTCCCTTTTGACTTCCCTTCCTTCCCTCATTCCTCCCTCCTTCCCCTTCTCTTTCCTTCCCTCTTTCCTCCCTCCTTCCTTCTCATTCTCCTTCCKTCCTCCCTTCCCTTTTGACTTTCCTTCCTTCCCTTATTCCTGCCTCCTTCCCCTGAGACCACTGCAGTGCATACCAATGACTGATCAAGACCAAACTTGGCATCCAGAGCCCCCATGACCCATTATGCGTCTTGGTGCAGTTTGGAGGATGGATCTCCAAACTGGGACTTGGGTATGAAAGCTGTAGTTCACCTGCACCTACTGAACTCATCCGACAATGGACCTAGACTACACTTGGAGCACAGGCAAATAACTAGGGCATTTGTAAGTAAATAAATCCAGGGCCAGGCAAGGAAAGCACACACAGAGAGATGGTCCTCTGCCTCTGGCCTTGTCCTGAAGCAAAACAAGATGTGGCCCTGGTTGGGTGGCTTTCCCAGCTCATGGGAGGGAAGCCCAGGCCTCGCCTCCCTCTCAAGGCCAGGAACAGAGATGCGATGGTGGAATCGAGGAGGAGGCTTGGCACAAGAGCCCACTCCTGCCTTGAATGTGAGAAGGTTTGCAGAGAGGGCTGCTTCTGCAAAGCAAGTGGGACCTGGGAAGGCCTTGGAGCGCCCGCATAGGAATGCCACGCACCCTTTGCACCCATTCTAGTCTTTGCCTTTCTGCATGACAGCAGGAAGGAGGGAGGAAGGCAGGAAGGAAGGGGCCTATAAATATCCTTGTGCTGTGCTGTGTGCGCGTTCTGACAGCCCCCTCCCTCCCTCCCTCCCGCCTTCCATGCCAATGTGCCCTGCTGACGTGCTCGAAAAAGAGCCTGTTGCCATGGCAACCGTGCAGTGGCCCACATTCTCCCAATGTGCCCGGAGAACAGAACGAGCACAAAATCTAAAAGCGGATTTAGGAAGCGAGGGAAGAAGAGGGAGAGGGAGGGAGGAAGCCTGCGGTGCCCAGGGAGTGGGGTGACCTTGACCCCGCACTCTCTGCACCCAGGCCTGGCCCTTGGGGGCTTCTCCTCCTTGCCAAAGGCAGTCCCGACACAATGCCAAGCATTGAGCGCAGGGCGGGCAAAGGCACTCATGGGATGCAAGGCAGTCCTAAGGCACGAGGGGCTGAGAAGGGGTCTCCCTCCTCCCTGCAGCCGTGGCTCCTCCGAGGCTCACTCCGCAAGAGGACCACATCCTGCACAAGTGTATAGTCCTCATCAAGGAAAACACACAGGCTCACATGGGGAAGCCCTTTCCTCATTAGGACAGTAGACTGATATTCTCACGTTGCATCCCTTTGCATATAAGCTGCTCCCTCTATATCATCAGTCTGTATACTTGAGTTAAATGCAGCATGTAGTCAGCTGAGTCTTTCCCTCTTTGTTTGGCCTTAGATTCAGTGTAGAGATCATGTCAATTAAGTTGCTGTGTGTTTTCTGTTGCCGTGAGTTTTCCAGCCTGTCTGGCCATGTTCCAGAGGCATTCTCTCCTGACATTTCACCCACATCTAGAATCACAGAATCATAGAGGCCTGGAGAGAATTTGGTGTTCATCTTAGGCCATCATAGAATCCTAGAGTTGGAAGAGACCTCATGGGCCTTCCAGTCCAACCCCATTCTGCCAAGAAGCAGGAAAATTGCATTCAAAGCACCCCCGACAGATAGCCATCCAGCCTCTGCTTAAAAGCCTACAAAAAAGGAACCTCCACCCCACTCTGGGGCAGAGAGTTCCACTGCTGAACGGCTCTTACAGTCAGGAAGTTCTTTCTCATGTTCAGATGGAATCTCCTTTGTTGTAGTTCGAAGCCATTGCTCCCTTGTGTCCTGGAAGGAAGAAAGGCAGAAGAAAACAAGCTTGCTTTCTCCTCCCTCTGACTTCCCCTCACATATTTATTCATGGCTATCATGTCTCCGCTCAGCCTTCTCTTCTGCAGGCTAAACACGCCCAGCTCTTTAAGTTGCTCCTCATAGGGCTTGTTCTCCAGACCCTGGATCATTTTAGTCACCCTCCTCTGGACACAGAGGGTGACTATGGCAGGCATCCTCAGGGTGGTGGGCTGGGAAGGAGAGGGTTTCCCCAAGCCCCTTTCCTCCCCTTCCTCTTCTCTTTCGGAGGCCAAAAGTGAAGGAAAGCCGGGAAGCGTTTGGAGGCCAAAAGGAGGGAGGAAAGAGAGAAAGAAGGAAAGACAAAAGGGAAGGAAGGAGGAAAAGTGAAGGAATGAAGGGAGGGAGGGGATTGAGGGGAGAGTGGGAGGAAGGGGAGAAGGAAGGAAAGAGAAAAGGGAAGCAAGGAAGAAATGAGAGAGAGAGGGAAGGAGGGGGCAGTAGAAAGAGGAGGAAGGAAGAAGAAGGGGGAAGGAGGAAAAGAGAAGGAGGAAGGGAAGGAAGAGGGAGGGAAAGAGGAAGGAAGGAGGGAATGGAAGGAGAAGGAAGGGAAGGAGGAAAGAAAAAGGGAAAGAAGGAAGGAAGGAAGAGGGGAAAGAAGAAAGGAAGGAAAGACAAAAGGGAAGGGAGGAAGGAGAAAGAGGAAGAGGGAAGGAAGGAAAAGAAAGAGGGAAGGAAGGAAAGAAGAAGGAAGGAAGGGAGAAGAGGGGAGGGAGGGAAGGGGGCGTAAGAGGAGGAGGAGGAAAGAAAAGGAAGAAGGAAAAAAGGAGAAAGAGAAGGAGGAAGGAGGGAAAAGGAAGGAGGAAGAAGAAAGAAGGGGAGAAAGAGGGAAGGAAGAAGAAAGAGAGGAGGGGAAAGGAAAAGAGAAAGGGTGGAAGGGAATGAAGGAGGGAGGAGACAAGAGGAAGAGGAAGGAAGGAAGGAGAAAGAAAGAAAAAGGGAAGGGAGGGAGGAAGAGAGGAAAGGAGAGAAGAAAGAAAAGGGCAGAAAGACAAAAGGGAAGGAAGGAGAAAGGGGGAAGGAGGAAGGGAGGAAAGGGGGAAGGAAGAAAGGAGAAAAGGAAAGGAAGAAGGAAAAGTGAAGCAAGGAAAAAAGGGAGAAAGAGAAGGAAGGGAGGAAGGGGGTTGAAGGGAGGGAAGGAAGGAAGGGAGGAAAGAGAAAAGGGAAGAAAGGAAGAAAGAGAGAGGAAGGAGGGAGGAAGAAGGAGAAGGAATGAAAGGGAAGGAAGGAGGGAGAGGAAGAAAGAGGGAAGGAGGAAAAGAAAGGGGGAGGGAAGGAGGAAACAATGAAAGGGTGGAAGGGAAGAAGGAGGGAGGGAAACAAAAAGGGAGGAAGGAAGGGGGGGAAGAAGAAAAAGGAAAGGGAGGAGGGAAGGAGAGGAGGGAGGGAGGGAGGGAGGGAGGGAGGGAGGGAAGAAGGAAGGAAGGAAGGAAGGAAGGAAGGAAGGAAGGAAGGAAGGAAGGAAGGAAGAGAAGGAAGGAAGGAAGGAAGGGAAGGAGGGAAGAGGGAAAGAGAAAAGGGAAGGAGGAAGGAGAAAGAGGAAGGGAGGAAAGAGAAAAGGGAAGGAAGAAAGGAAAAGGAGAAGGGAGAAAAAGAAAGGAAGGGAGGGAGGGGGCTGAAGGGAGGGAGGGAAGGGAGGAAAGAGAAAAGGGAAGCAAAGAAGAAAGAGGGAAGGAGGGAGGAAGAAGGAAAGAATGAAAGGGAAGGAAGGAGGGAGGGTGGTAGAAAGAAAAAGGAAGGGAGAGAAGGAGAAAGGGAGGGGGGAAGGAGGGAGGGAGGAAAGAGGGAAGGAAGGACGAAAGGGTGGAAGGGAAGGATAGAAAGAGAAAGAGGAATGGAAGGAAGAAGGGAAGAAATGAGGGAGGAAGGTCAGGATGGTGAAAGAGAGCAGGGCCTGAGAAGACCCCAAGGGGGTCGCATCCGGCCCCTGGGCCTGGATTTTGCCCAATACAGGATTCTATGGTAGCGAACCCTAGCGTTGGAAGAGACCCCCAGGGGCCAGGCGAGCCCTCCTGACAGATGGCCAGGCAGCCTGTGTATCTGTGTGGAGGCCTCCGTGGAAAGAAGGCAGGCAGTGGAAGGCGCTCCCCTTCACCTGCCGGGCTTGGGCTTCGGGGCGGGAAGGGAAGGAAGGCAGGGCAGGGCAGGGCAGGGCAGGGGGCGGGAGAGGAGGCCTGCCCGCCCGGGATAAGAGGCCGTCCTGTCCGCAGAGAGAGAGAGAGAGGCAGGGCAGGGCCGGGCAGGGATGGCGGAGCCTCTCTCCGTGCTGCTGGCCCTCCTGCTGGTGGTGGTGGTGCTGTGGTGGTGGTGCCGGTGGGCGCTGGGCCCGGAGCGCCTGCTGCGAGGCCCGGAGGCGGTGGGCTACTTGCCGGAGGAGGGATGGACCCGCGCCCAGTCCGCCCTCCGCGCACGGAAAGCCCGCCGCCCGGGACACCCCCGCCCGCCGCCCTTCCCCAACGGGTGGTTCTTCCTCCTCCAGGCCGACAGCCTCGCCCCCGGACAGGCCCGCGCCCTCGCCGCCCTCGGTCAGTCCCGCAGGCAAGGAGCAGAGGGAGGGAGGGAGGGAGGGAGGGAAGTTGGGGAGGGGGGCACGAGGGGGGGGGCTCCGAGACCCCTGCATTGCCCCCGATCAAGGGGAAAGGGGAGAGGGAGAGGTTGACTCTTAAGCTGGAATGCTGTGTCCCAGGAACAAGGGTCTGGAGAACAAGCCCCATGAGGAGCGGCTCAAAGAACTACGCATGTTAAGCCTGCAAAAGAGGAAGAGGTTGACCCAGCTGGAATACTGTCTCCAGAGGAAGAGGATGATTCAAAAGGATCCAGGGTCTGGAGAACCATTCTCATGAGGAGTGGCTCAAAGAACTATGCATGTTGAGCCTGCAGAAGAGGAAGAGGTTGACTGTCTCCAGAGGAAGAGGGCAACTCCAAGGAACAAGGGTATGGAGGACAGGCCCCATGAGGAGCAGCTCAAACAGCTAGGCGTGTTAAGCCTGCAAAAGAGAAGGTGGTTGACTGTCTCCAGAGGAACAGCGCGACTCCAAGAAATAATGGTATGGGGAACAAGCCCCATGAGGAGTGGCTCAAAGATGGCCATCCAGTCTCTACTTGAAATCTTCCAAAGAAGGAGCCTCCACCACACTCTGGGTAGAGGCGTGCCACTCATAGAATAACAGAGTTGGATGAGACCTGGTGGGACATCCAGGCCAATCCCATTCTGCCAAGAAGCAGGAAAATCAAGTAGAGACTGGATGGGCATGTCGAGCCTGCAAAAGAGGAAGAGGTTGACTGTCTCCAGAGGAAGAGGGTGACTCTAAGGAACAAGGATATGGAGAACAAGCCCCACGAGGAGCAGCTCAAAGAACTATGCATGTTGAGCCCACAGAAGAGGAAGAGGTTAACTCTAAGCTGGAATATGGTCTCCAGAGGGCGACTCAAAGGAGAACAAGCCCCATGAGGAGCGGCTTAAAGAGTTTAGCCTGTAGAAAAGAAGGCTGAGAGGAGACAGGATGAGGGCCATGTATACATATGTGAGGGGATGGCCATAGGGAGGAGGGAGCAAGCTTGTTTTCTGCTGCCCTGGAGACTAGGACGTGGAACAAGGGACGTCCCAACAAGCTTTGCCCTTTGCCTAAAGAAGTGGTTCTCACCCTTCTTAATGCCGCGACCCCTTAATACAGTTCCTCATGTTGTGGTGACCCCCAACCCTAACATTATTTTCATTGGGGCTTCATAACGGGAATTTTGCTACTCATGAATTGGCATGTAAATAGGAGGGAGGGCAGGATGGGTTTTCATTCACTGACAAAATTGGGCACAAATACCCAATATGCCCAAATCTGAATACTGCTGGGGTTGGGGGAGGGGATTGATTTTGTCATTTGGGAGTTGTAGTTGCTGGGATGTATAGTTCATCTAAAATCAAAGAGCATTCTGAACTCCACCAACGATGGAATTGAACCAAACTTGGCACACAGGACTCCCATGACCGACAGAAAATACTGGGTTTGATGAGCATTGACCTTGAGTTTGGGAGTTGTAGTTCACCTACACTGTGGACTCAAACAATGATGGATCCGGACCAAACTTGGCATTAATATTCAGTATGCCCAAGTGTGAACACTGGTGGAGTTTGGGGAAAACAGTCCTTGATATTTGGGAGTTGTACTTGCTGGGATTTATAGTTCACCTATAATCAAAGAGCATTTTGAACCCCACCGACAATAGAATTGGGCCAAACATCCCACACAGAACCCAACAGAAAATATTGTGTTTCTAATGGTCTTTGGCGCCCCCCCCCCCCCCCGACACCTCCTTGCAACCCCCCTCCCCCTCCAGGAGTCCCAGTTTCCAGGTTGAGAAAAGCTGTCCTATGAGGATAGAGCAGCTGAAAGAGCTGGGCATGTTTAGCCTTCAAAAGAGAAGGCTATGAGGAGGGCCATGGATCAAGAGGTGTGGGCAAATCATATGGAAGAGGGAGCAGGCTCGTTTTCTGCTGCCCTGGAGACTAGGACACAATGGAGCCATGGTTTCAAATTACAGGAAAGAAAGGAGATTCCACCTGAACATTAGGAAGAACTTTCTGACTTTGAAATCTGTTCAGTAGTGGAACTCTCTGCCCCGGAGTGTGATGGAGGCTCCTTCTTTGGAGGCTTTTAAACAGAGCCTGGATGGCCATCTGTTGGGGGTGCTTTGAACGTGATTTTCCTGCTTCTTGGCAGAATGGGATTGGACTGAATGTCCCACCAGGTCTCATCCAACTCTGTTATTCTATGAGTGGCACGCCTCTACCCAGAGTGTGGTGGAGGCTCCTTCTTTGGAGGTTTTTAAGTAGAGACTGGATGACCATCTGTCAGGGGTGCTTTGAATGAGATTTTCCTGCTTCTTGGCAGAACGGGGTTGGACTGGATGGTTCTTTGAACTACATGATTGTATGATTCTAGGGAGGAAGGGCACGGCTGGCTGCCCTCCCGCTGACCCTTTGCCCAGACCTCGCCTTGCCAATGCGGCCCAGCAGGAAAAGCTGGTCGGGCGGCAGAACCACATAACCAGGCCCTGCCTGCAAATGGCCCACAATCTAACACACACACTGGGAAGAGAGACCACAAGGCAGAGTGGCGGCTTGAGCTTTAGGAAGGGGCAAGGCCTGCTGCTGGAGGCTCCCTCCCCTCTTGCCCTGTTCAGCTTCCCCTGCTCTAAGGCTTTCCTTGCCCTTTGTGCAGGTTCACCTTTCTGGCTTTGGTAATACTTTCCCAAGAGTGACACCAATATAACATGATCTAAGCATGAGTTCCTAGTTCTAAAGGGAAGGAGAGAAGAAAGATGAAGGAATGGGTTGCGGAGTTTTCCTGGGCCATGTTCCAGAAGCATTCTCTCCTGACATTTCTCCCACATCTATGGCAGGCATCCTCAGGGGAATTCCAGACAGGAAACAATCAGGGCCAGCTAATCACTTCCCAACAAAGGATTCCTCCAGGCAGGAAGCAGCCAGGCTTTGAAGCTGCAAGGCTTTGTAATGCTAATCAAGGTGATTATATCGGTAAAGTGAAATATTGCGTATATGGGTTGCTGTGAGTTTTCTGGGCTGTATGGCCATGTTCCAGAAGCATTCTCTTCTGACGTTTCACCCACATCTATGGCAAGCATCCTCAGAGCTTGTGAGGTCTGTTGGAAAAAATAGGCAAGTGGGGTTTGCATATCTGTGGAATGTTGTCCTGGGTGGGAGAAAGAAATCTTCTCTGTTTGAGGAAAGCGTGAATGCTGCAATTGCCCACCTTAATTAGCATTGAATAGCCTTGCAGTTTCAAGGCCTGGCTGGTTCCTGCTTGGGGGAATCCTTTGTTGGGAGGTGTTAGCTGGCCCAGGAATTGCCCTGTTTTCTGAGTGTTGCTCTTTATTTACTGTTCTGGTTTTAGTTTTTTTTTTAAATACTCGTTCATTTTCATGGTTTCGAAATGGTCCACATGCTTCTTGTGGATTTCAATGGTTTGTCTGTGTCATCTGACATGGTGGTCCTATTGTATCCCTCTTTTTCTCTACCAAAGGAGACTCAAAGCAGCTATCCCTGAAAACTGTAACCATGTGTGACTTGAAACCTAGCACATATAAACATGTTGCAATTAATCAACTTGCAGTTTCAAGGCCTGGCTGCTTCCTGCTTGGGGGAATCCTTTGTTGGGAAGTGATTAGGTGGCCCTGATTGAGGAAACTATGAAAATGAACACAATCTGGCTACTAGTATTAAAAAAACTGTAAAATAAGGACAGTAAATAAAGACAAGAAACAAGACAAGAAACAGGGTCAGCTAATCACCTCCCAACAAAGGATTCCCTCGGACAGGAATCAGCCAGGCCTTGGAACTGCAAGGATTTTCAATACTAATCGAGATGATTAATTTCAGCATTCACACTTGCTTCCAATGGAGAAGAGTTCTCTTTCCCACCACAGATATATAAACCCCATTTTCCTAGTTTCCAACAGACCTCACAATCTGTGAGGATGCCTGCCATAGATGTGGCCGAAACATCAGGAGAGAATGCTTCCGGAACATGGCCAGACAGCCCAGAAAACTCACAGCAACCTAGTAATTCTGGCCATTATAGCCTTTGACAAGATATAGAATAGAATAGCATATGGACCTAGCATTCCAATTGTTTACATGGTGTAGCTCTCTGCTGCCACCTGGTGGACAAGCTTTGTAATAGCATCCCACTATTTTATTTGTATATTTGGCATGGGCAAACTTGGGCCCTCCACGTGTTTTGGACTCCCAACTCCCACCATTCCTAACAGCCACAAGCCCTTTCCTTTTCCCCCTCAGCCGCTTAAGCATTATATCTATCTATTTATGTATTGGGACATGAAGGTAGGCCTCTCTTAGGTCTATCACTCTATCACAGAAGGGACAGAGTTTCAACTATGCTGATGATCGTGCCATCACCACCCAAGCAGGGAGCTTCGAAATGGTAGAACAGAAGCTTAAATGGCTGAGGGGGAAAAGGAAAAGGTCTGATGCTGTCAGGAATGGTGGGAGTTGGGAGTCCAAAACACCTGGAGGGCCCAAGTTTGCCCACGCCTGCTCTAGATAGAAGCAGAACTTGCCAGAGGGCAAGAAGCCTGTAGGTGGAGGCTGGAAACATGGTGACTCAAAGGCGCTCTATGTGTCTACCCTTAGGATTGTAAGAAAGCCTACCTACCACCTCATCTCTCTACCTCAGTCCTCCATCACTTTGCTCGCCATGGCATAGGAACAGGCATGGCTATAACTATGACTTTGAAGATGATCTCTGAGGACAGATGATAACTGCATTTCACTCTCAACAGCTGCTCAGATTGTGTATTCAAGATGGGATAGCAAAGCAGGGTGTCCTGAGCTATTAGAGGATGGCTATGAAGATACAGAACATCGCTATTGTATCTCTCAGCAGTTGACTGAAATACAAAAAGCTCAGCTCGAGTCGTGCCTTGACCATACGACTTGCTAGAGAGCCGTCAATAACCACGGGCCCTTTGGATTTAGGGCTGGACTATACCACAGCTGGTAAATCACCACCAGCAGTGATAAGATCTACCGAGAGGTTGCCAGTTCAGGTCGGAGTGAGCACAAGACTGTGAGCCCAGCTCACTGTTTACCTAAGCAGGTTGGAAACAGCTTAGAACTGTAAGTAGAGAAATTACAATCTCAAGTCTGCAAGTAGCGTCTCAAGCGGCTGCTGCACAAATCCTACTTTCGTTTTTATTTATTTATTTATTTATTTATTACTTGCACTTGTTAACCGCCGCTCTCAGCCCTAATGGGCGACTCGCGGCGGTGTACAAAAACATAGAAAAGACAATTTACAATGAATCAAGACAGCACAACAACACTCTACTACTACTACGACATATACTTATATTAAAAATCCGCTTCGTCTAGTTAATGTGTATTCATCCACTGAATAAATACACTATTTACTGTAAATTGTAATTTTTAATGATTAATATTATTTTAGTGTTAGAATTAATACTTTTAAAATATGTATTTTCATACATTGTGATTTTTTAATGTGATTTTTAAACTGCGAAACAAAGTCCGCAAAAAGCGAACTGCGAAGTAGCGAGGGGACGCTGTGTATATGTGGACGGAGGGCTGCACTGGCAGTGCAGAGGCCTGGTACCACTGCAGCAGCCTCCTCTTCTTCTCCTGGGGCATCCCCTGGTGGCCTCCCTGGGTGCTACAGCCCCTTCCTAGGCTTCACTGTGCCCTTGGCCTTCAGCACCCACAGGCGCTATACCCACAGACCCCATCCTTCAGAGATTGAAAACATTCCCCACACTGAATTATGAATTCCCAAAAGCAGGCCTTGATTTTGCCATTGCATGTCATGGGTTTTGGGCATCCCCTGGGGTTCCCAGAATCCAAACCCAGCGGGGCCCACAGCATTCAGAGTACTGTCAAAGGGCAGGAGGGCTTCGCAGCAGAGCTGCTCTGTCTGCAAGGAAGGCTCTGGCGGGCGACTCTCCTGGCCAACTGTGTGTGGGCCTTACCTCCTACTTTCCTGTCTTGCTTTTGCCACAGGGGAGAACTTTGCCGTTTTCCGGGACATGGAGGGGTGTGTGCACGTGGTGGATGCCTATTGCCCTCACCTGGGGGCCAACCTGGCCGTAGGGGGCCGCGTGGTGGGCAACTGCATTGAATGTCCCTTCCACGGCTGGCAGTTCCATGGAGAAGACGGGCGTTGCACCCGCATTCCCTACGCCGAGAAAGGTGAGCAAGGGGTCAGGTTCCCAAAGGAGCATGTGACCCCTCTCAGTTGGCAAAGGCCTCTCTGACCTCTATTCTGTGCCCACAAAGGGCAACCGGTCTCCGTGGGTCTGACCTCCCTTCCTCTCCCTGCAGTGCCCACGTTTGCAAAGGTCAAAGTATGGCCCTCGTGTGAAGTCAGTGGCATGATCCTGGTCTGGTACCACTGTGATGGCCTGGGCCCAACCTGGCAAGTCCCAGAGCACCAGGAGATGCTGTCACATGAGTGGGTCTTCCGTGGCATCACCGAACACTACGTCAGTGCACACATTGAGGTAGGGAGGGTGGGCTGGGAGTCCAGCTGGCTGCTGGACAAGTTGCCCCTTTGCCTCGGCCTTTCTGTTCCAGCCATAGCCCACTAACTGGCCAAAGGAGGCCCATGTTCCTATCTTCTGGCGAGTGGGTGAATCCAAGAGCTTGCTTGCATTGGGACAGTGAAGACACAGTAGTCCTATGGAGGCCGCCAAGTAGCCCCCCCTCTTGTCCTCCAGCCTTGTGACGGTGCCCCCATCTTCCTTATGCCAGGAAATCCCAGAGAACGCGGCCGACGTGGCCCACCTGGCCTTTCTCCATGGGCCCTCCATCCTGAGCGGCGTAGACCTCCGGTACAGCAACACACAGTTCTGGGCCTTCTTCAAGCATTACTGGCAGGTAACCAACGGGGGTGCGCTGACCGGATTGTGCCGGATGTGTCAGCAGCCTTTGGATGGGCTGCTGACAGACCTTCCATTATGGCCACCGTTTGGGAAGGTGCCCAAGGGTCAAAAGTGTGTATGTGTGTGCAGCAAAGGCCCCTGACCTCTCCTGTCCTCTCCCAGGCGCAATGGCAGCCGGAGCCAGAGCCAGAGGCACACTGTTCCAAGTTGTTCATGAAGCATTACGTCACCGTGTTTGGCAAGCGCTTACGCCTTCTTGACCTGACCCTGCACGTCAAGCAGGTAGGGTGCCTGGGCAGGGAGGAGTGCGGCATCGGTGGAAGGGGAGCACCAGCCAGGCAGTGGGGTCTCTGAGCAGCAGAGCAGCGCCCAGGTCCACAACGCAAGGCAGTCCCGTTTCCCCAGGAAAGAAGTGGGCTGTAGGCTCTTGAATGTGGCCAAACCCGGCCTCCTGGGGCTGGTTGGGTTCTCTCCCACCTGCCCACCCAAGAGCTGGACATTCACTCTGTATGTCCATGGAGGGCCACCCACAGCTGTCTTGTCAGTGCCCGCCTGGCTGTTCTAACGGTTCCCCCTCCGAGGTGGGCATCCACAAAGTGGGGCACATACAACCCTTCTTCTTGAACGGCTGGATGTCTGCCAGCTGAGGGTCTCTTCCTCTCCTCTCTCTTCTCGCTGGACCCAGGTGGGGCCTGCCCTAGTCTTCATCATCTTTGAGCACCCGTTCCTGGGCCGTGGGGTCATCATCCAGAGCGTGACCCCTGTGGAGCCCCTCCTGCAGCAGGTGGTCCACCGGATGTACTACCAGCGCAACATCCCGGCCTTCGTGCCCAAGTTCATCCTCTGGGGAGAGCGCGTCCAGGTGAGGACTGGTGAAGAACTGGGAGGCCAAGCGAGGGCCCACACTGTCCAACCTTGCCTGAACTCTCCTCTAGTTGATAAATGCGTTGGGATCACCTGGCCCCTGCAGGGGGTCCTAATGTCCCCTTTTGCTCTTTCTCCTTCCCAGTTTGAGCGGGATATGATGATCTGGAACAACAAGCAGTACCTCTCCAAGCCGCTGCTGGTGAAGGAGGACGGGCCAATACAGAGGCATCGACGCTGGTACGCCCAGTTTTACAGTGAAGGCAGCGTGAAGCCAAATGGTCCAGCGACTGGCCTGGACTGGTGATGCTCTTGGGGCCTCTCTTTTGGTCTTTCCCTTGATCTGGGGACCACGGCAGGGACCCCATCTGTGGGGTGGAGCAACACTTCCACCCCTGTGCCTTCGACCCACCGATTGTGCCACTTGGGAGGCCACTGGGTCTTCCAAAAGACCCCTCCACCTCACAATACTTGGGGTGCCTCTGCTTTTGCTCTCTGCTTGTGGTCTCTCCTTCTCAGGCCTGTTGGGAGCCTGTCCGGACCCTTGAAGGGAGTGCCAGAAATGTGCCCAGACTTGAACCAAGAGGGGCGTTTGTGTGTGTGGTTCTGGGGACAGAGGAGGCTGCGGATGTTGCAAGGTGGCCTCTTGGAAAGGGCCAGCTTTGTCCTTCAAACCAAGAGAAGGCACCCAGCCTTTCTGCCATATTTGTAGAAATGCTGAAACTGGATTCGAAGCCTTCAAGACTCTGAGAAGCCCCCAAGTGCCCTCTGAGGGCGGCCACTGTGGCCCTTGGACAGTGAAGTTGGGTATTTTCAGTGCTGTGCAGCAGGCTTCACAAATAAATCTCAGGAGTGGTTTGGATAGTTTGCCTTGGCGACCCCAATGGGATGCACGGAACCTAGGTTGTCAGGAGTATTGCTCTGACGTGACCTCCCGGTCAAGCCCTTCGGTTTCCTGTCCTGGAACACAGAAAGGTAATCCCACCCCAGATTTTGGCGACACAAGCGCCCAGCCCCCTCCCGAGAGAGAACACTGGAGCAAGAGTTCCTTGTTTATTATTAACACACAGCAAGCGTGACAGTAGATAACTTTCCTCTTTTTTAAATACAGTACATGGATGCGCAGGAGGGCCGGTGCCCGCCGCCCGGGACCGACCCCTCCCTCCTCGATCACGACGACAAGCCCGTGGCGGCCATTTTTATAAAAATAGTGTGTCGCTACAAAAGTATAAATTAATGCTACCGGTATTAAGAAATATTAAACACAGTAAAACTTATAAGGATTAAGAAAAATATTCATTAATACCTGTAGAAAAACTCTGGCCTAAAAAATATTCTTGTATATATTTTTTAAAACTTTTTTTTCTGTAATTTTTTTTCTTTTAAGATGACTTTTAGATTTCTGCAACTCTCTCCAGGAGAGAGAGAGAGAAAGAGAGGGTCCTCTGACAAAGGCGCCCTCGGTATTGCCGGGAACGCTGCTGCTGTTGCTGCTACAGGGAATGGGGTCGCGCGGCTCAGGTGGGCCGGGGGTAAAGGGGTGGAGGGGCTCTCCTTTCATGCCCCCCGCACCTTGACCCACAGAAGCAGGCAGGGCATGGACGCGGGGAAGGACGGGGATGAGAAGCTGCTCTGGGTCCCATTCTCACTAAGTACCCATTCCCCTGCCCCAACACCAGGGCCCTCCCATTCAGGAAAGCCTAGGGTCCCCCTTGGAGGTAGCAGCAGCCCTCAATGCTGTGGCCACAAAGGACATCCCAGGCTGCATAGCTCCTTCCATTCCGACTCTGGGTTGGGGGCACTGAGTGGAGTGCTCACGTTCTCTCCCAAATCTGTGAAGAGGAAAGAGCTTTCTGGATGGAGCAGAGAAGTCTTAGCCCCAGCCTACCTTCTCAAGTGATGCCATGATCTCCATCTCATGCCAACCAATTAGCCATTCTGACACACAGCACATGGCCATGGGCCAAAAGGGAGGACACGACATATGAACCAGCCATAAAATCAATTGCCCCAAGGTTGGGGAAGGAATATGGAAAGGGGCAAGCTCCAGGGGCTAGGATTCTTGAGAGATCAATGATATTGCAGCTAATCTATGGAGCTCCTGATGGTGCAGCATATTAAACCGCTGAGCTGCTGAACTTGCTGACTGAAAGGTTGGCGGTTTGAATCTGGGGTGTGGGGCGAGCTCCCAACGTTAGCCCCAGCTTCTGCTAACCTAGCAGTTTGCAAATATGAGTAGATCAATAGCTACCACCTCGGCGGAAAGGTAACAGCGCTCCATGCAGTCATGCCAGTGGCCACATGACCTTGAAGACGCCAGCTCTTCGGCTTAGAAATAGAGATGAGCACCACCCCCAAGTGTCGGACATGACTAGACTTAATGTCAAGGGGAGACCTTTTGGCTAGGCCTATCTAGAAGGGCAGTAGTGCAAGGCCATTGACTTTTATGGCTGGTTCATATGTCCTGTCCTCCCTTTTGGCACATGGCTGAGAGTCTGATAGTTGGATAGCATGAGATAAAGATCATGACAAGTGCCTTGAACCAAGGGGAGTCGTTGGGAGCCTCGCTTTCAGCCCGTGTTCCTCCCATGGGGCTCCCTTTGGGTCCTGCCCCCCAGAAAAGCCCCTTTGCAGGGCAAGGGCTGGGGGGGGGAGTGTCTTTGCTTGGGGTCCTGCTGGAGAAGCCTGTCCTCCCAAGAGCATGGCTTCCCATTTGGGAGAATGCCCTGTCCCTGTTCCCCAGTTTGTCCTGTCTATTCCAGTGTGTGAATGCGGCAGCCCTCCCAGCATTTACTTCCCACAAAGCCCTGCTCTTCTGCCTCACAAAGCCACCCTCTGAGTTGGCCAGTGCAGAGAGATGGGCATGAGGTTTTCCAGGCATTGCATGGGACCAGCACCACGTGGTCTCCCTGGCAACAGACCAAAGCCACATGGAGGCCCTGAGGAGATCTTATGGTTCCTTTTTAGAGTGAGTTTGGAGCGGCCTGGGCCAGTGCTCTGCTCCTGGTTGCCCTTTGCCCACCTTCAGGCAGACCCTCCCTGGGCCACCTCCACTTGGCCTTCCCTTCTCTGCTTGAAGAGGCCAGCTATTGCTTTGAACATGAACATGGCACAGGGACACAAAAAGACATGCTCTGAGGTGGATGAGTGCTTCTCCTCTCAGGAGAGACTCCTGCGCCCCATCCCGCCTTTGATGGAAGGGTCCAGGAGCAGACCCAAGCACAGAGAAAACGGGAGGGAGGAAGGAAGGAAGGAAGGGAGAAAGAGGAAAAGGGGAGGATGGAAGGGAGGAAGGGGGAGAGAGAGAAAGGGAGGAACAGGTAGGGAGGGAGGACGGAAGGAAGGAGGGGAGGGAGTGAGGGAGGGAGGGAAAAAGGGAGAGAGGAAGGAAGTGAGGAGGAGGAAAAGGAAGGAGAAGAGGGAAGGAAGGAAAGAAGGAAGGAAGAAGGGAAGAAAGAGAGAGGGAGAAGGAAGGAGAGGAGGAGAGAGAGGAAGATGGGAGGAAGGAAAGAAGGGAGTGAGGGGGAGGGAGGGAGGAGGAAGGGAGGGAAGAGGAAGGATGGAATGGAGGGAAGAAGGAAGGAGAGAGGAAGGAAGGGAAGGGAGGAGAAGGGGAAGGAAGGAGAAAGGAAGAAAGGAGGAGGGAAGGGAGGGAGAAAGAAGGGAAGGGGAAAGGAAGGGAGAGAGAGGAAGAGGGAAGGAAGGAAAAGGAAGGAGGAGGAGGGAAGGGAGGGAAGGAGAGGAGAGGAAGGATGGAATGGAGGGAAGAAGGAAAGGAGAGAGGAAGGAAGGGGGAAAGAACCTATGAAAAACAGAGATTGGTTACAGACATTCTTTGCTGTAATAAATTACCGTATTTACTCGAGTCTCATGCTCACCTTTTCTGGCTAAACGACCTCGTTGAAAATAGGGTGTGCATATGACAATTGCGTCATAGAGTCACCTTAGTGTGGAGCCAAAGCAAAGAAGAATCTGTTTCAGAAGCGCCTCTTTGTGGGATGTCACCTGGAATTTAATGCCCATGGGTCAATGCTATGCCATCCTGGGATTTGTAGTTTGGTGAGTCATCAGCCTTTTTATTGGCAGAAAAGGCCTTAGAATCATAAGAATTGGGAGAGATCTTGTGGGCCAACCCCATTCTGCCAAGAAGCAGGAAAATTGTATTCAAAGCACCCCCAACAGATGGCCATCAATACTCTTAATGAAGGCTTTTAAACCACAGCATCATAGCACTGAACCAAAGTGGGTTAAAGTGGATTCCTTCTACAGAATAGTTGAACCCCAAGATTTCTTTTACTGTTGGAATTTGAAGCGCGTAGCCATTGCGGCAGCCAAATGACAAAGAGTGTACTTTTTGCAGCTGTACGTTATATTCAGCAGCAAATACCTTTTTTGGCTTCAGGGTTTTGAAAACTGAGGTCTGCGTTAGATTGGATGGTGCATGAGACTCGAGCAAATACGGTACTTCAGGTCTCTCAATCAACCACCTCTTCTGCAAAAAGGAAAGTAACGTTGCTAGTTCTCAAACTCAAGAGAAGAGAATGGCTTTTCTCTTTCCAAGAAGGGGGAGCAAACCCAACACAATCAAAAGCAATTTACGTTTAAAAAAATCCTTCAAGTCTCCGTTCCCGACTTCTAAGAGATGTGGATGTGTCTGAAATGCAGCTAGCTGCCTGCAAAGGGAGAGCGCTCTGCGCCCAAAGGCCAGGACACAAGGGCCCCGGGCGCAGTTGCTCTCGGAAGCAAAGTCCAGTGTGGATTGGGGCCGAGGGGAGTCCCTGGCAGGAGGAGGCCCCAGAAAGGCCTTCTTTGGGAGGAAGGGACGGAGGGAGTGGGACACAGAGAGAGAGCAGGGGAGAGAGGTTTCCGGTTTTCAAAAAGGAGAACAATAACAAAACAACCTTTCAAGTCAATTGAGAAACTCAGCTGCCGGAAGATGCCGGAGGAGAAGCATCCAATGGGACTGCCCTCGAAAACAAGCGTGTTGTGTCAAGTCCACGCACTTTTCTCAAGCGCGGAGTGTGTTCCTCGTGCAGGAGGCGCCAGCACTCCTTCCAAAGGTAGCTTTTTATATACATATTAATATATATATCTATATACGAGGGTTCTCCGGAAAATAAGGTTACAAGGCATGTAGCTCTCGCAGGGTATTTTCGTGGAGGAAGTTGGTCTCACTGCCGTGTAGGAAGAAGCCAGTGGAAGTGAAGGAGCAGTGCTAGTCGTCAGTAGCTCATCAACTGGCATTGTGGTGAAGGTTGGAGAAGAGCGTCCTCATTCTGTTTCCCTCGAAGTACTAAGTTCACGCTGTAATATGCTCCCTAAATGCTAAGGGCATGAAATTCATCACAAAATAGTTTCAGTTTATGGAGGGGACGTAATGTCAAAACAGCATGGGACAAAATGGGTACGGAATATATTGTGCAACCACGAAGAAACTTCACAGAGCCATCCAAAATAAATGTGGGATGCTGACGGCAGGAATCTGTCTCCTTCGTGACAATGCACGTCCGCACAACGCTCATGCAACACAAGAGTTGTTGACTTCCTTTGGTTGGGATGTTTTCAGCCACCCCTCTCACAGCCCTGATCTCGCACCCAGTGACTATCATCTGTTCACTAAATTGAAAGAATACCTGGGTGGAAAATACTTTTCCGACAACAACGAGGTGAAAATCGAAGTGAGGAATTAGCTGAAAAAGGCAGAGGGAAACTTCTTATGACACAGCATCAAAAATTCGTCCCACGGATGACAAAATGTATTGAACTGAATGGTAATTGTGTGGAAAAATAATGTGATACCTAGGCTACAATTCATATAAGTTGTATTAAAATATATTCATTCTTTGTATTTTTTTAAAAAAACCTTGTAACCTTACTTTCCGGATAACCTTCGTATCTATAAAAAGCACTTTCTTCTTCTCTCTTGGTTTGTGTCCCGGGGCATTCAGAATGAGGTCCACAGTGTTTAGAACTGACTGAAGCGGGGCTCTTGCTTTGGAGGAGCACTGTTTGGCCCGAGGCGCCCCACCCCAACCCTCCCCCCCCCCGTCCCTCCCACCCGCACTGAGCCTTAAAGCATATTGGACTTCAAGAACATGAGCTTGTTCATATCCTCGGTGCTGAGGAGCCGCTACCGCTTGATCAGGAGGGCCTGTTTGCACATATTTACACAGTTGCTGCGGGCACCCACAGCTGGCACGGCCAGGAGCCAGAAGGCCAGCTTGGCCAGTTTGGTGTGCTTCTGGGTCACGCAAGACCAGTACTGGAAGAGGTCTGGCGGCGCCTGGAAGAGGGGCTCCTGCAGGTAGTCGTAGACCTCATTCTTCCCAGAGCGGTCCTCCTCCTGTGCCGGGGAGCCCTCACTGCCGCCACCTCCGCCACTGCTTCCGCTTCCTCCGCCAGAGGTCCGTGGCTTCTTAGAGGCGGAGGGCTCGAACTCGGCCTCCTCGGACCAGGACTCCTTGACCTCGCCGATCAGCTCGCAGACCTTGCCGATGATCTCCTCGTGCTGGTATGGCGGGACAGGGCGCAGCTTCTGCTGGGGGTCCAGGATCATGGCCACCTTGTGAGCCGAGTGGACCTTGAAGTTCTCCTTCAGGGCCTCCAGGAAGAGGTGGCAGAGCTTGCTGACGATGCCGGCGTCGTTGGCCTTGGAGGTGAAGAGCTTCTCCAGCTTGACGTAGGTGGGCAGCACCAGCTGCAGGGTGGGCCGGCTCTCGCCGCTCAGCTCAACCACCGCCTGCTTGACGGGGGCCAGGATGGCAGCCAGGTTGCTGAGTAAGTGCTTGTTGAGGTTCTGGATGAGGCTCATCCTCTTGGCCCGGCTGTAGAACTCGCAGATCTGCTCGTAGCGCTCGTGCACCAAGAGGAGAGAGTCCGTGACCGAGTTCCAGCAGGGCGGGGGTGCCGTCTCCTCCAGCGAGCCAAAGGTCTCCTTGGCAATGCCGGCCGAGCCCGCCAGGTCCTCGCAGACGTTGAGCAGCTCGATGACTTCATGCATGCTGCGGGCCTGCAGTGTCCTCTTGCTCAGCACGCTCTGCACCACTGCGTTGAGAGCACAGGCCGAGCAGCGAAGGCAGAGGCCCGCCTTGGAGAAGGCCGGAGAGCCCGCCTTGCAGTCCGTGACATAGACCGTCCGGATCTCGGGCATCACGAACTCCGAGAGGACATTCTGCGCCCAGTGGTGGACCAGGTCCCCGCTCTCCCGGATGTCCACCCCCTTGACGCCTAGGACGTAGCTCCGGATGCTGTTGCCCTCCGCCTGGTAGGCCGTCAGGATGTAGCAGGCATCGGGTCCCACGCTCTGTGAGTGGCAGGTCACCCCGATGCCCAGGCAGGCGTTGCTGCCCAGGGCGCAAGTGACTTTCACCTTCACCTGATTGTACATCCGGGGCAGGTGCTTGAGAGCCAGCGAGTGGAAATTGCCCAGGGCCTCGGTGACCGAGAAGGCCCCGTAGCGGGCACCGCTGTCCACCAGTGTCTGGGCCAGCTTCACAAACTCCTTCCCGCTCACCACGCTCAGCGTTCCCAGGTCGGCGCACATCACCCGCAGCAGCCGTTCTGCAATGTTCTGCCGCTCCTTCTCGGGGATGGCGCTGTTGGCCAGGGAGCTCCCGCCGGACACTGCAGCAGCAGAAGGGGAGAAAGGACAGACCACCTTTAGGACAGCATCCGGCAGAGGATCAACGGCTCTTCCCATATAGGGCTTTGCTAGAAGCACCTGCTCTGGCAGTGACAAAATGCTTCTGTTTCTGAGGGCAGACCGTTCCCCCTGGGGCCAGAAGAGCCAAGGCTAAGGGGGTAGCCCCAAAAGAGTTGCTTTTAAGAAGGAACCTTGGGTCAGGGGGACGTCATCCTGCGGCAGGACATAGAGATCCACCCAGAGGGCCACGGCACAGCAAAGCCCCCAGGAACGTACCATTGTTAGTGTTGTTGCGCTGGGGCTGTGGCTTCCACTTCTCTTCGATAACGGCTGGCGGAGACCTGGGCTGGTTTGAGGTAACGCTGTTCTCGTTGTCAGCTGAGGAAGGGAGACAAATAGGCGATGAAAGCAGTTGCCCAGACAAGAGACAGGAAAGGCTTGAGGTCTCTTTGCCTGGGCTCCCCCTGCCTTTGATCAGCCTGATATTAATAATAAATAATCAAACCATTTTTAAAAATTCCCATCGGGAGCTATGTTTCTCTTATCATAGGCTAAAATAATGTTTGCCTTCTCTGCTTCACCGTCAAATCACAATCTGCAGGAACCCAAGACCTTTTTGTCAGGAATATTAAAAATTAACTGGGTACTTTTGATTACAAAAGTGTGAGTCAAACACTGAAAGAGTTAGTAGGCCGAAGCCTGTTAGAGTCAGTGGACCAGAGCTAGTGTCGTCCTGTGGAGAGTGAGTAGCCGAAGCCTATTAAGAGTTGGTGGGCCAAAGCTAGTGTTGTCCTGAGGAGTGTGAGGTAAACCTCTGTGTGAGAGAAGCCTCATGTGAGAAAGCTCCAGTGTGAAGGCTGCTGCGTGTAAAAGGCTACTGTGTGAAACTCCTGTGTTTGGTGTGAGAAGAGGCTCTGTGAAAGTGAAGCTTTTTATATGCATGAGAAAGAAGACCAGAGTGGAAGCAAAGATGGAAGTATAAAAAACTTTATTTGTGTTACGGAAACCTAGTTCTTGTAAATAGTTAAAGCATGTTAAGAGTCAGTGGGCCAAAGCTAGTGTCGTCCTGAGGAAAGTGAGCTAAACCTCTGTGTGAGAGAAGCCTCATGTGAGAAAGCTCCAGTGTGAAGGCTGCTGCATGTAAAGCTACTATAGATCTGTTTATTTATGTTATGGAAAACTTATTTTTGTAAATAGTGCAACCATATTATTTTACTACAAAGAATAGCCTCCTACGGAAGAGATAACATTGGTCTGTGTGTTTTTGTTGTTTATCACTTTGGGCTACTGCTGCTGATAAGTTACTCTGCTGCATATTTATGGGGAGGGTGTTTTGTTAATAAGCCCACTTGCCCAACAGTCTTTTGTGGCCTAAATACAGGCTTTTTTGTTGAATGTCCTTTCATTTGTTCCAGCCCCACAAGGAATCCCCGTTCCGAGCTCTGGCCCCCTTCTCCCTACACCCATTGGGCTCGGCCCCCCCCCCCCCCGGCCACCCCCTTTACCTGCATGGGATTGCATGTGCTCCAGGAGGTTGTTGTAGAACTGGAACTGGATGCCGCAGGCCCCGCAGGTGTATGGCTCTGGAAAAGGGAGGCCGAGAGAGAGGAGAAGGGGTCAGGCCTGGTCACAGCCTAACAATCCTTGAACACCCCCCAGGTCAGTGCCAAAGGACTGGGCAGAGTCCGCACTCAGGTCAAAGGAGGGCTGGGCACGGCCTCTGCACCAGGCAGCCCCCAAGTAGAGCTGCAGGACCCTCTGCCACACCTGCTGCAGCCCCATAGAGAAAGGGGGAGTGTTTGCTGAGGAGGGATGTCATGGGGGGAATGGCTGACCAAAGCCTAGCAGGTTGAGTAGATGGGATAGCATTTAAGGCCGATAGGCCAGAGGGCAGAATGAGAGAGGTGGGGGAGGCACTGCCTAAAGGTCTTCTGTTATTGGCATGATGTACCTCCCACTTGGAAGGCCTTCCTGACCTCAGAAATATTAAATATTAACTAGGTATTTTTAATTATAAAAATGTGAATCAAGCACTGAAAGGGTTAAATGGATGGAATGATTCAGGAAAAGCTGCAGTTCAATATAAGCAGGTGTGCCTGTAGCTTAGTAGCCCTCAGTCTGAAAGAGGTCTCTGTAGGAGAAGGGCCTCATTGTGCTAGTAGGCCTCAGCATGAGAAGGCCTCAGTGGGAGAAAGTCCTCAGTGTGTTAGTAGTCACCAGTATGAGAAAGCCTCAAGTGTTAGTTCGCTTCAGTGTATGAGAGGCATCAGTCTGAGAGAGCCTTCAGTATGAGAAGGCCTCAGTGGGAGAAAGTCCTCCGTGTGTTAGTAGTCATCAGTATGAGAAGGCCTCAAGTGTTAGTTCGCTTCAGTGTATGAGAGGCATCAGTTTGAGAGAGCCTTAAGTGTGAGAAGTCCTCAGTTAGTAGGCCTCAGTGGGAGTAGGCCTGGTGTGTGAAAAGCTTCAGTGAGAGAAGCCCCGTGTTGAAGGCCTCATGTGTAAAGCTCCAGGATGAAGGCCGCTGTGTGTAAAAGGTTACTGTGTGAAGCTCCTGTGTAAGTTTGGTGTGAGAAGATGTTCTGTGAAAGTGAAGCTTTATCTGCATGAGAAAGAAGCCCAGGGTGGAAGCAAAGAAGGAAGGAACTTTATTTGTGTTATGGAAACTTAGTTCTTGTAAATAGTTAAAGCATGTTAAGAGTCAGTGGGCCAAAGCTAGTGTTGTCCTGAGGAGAGTGAGGTAAACCTCTGTGTGAGAGAAGCCTCATGTGAGAAAGCTCCAGTGTGAAGGCTGCTGTATGTAAAGCTACTATAGATGTGTTTATTTATGTTATGGAAACCTTATTTTTGTAAATAGTGCAACCATATTATTTTACTACAAAAAAATAGCTACGTACAGAAGAGATAACATTGGTCTGCATTTTTTTTTCTTTTTATCACTTTTTGGCTACTGGTGCTGGGTCCCGCTGCTGCTAATAAGTTACTCTACTGTACATTTATGAGGAGGGTCTTTTGTTAATAAGCTCGCTCGCCCAACATCCCAAACCCAGCTTTTCCTGACTCCGTCCTCTGTTTGTGGCAGCAGAAGCCCAATGGGCCCCAAAGTGGAGGAAGGACCTCCTTCGATCAGGGCCATGAAACACTCTTGTATCAGGAGGACCACAGAATAAACACACCACATCTGCACAGACCTCCTCCTCCTCCTCCAAATTTAGCAATCAAGTGATTGTAAATAAAATTGGGGGGGGGGGCACATGGAGAAGGCGATCTGATGTGGCCCACAGGTCTTTATTTTGAGCCAGGCCCTGTAAGCAACATGAAGCCTGGGGCAGCCCCACTTGCATGGGGAATTGGTGAAGGGCCAGCCCAGTTGAGGGATTGACTGGGGTGGGGGGTCAGGAGGCCGGGTCAAAGCCGGCCCCGAAACGCAGGAGCACAACAGCCATCCTCTGTCACACTTACTTTGCAAAAGCAGTAAAGGGTTTGAGGCCAGGGGACTGGCGGGTTCTGCAAAAGAGAGAGAGATTCAGATATTGAGTCTGATCCAGGGACCTTTGCGGAGGAGGCTGTGGGCTTATTGTTCTGTGGTCTGTCTGGGAGGAGAGCATTTCATGGCCACGATCCCGCCACTGAACTGTCTTTGACTGCTCCTTCCCTGCTCCCAGTCGCAGGAGGGTCTCTTGGCAGATGTGGCCAAAGGGCCTGGGCTAGAAAGGGGCAGCCACTAGCCATTCACTGCACTGGGGCTGCTAACCAAACTGGCTCAGATGTACTTGATTGTGCCAGCAAGACTGCTGACCAAAACATTGGAGGTTCGAATCCGTGGAACTCGGTGAGCTCGATCTGTCAGCTCCGGGGACATGAGGGAAACCTCCCATAGGATGATTAAACATCCAGGCGTCCCCTGGGCAACGTCCTTGCAGAAGGCCAATTATCTCACACCAGGAGCGACTAGTTTCTCAAGTTGCTACTGACAGGAAAAAAGATCTATTCCAAGACAACGCTGCGTTCAAGGAGGGCCACGTGACAGGGGGAAAAGAGGCACCTGGGTGTGAAAATGGAGCAGGTCCTTACCACTGGAGTTTTGGGAGCTGCTGTTGGTTTCTTCAAAGTTGTTCTGCAGCTTGTTTTCCACTCTCCGGCTGAAAGCGCTCTCTGCAGGGGAGAGAACAAGGGGAGATGGGCCAGGGGGCGGTCAGGGTTCGGCCAAGACAGGGTTCCTAGAAGGATATGGGCCTTGTGCTCTCTCTCGATGGGCCCACTGCTTCCTGATGGCTGCAATGCTTCAGGGGTCCCCAAGGACAGCAGAAAAGCTGCAAGGGAGAGTTTGGCACTTTCCTTTCCTGCCTGGGAACTTCTCATTCCCTTGCACGCCACCAGCTCACGAGAACGAACCATCCCTGCACCATTCTCACTCAAAAGGTGAGACTTCCCTTGCACGCTGTCCCCAGCTGCCTGCCACCAGTGCAGGACATTCCCATTCTGTCCCTGCAAGGAAAAAGGCCAAATTGGGGGCAGCAATGGCTCCGGCGGTCCTGAGATGCTTCACACTTCCTGTCCCTCCACTTGCAGAGCACCCAATAAGACAGATCTTCACCATGCAGAATGAGCCGCCCCCCTGCCAGAACAACTGCCCTCAAACCAGCCCTGGCCCTTCGCAGCAGCAAGCTCCCCCAGGCCCTGCCATTGGGGCACAAAGGGGGGCTCTTAGTGCTCTCCATTTGGTTTTGGAGGAAGTGTCCTAATGCAATGGGGAAGCACAGCCCTCACCCCCACTCCAGTTAAGTCCTGGCTGACCCTGGCCTTGAGACCAGCCTTGGCCAAGCAGTTTCTCCCACTTCTGAGGCTTCAAGCAGCCATTCCTTGTAGTCCAGGGAAAGCGACTGGCCAATATCTCAATCCCACATCTGTGCGGTGCCTTTCCAATGAGCTATGGTAACCAAAGACAAAGGAGCCCAGCGCTCCATGCAAATTCCAGCCAAAGGCCTCCGCCTTCCTCAGTCTGGTCAAGTCAACCCAGCGCCAAGGCCCGTGCAGCATTCCCCCCACACTGTCTCCAGGTGCCACCCTTGGCCCAAGACACCCCAAGGCCTTCCCTATCCCCCTCCTGTACAAATCCCTATGCAAAATCATACTATATATTTTAACATTGATATTTACATCTGAATATATATATATATATATATATATATATATATATATATATATATATATAGACAGACTCTGTATAATTGACTTACGAGATCAAGGACACTCACTCTGTGGGAATCAATAATAATAATAATAATAATAATAATAATAATAATAATAATAATAATAATAATACACCACACAGTCCTAGACACTTGGGAAGTGTCCGACATGTGATCCAATACAACAGGCAGCAGAGTGTCTGCTGTGGACTCATCTTGTTGTGTTTCTAATAATAATAATAATAATAATAATAATAATAATAATAATAATAATAATAACTTTGTTTATATTCCGCCCTATCTCCCCTGGGGGACTCAGCAGATTCCAACAAACAGAAAGGCAAACGTATTGTTGAGGGCTTTCATGGCCATCACTGGGTTGCTGTAAGTTTTCCAGGCTGTCTGGCCATGTTCAGAAGCATCCCCTCCTGAAGTTTCACCTACATCTATAGCAGGCATCCTCAGATGTGGCTACCAGTATTAAAAAACTCTAAAATCGTAACAGTAAATAAAGAACAACATTCAAAAACAGGGGAACTCTAGACATGAAACAATCAGGGACAGCTAATCACCTCTCAACAAAGGATTCCCCAGGCAGTAAGAAGTCACACCTTGAAAACTGCTAGGCCATTAAATGCTAATAAAGGTGGCCAATTGACATTCACACCTACCACCAGCAGACAAGAGTTCTTTCTCCCACTCTGGACATTCCACAGATATATAAACTCCGTTTTCCTAGTTTCTGAGGAGGTCTGCCATAGATGCAGGCGAAACATCAGGAAAGAATGCTTCTGGAACATGGCTATACAGCCCAAAAAACTTTCAGCAACCCAGAAAGGAAAATATTCAATGTCTCAATAACAGTAAATACAAATCTAAAAACCCAAGATAACTCCACAGCCTCAGCCAAAGCCTCTTCCCACTGACCAAGCCTCTCTTCCCCTTCTAGAAACCCCAATGACTCCTCCCCTCAGAATGGGGCCCCTTCCCCATATTGAGCTCCCAAAGCCTCCAATGCCACTGGCCCACTGGATGCGTTTGGGGAGGGGCCGAAAAGGCTTAACACTGATCACAAAATCCAGACCCATTATGGAGCCACAGGAGGAAAAGGTCCAGATTGCAACTAGAACAAGACAGCCATCTGAGCCTTGGGGAACAACACGGGGGCTCGCCAAAGAGCCAAAGATTCCCCTGCGGCATAATTCCTAATGCGGATGGGAAGAGTGAAAGCCAGCCAGGCTCCTAACCCACTTCCTGACTCAAAAATAAAATCAACATACAAGATTTTAAGAGGATTTTCGAACCTCTGAGTCTGGGAACAGGAGTGGTTGGAGGCTTGGGGGGGGGGGGGGGGTCAGTGTCTGAGTGTCCCTCTCTGCAAAAAGGGGTCCAGCAGCCCTCTATGGGACCCTGAGGCCGGGACTAGGGGTGGGAGGGGCCTGCTTTTATTTCGAAACAGGGAGGGGGATTAGAAAGGCAAGTGGTACCTGTGGTGGCCTTGCTTCCGGGGGATCCAGAATTGGGCGCGCGGAACATCTGGGGTTGGGAGGCCGGAGAGGCCCCGGAGGGAGAGCGGTGGAGCAAAGTGGAGCACCGGATTATGGAGGCCGACGGCGTTTTTTTGCCCGATTGGCTCCCGGGGGTCTTCACGGCCACGAAGAGTGGAGATCGGGAGTACTCTGGATGGGGACACTCAGAACTAGTGCCGGGACACACAAGACACCCCAGAAACCCCTCTCTCTTGGGAAGGGGACAGGTGGGGAAGTGGGGGGGGGGACTCTCTCCCTTGGGCCTAAGTGTTGACCCCCTGGCTACAGCTTCCGGGCCTCAGGGCTCCTCCTCACAGCCCACCCCCCACTGGGCCCCACTTCCCAGGCAAAACAGGACTGGAGAGGGGAGAGGCCTGGACGGGAGACCCCTGGGTGCAGACTGGTCATCTAACAGGCCACCTGGACATCACCCTCAACAGCCTACTAAGCTATCTCAATCCAATATGCCACAAAACCTAGCCAGCAGCACAACCAAAGGACCTCCCACCCATTTATTGCAAGAGCTCCGGTCATAATCAGTCTCATGTCACTTGGCTCATTCACCAGTCCATAAGCACTAGGACTGGCTTAGAGGGATGGGGGCCCAAAATGAAAGACCTCTCCCCACCCATGAAATAAAAGGGGATTCCTCTTTCAGGGCCCTTCTGCTTCTCCCCACTGGCCTGGCACACGTTGTGACATGTTACTTTGAACCCAATAATTTGTATTGTATATGTGTTTTATGCTTTTAAACTGAATACTGTTTTTTAAATGTTGTAAACCGCAATGAGTCGCCGACTTAGGCTGAGATATTAGCGGTATATAAGCGTATAAATAAATAAATAAATAAATAAATAAGTCCCATAAAATCAAATTGCGCAGGCACTGGGCCTAGAGGAAGCAAAGGGTGCCACCCAAGGCTCTTCATAAAACATGAGGGAGATATTACACCCTCTGTCAGAAATATTAAAAATTAGGTATTTTTAATTACAGAAGGTGAGTCAAGCACTGAAAGGGTTAAGTGGGTGCAATGACTCGGCAAAAGCTGTCGTTCAATATAAGCAGGTGAGCCTGTAGCTGCTTAGTGTTCGTTCGCCTCAGTGTGAGAGAGGTGTCAGTCTGAGAGAGCCCTCAGTGTGAGAAAGGCCTCGGTTTGAGAAGGCCTGAAATGAGAAGCTTCAGTGAGAGAAGCCTCAGGTTGAAGGCCATCATGTGTGAAGCTTCAGTGTGTGTAAAGCTGCTGTGTGTGAAGCTCCTGTGTAAGTTCGGTGTGAGAAGAGGCTCTGTGAGAGCGAAGCTGTTTATCTACATGAGAAAGAAGCCCAGTGTGGAAGCTGTTCAAAGAAAGAAGTATAAGGAACTTTGTATTGTCGAAGGTTTTCATGGCCGGAATCACTTGGGTGTTGTAGGTTTTTTCGGGCTATATGGCCATGTTCTAGAGGCATTCTCTCCTGACATTTCAGCTGCATCTATAGCAAGCATCCTCAGAGGTAGTGAGGTGGCCATACAGCCCGAAAAAACCTACAACACCCAATAAAGAACTTTACTTGTGTTCTGGAAATCTTGTTTTTGTAAATAGTGCAATCATATTATTTTACTACTTTGGAAGAGATAACACTGGTCTGTGTTGTTTTGTTCTTTTTCTCACTTTGGGCTACTGGTGCTGGATCACACATTGCTACTAGTAAGTTACTCATGGGTAGGGTCTTTTGTTAATAAGCCCCCAAAGTCTACTGACACACCTGAAATCATAAGCTACTTTCACATTGCTTTCACTCCCTATAAAAACAAGCACAGAATGACCCCCGTAATCATGGGGCTGGTAGCCATGCCTTGTTTATCCACGTCTCACTACATATGTTCTCTCTAGGCCCTCCAGTGCCATTGTATAGTATGCACCTACCAAAGTCACCATCCACATCCGTTCATGACTTGTGGGCCCCCTTCCCTCCCTTGGTTCACATCCGCCCAGCACTGCCTCTCCCTCTGCCCACACACAGAGGCACAAACACACACAGAACTTCCAAATGTCCCTTCAAAGGGGCCCAGAGACAACCTCTGCCTAGAAAACGGCTGCAACGGGGCCAAAGCCAGGGCTTCTGAACAACCAGTGAAAGAGAGCCATGTTTAAATATCTGACGGGATGCCACACTGAGGAGGGAGCAGGCTCCCTTTCTGCTGCCCTGGAGACTAGGACTCAATGGAGGCATGGGTTCAAATGACAGGGAAAGAGATTCCACCCAAACATTAGGAAGAACTTCCTGACTGTAAAAGGAGGTGCCTAACATCTCCCTTAATGTCGCAAGTCAACAGTGAGCCCCATAAGGGAACTCTGCTTCTTAAAGAGGATTCCAGTTTATAATGTTCATTTTCACTGAACCAGAAGTAGATTTATGGCTTCTTCCAACTGATGGGGAGGATCATAGACTCCTAGAATTCAAAGAGACCCAGTGGGCCATCCAGTCCAACCCCATTCTGCCAAGAAGCAGGAAAATCACATTCAAAACACCCCCAACAGATGGCCATCCAAAACCTCACAACCTCTGAGGATGCTTGCCACAGATGCAGGCTAAACGTCAGGAGAGAATGCTTCTAGAACATGGCCATACAGCCCGAAAAACCTACAACCACCCATCCAACCTTTGCTTAAAAGCCAAAGAAGGAGTCTCCACCACACCCCGGGGCAGAGAAAGAGAGTGTTCCACTGCTGAACAACTCTCTCTCACAGACAAGAAATTCTTCTTCTTGTTCAGGTGGAATCTCCTTTCTTTCCTATCGTTTGAAGCCATGGTTCCCTTGCGTCCTAGTCTCCAGGGCAGCAGAAAACAAGCCTGCTCCCTCCTCCCTATGATTTCCCATCATATTTTGATTCCTGGCCCTCATCATGTCTCCTCTCCGCCTTCTCTTCTGCAGGCTAAACATGCCCAGCTCTTTAAGCCGCTCCTCATAGGGCTTGTTCTCCAGACCCTTGATCTGGACACATTCCAGCCTTTCAACATCTCCCTTTCATTGCAATGCCCAGAATTGGACACAGTGTGGTTCCAGGTGTGGCAAAATAGAGGGGTTGCATGACTTTCCTGGATCTAAGCACTAGACTCCTATTGATGCAGGCCAAAATCCGATTAGCTTTTTTAGCGGCTGCATCGCATTCCTGGCTCATGTTCCCCTTCCTCCCCATGAAGACTCCAAGATTTTTTTCACACACATTGCTCTTGAGCCAGGCAATGTCCCCCATTCTGTATCTGAAAGGCTGAAAGGCGATCTGTTGGGAAGGATTTGATGGTGCTTTTTTCCTGCCTGACAGAAGGGGGTTGGACTGGATGGCCTTTAAAGGTCTCTTCCAACTCTAGGATTCTAAGGGAGTAGCCAACTGAATGGCAAATGCAGTTCAGTGGATTGCCACAGCATGGAGGTCACAATGGATGGCAAAACAACTGGCAAAGTGGCCTTGGGACTGGAGGGGAGAGTCCCAAAATCAATGAACGAATCAGTCAGTCACCCAATCGACTGGTCGATTGATTAACCAATGTGCTGACATTGGCCACAGCAGCCATTCTATTTATTTATCTTCTCCTCAAAGAAAGGAAAGAGAGGAGGTGGTCTGCAAATGGAGGAGGAGTGAGGTGGAAGACCCACAAAATCAGGTGCAGGAAGCAAGGGAACCGGAAGATAAACAACCACAGCTACTGCAGGAAAAAGGGGGGAAATTATATTGCATTACATTATCATAGTATAAATATTATAATATATTGTATATACATTTAATATTTATAATATTATATTGTAATGCAATATTATACTACTAATAATAATATATTATAATTATACATTTATTGCATGTAATATTACTAATAATATTACAATATAATGGTATAGTACAATACAGTAATATTTAATACTGATATTGTACTATGCTAATAATATAATATAATGTATGTATATATTTATATGTATCTTGTAAGCCGTTCTGAGTCCCCTTCGGGGTGAGAAGGGCGGCATATAAATGTCGCAAACAAAATAAATAATTTTCCATAACGACAACTCTGCTTTTTTGGACATGGATGCTCTGCAAATACTGGGAAAGGATGCTGGGGAGGAGGAAAAACCCACCATCCCACTGGTGCCCTAAAATGCTGCCTCTCCTGGCCACTCCTGCCTCCAATCCCACAAAGGACATGAGTGTGAGAGCCCCATTCCCCCCACTTCCAGACGGAAAGGGTGTCCCTGTGTTAGATACTCACTGATGGGGGCGTGGAGGGCCACATGCTCCTGGTAGGGAGTGTAGTACTTGTACTGCTTGCCACAGAACTCGCAGGTGTAGTTGCCTGTCTCTGCAAGGAAGGATGGAAAGAAAGATAGACACTGAGTTTGGAAAGGAATATGGAGATCTTCCAGCCACATCTCCCAATTGGATGGATGCTCCCGCCCCTGGACAAGGGGAAACTTCATCCTGATCCTTCTCACCCCAATCAAAAATGGTGATACCCCATCCCGGAAGCTGCTAGAAGGAAACATAATTAGTAGGCCTGGGTGGTTTCGTTCGTTAATTTTGTAATTCGTTAATTATTCGTTATTTTTAATAATTACAAAACGATTACAAAACACATTTTCAAACCCGGAAGGGTTTTAAAATAACGAAGCGGCATCCCCCATTCTTTTAACGAGCTTCCGCCCGTTTCGGAAATTGGATGGAGGATGCTGGTGCCTGGGAGCCAATCCGGCGCTCCCAAGCACCCAAGCAGTGCACCGTGGCTGATTTTGATTGGCCGGCAAGGCCTTTAAAAGCGGCTCCGCATGGCCGCAGAGCTCATTTGTTGCGCGGAGGCGAGGGAGGAGAGAGGTCTGGGAGGGCTGCTTGCTTTGGGTTGGCTTGGTTGGTAGGAAAAAGACTTGCATTGGGTTGGCTTGGTTGGAAAAGACTCTTCTGTTGGTGTGTGCTCTCGATTGCCCTGTCTTTTGGCTGTGTTAGCTCTACATCAGGGCCAGTTTTTGGTTAATTTTCCATTTCTGAATATTTTTTAAAAATACCTGTCTTTTATTCTTAAAAAAAATACAAAAAATATTCCAAAAAAAGAAAAGACTCTTCTGTTGGTGTGTGCTCTCGATTGCCCTGTCTCCTGCCTGTGTTAGCTCTACATCAGGGCCAGTTTTTGGTTAATTTTCCATTTCTGAATATTTTTTAAAAATACCTGCCTTTTATTCTTAAAAAAAATACAAAAAATATTCCAAAAAAGAAAAGACTCTTCTGTTGGTGTGTGCTCTCGATTGCCCTGTCTCCTGCCTGTGTTAGCTCTACATCAGGGCCAGTTTTTGGTTAATTTTCCATTTCTGAATATTTTCTAAAAATACCTGCCTTTTATTCTTAAAAAAATACAAAAAATATTCCAAAAAAAGAAAAGACTCTTCTGTTGGTGTGTGCTTTAGATTGCCCTGTCTCCTGCCTGTGTTAGCTCTACATCAGGGCCAGTTTTTGGTTAATTTTCCATTTCTGAATATTTTCTAAAAATACCTGCCTTTTATTCTTAAAAAAAATACAAAAAATATTCCAAAAAAAGAAAAGACTCTTCTGTTGGTGTGTGCTCTCTATTGCCCTGTCTCCTGCCTGTGTTAGCTCTACATCAGGGCCAGTTTTTGGTTAATTTTCCATTTCTGAATATTTTCTAAAAATACCTGCCGTTTATTCTTAAAAAAAATACAAAAAATATTCCAAAAAAAGAAAAGACTCTTCTGTTGGTGTGTGCTCTCGATTGCCCTGTCTCCTGCCTGTGTTAGCTCTACATCAGGGCCAGTTTTTGGTTAATTTTCCATTTCTGAATATTTTCTAAAAATACCTGCCTTTTATTCTTTAAAAAAATACAAAAAATATTCCAAAAAAAGAAAAGACTCTTCTGTTGGTGTGTGCTCTCGATTGCCCTGTCTCCTGCCTGTGTTAGCTCTACATCAGGGCCAGTTTTTGGTTAATTTTCCATTTCTGAATATTTTCTAAAAATACCTGCCTTTTATCCTTAAAAAAATACAAAAAATATTCCAAAAAAAGAAAAGACTCTTCTGTGGCGGTGTGCTCTCGATTGCCCTGTCTCCTGCCTGTGTTAGCTCTACATCAGGGCCAGTTTTTGGTTAATTTTCCATTTCTGAATATTTTCTAAAAATACCTGCCTTTTATTCTTAAAAAAAATACAAAAAATATTCCAAAAAAAGAAAAGACTCTTCTGTGGCGGTGTGCTCTCGATTGCCCTGTCTCCTGCCTGTGTTAGCTCTACATCAGGGCCAGTTTTTGGTTAATTTTCCATTTCTGAATATTTTCTAAAAATACCTGCCTTTTATTCTTAAAAAAAATACAAAAAATATTCAAAAAAAGAAAAGACTCTTCTGTTGGTGTGTGCTCTCATTTGCCCTGTCTCGTGGCTGTGTTAGCTCTACATCAGGGCCAGTTTTTGGTTAATTTTCCATTTCTGAATATTTTCTAAAAATACCTGCCTTTTATTCTTAAAAAAAATACAAAAAATATTCCAAAAAAAGAAAAGACTCTTCTGTGGCGGTGTGCTTTCGATTGCCCTGTCTCCTGCCTGTGTTAGCTCTACATCAGGGCCAGTTTTTGGTTAATTTTCCATTTCTGAATATTTTCTAAAAATACCTGCCTTTTATTCTTAAAAAAATACAAAAAATATTCCAAAAAAAGAAAAGACTCTTCTGTGGCGGTGTGCTCTCGATTGCCCTGTCTCCTGCCTGTGTTAGCTCTACATCAGGGCCAGTTTTTGGTTAATTTTCCATTTCTGAATATTTTCTAAAAATACCTGCCTTTTATTCTTAAAAAAAATACAAAAAATATTCCAAAAAAAGAAAAGACTCTTCTGTGGCGGTGTGCTCTCGATTGCCCTGTCTCCTGCCTGTGTTAGCTCTACATCAGGGCCAGTTTTTGGTTAATTTTCCATTTCTGAATATTTTCTAAAAATACCTGCCTTTTATTCTTAAAAAAATACAAAAAATATTCCAAAAAAAGAAAAGACTCTTCTGTTGGTGTGTGCTCTCGATTGCCCTGTCTCCTGCCTGTGTTAGCTCTACATCAGGGCCAGTTTTTGGTTAATTTTCCATTTCTGAATATTTTCTAAAAATACCTGCCTTTTATTCTTAAAAAAATACAAAAATATTCAAAAAAAGAAAAGACTCTTCTGTTGGTGTGTGCTCTCATTTGCCCTGTCTCCTGCCTGTGTTAGCTCTACATCAGGGCCAGTTTTTGGTTAATTTTCCATTTCTGAATATTTTCTAAAAATACCTGCCTTTTATTCTTAAAAAAAAATACAAAAAATATTCCAAAAAAAGAAAAGACTCTTCTGTTGGTGTGTGCTCTCGATTGCCCTGTCTCCTGCCTGTGTTAGCTCTACATCACGGCCAGTTTTTGGTTAATTTTCCATTTCTGAATATTTTCTAAAAATACCTGCCTTTTATTCTTAAAAAAATACAAAAAATATTCCAAAAAAAGAAAAGACTCTTCTGTTGGTGTGTGCTCTCGATTGCCCTGTCTCCTGCCTGTGTTAGCTCTACATCAGGGCCAGTTTTTGGTTAATTTTCCATTTCTGAATATTTTCTAAAAATACCTGCCTTTTATTCTTAAAAAATACAAAAAATATTCCAAAAAAAGAAAAGACTCTTCTGTTGGTGTGTGCTCTCGATTGCCCTGTCTCCTGCCTGTGTTAGCTCTACATCAGGGCCAGTTTTTTTGGTTAATTTTCCATTTCTGAATATTTTCTAAAAATACCTGCCTTTTATTCTTAAAAAAAATACAAAAATATTCCAAAAAAAGAAAAGACTCTTCTGTTGGTGTGTGCTCTCGATTGCCCTGTCTCCTGCCTGTGTTAGCTCTACATCAGGGCCAGTTTTTGGTTAATTTTCCATTTCTGAATATTTTCTAAAAATACCTGCCTTTTATTCTTAAAAAAAAACAAAAAATATTCTAAAAAAAAAAAGACTCTTCTGTTGGTGTGTGCTCTCGTTTGCCCTGTCTTGTGGCTGTGTTTGGTCCACATCAGGGCCAGTTTTTGGTTAAGTTTCCATTTTTGAATATTTTCTAAAAATACCTGCCTTTTATTCTTAAAAAAAACCAAAAATATTCTAAAAAAGAAAAGACTCTTCTGTTGCTGTGTGCTCTCATTTGCCCTGTCTCGTGGCTGTGTTTGGTCCACATCAGGGCCAGTTTTTGGTTAATTTTCCATTTTTGAATATTTTCTAAAAATACCTGTCTTTTATTCTTAAAAAAACCAAAAATATTCTAAAAAAAGAAAAGACTCTTCTGTTGGTGTGTGCTCTCGTTTGCCCTGTCTCGTGGCTGTGTTTGGTCCACATCAGGGCCAGTTTTTGGTTAATTTTCCATTTTTGAATATTTTCTAAAAATACCTGTCTTTTATTCTTAAAAAAAAAAAAATATTCTAAAAAAATAAAAGTCTTCGGTGGCTGTGTGTGCGTTTGTCATTTGTGTAGTTCCAACCAGTGCGCTCCTTTTGCCAACACAAAGTGCTACATACACTGCTCGCTCATCATTTGTGTAGTTCCAACCAGTGCGCTCCTTTTGCCAACACAAAGTGCTACATATACACTGCTCGCTCATCATTTGTGTAGTTCCAACCAGTGCGCTCCTTTTGCCAACACAAAGTGCTATAATACACTGCTCGCTCATTTGTGTAGTTCCAACCAGTGCGCTCCTTTTGCCAACCCAAAATATTTAATAACGAAGTTATTAATAACGAAGTTTTTAATAACGAAGTTTCGGAAGTCGCTTTGCGCATGCGCAAAGCGCCCGCCGTTTTAACGAATCGATTCGTTATAACCTTAACGAATCGACCCCGCACCAATAACGAAGCTTCGGAAGTGATTTTGCGCATGCGCGGGGGGTCCGCCATCTTAACGAATCAATTCGTAAATATTTACGAAATTTCATAAATACCGAACTTTTCTTTGGGAAAATTTTGTAATTATTTTAAATATCGAAACAAAAAAACACCCCAATTACAAATCGATTTTAGAAACAAATTTTTGCGTTGTTACCCAGGCCTAATAATTAGGAATTGATGCGTTGTTGTAGGTTTTTCAGGCTATATGGCCATGTTCTAGAAGCATTCTCTCCTGATGTTTTGCCTGCATCTATGGCAGGCATCCTCTGAGGATACCTGCCATAGATGCAGGCAAAACATCAGGAGAGAATGCTTCTAGAACATGGCCATATACAGTGTTCCCTCACTTATTGCGGGTGTTACGTTCCAGGACCACCCGCGAAGAGTAAAAATCTGCAAAGTAGGGACGATATATACACACACATACCGGCCACACGTTGCTGTGGCCAACCTTCCCTCCCTCTTTCTCTCCTTTATTTCTCTTTCCCCCCTTTTAGTCTTTCCTTCTCTCCTTCCTTCTCTTCCTCTTCCTTTCCTCCCCACTTTTCTTTCACTTCTTCTTTCTCTACCTATTCTTGGACTGTAGCTCCCAGCAGTCCTCCTGATCGATCTACATACCTACCTGCCTATCTCTATCTAATCTAGCCATCTGGAGGATTGCTGGGAGTTGCAGTCCAGGAATAGGAAATTGGAAATATGCAGGCACTGGGATGTTCTCAAAGAAATCCAAGGAGAAGAAAGCTTGGAGATTGGAAACAGTGCATTTGTATCATCCTCCTCTTCTAAAGGGCCTGGTCAAGGGGATGCTGGGAGCTGTAGTCCAGAAGCGAGTGTAGATGTGCTATTGTGTGTTTTGTTTCCTGGGGAGTCTTTTTGCGCATGCACTGCAGTGTCTTTTTGCTTTTTTGGCTTTTTAAGTCCCTTCTGCTGTGTTTTTCAGTGATTGTATGAGTGATGGTCATTCATTGGCCTGATAGGTGTCTTGTGTCCAAATTTGGTGTCAATTTGAGTCGCCTTCGGGCTTGAGATACAGCGGTATATAAGCAAAGTAAATAAATAAATAAATAAATTTGTCCAGTGGTTTTTGCGTTATGTTAAACCCACAAACGAACATTACATTTATATTTATATAGATATATCGCATTCCGAGGGTGAGGCAGAAGCGAGGAGAGATTTAAAAGGACCGCGCACCTTTTTTTTGCTAGCTATAAGGAAGGGGGCTATAAGCCCATGATTTACATCATCCCCCCCAGAAGCTGGATGGCCATCTGTTGCGGGTGCTTCAATTGTGCTTTTCCTGCAGGGCCCTGGGGTCTCCCCACCCTTCAAAATCCCCCTCATGAAAGTTCTTTATGGGCCAGGCAGGGTTCCACATGAGCAAGGAGCAACCCCCCGCCCCCAGGGTAGACTTCGAAAGCTGGTTAATTACTTAAGTTGCAAACTCGGTAAGTCATACTTGGACCAATCTTCTGAAAGGGCTCAGGTTCCTCTTCCTTGACCTCCTCCTTGGCGATCATGGCCTGGTCGTAGGGATCTGCCGGAGGAGAGAAGCAGGAGAGAGCTCACCAGGCGCCTCTGACCATCTCATCTCCTAATCCAGATACAGCTGGATCCATTCCCTTCCCACTCTGCGCCCCGTTCATTAGAATGGCACATCTGTACCATTTTTCAGAAGGGTTTATCTGCAGTTCCTTCTCCTGAGATCTAGCCTACCTTGCTTGGGATTCCTTGGTGATCTTCCATCCAAGGACGAGCCAGGACTGACCCAGTTTAGCCTCCAATTTGAAACTAATTGGCCCAAAGCGCCGCCAACATGAGGGAACGCCAAATCATAACCATCTGGCAGTTTCAGCCCCAACATGAGGCATCTTCAGACCTTCCGACAGGCGCATGCAGCCTCTGTGTGTGAAGGCCACACTCCCCAGGACCCCACAAACGACACTGCCCTGCATGGGCTAAATCCAAACAGAGGCTTTGGGCAACAATCCGGGTCAGGGGGATGGTTTTGTAGTAACACACCAAAGAGTGCTTCAGTCTGCTTGCTCCAAACCACAATCCAACCTAGATTGGGAACACTTCTGGCCACCTCCTCCTTCTGGGTCCTGGAGAAAGCAATGTGGCCCCTCCAGCCCCCCCCCCCCTCCATATCCCTCAGCTGTGGCTTTGGGTCTCCCGGTGCCCAACCAACCCTCACCGTCCACGGCATGCAGGTCCCGGTGCTCCTGGAAGCAGCTGTAGTACTTGTACTTCTTCCCGCAGATGTCACAGGTATAACGGAAGTTGTCTGCAAGGAGAGAGAAGAGGAGCCATGCTCAGAGGGGCCCAGTGCCGCCACCTTTCCCCCCAAGCCCTCTCTGGAGCCTCCTTCCATCACAGCGATGCAAGGAGGGCCTCCAAGAGAAAGCCCCCCCACTGCACAGAGAAAGGTATGGGTCCAGCGGGGCCAAGCAAACGAGTCTGGAGGCTCCTAATGGAGGGCATGCCTTGTCAAAAACATTACAAAAATGTGAGTTAAGCACTGAAAGAGTTAGTAGGCTGAAGCCTGGTAGAGTTAGTGGGCCAAAGCTAGCGTCGCCCTGAGGAGAGTGATTAGTGTTAGTGGGCCTCTGTGAGGGAACTCCTCAGTCCGTGTGAGGAGGCTTCTCTGTGAGGTAGGATTCCCAATATAAGAAGGCTTGGGATGAGAGAAGCCCCGTGTGTAAAGCTCTAGTATAAAGGCTGCTGCATGTAAAGCTACTATGTATTTTTGTTATGGAAACCTTGTTCTTGTAAATAGTGCAACCATCTTTTACGTAAAGCCTCCTATGAAAGAGGTCTGTGTGTTTTTGTTCTTTCTATCACTTTGAGCTACTGGTGCGGGCTCACCCTGCTGCTAATAAGTTACTCTGCTGTACATTTACGAGGAGGGTCTTTTGTTAATAAGTCCATTTGCCCAATATTTTTTCCCTGTAACTTTTCATTACTGGGGCAGGGAAGGGATTAAAGAGAGAGAATGCCCTTCTACTGCCTTGCATTTCAAAAAGCAGGCCCTTCCCTGCACACTGGGGCTGTACTGTTTCAAAACACACTGGGGCCTACTAACACACTGAGGCTTCTCTCACTGAGGTCTGCTATACTGAGGACTCCCTCAGACGGATGGCTACTAAGCTACAGGCACACCTTTTTATATTGAACTGCAGCTCTGCACACTGGGGCTGTACCTGTTTCAAGATACACTGAGGCTTACCTCACACTGAGGCCTTTGTCCCACTGAGCCCTTTTCACAGACTGTGGGTGAACTAACACTGAAGCCTTCTCATACCGAGGCCTACCAACACACTGAGGCCTCTCTCACTGAGGCCTGCTAACACTGAGGGCTCCCTCAGACAAATGGCTACTAAGCTACAGGCACACCTACTTATATTGAACTGCAGCTTTTGCAGAGTCATTGCATCCATTTAACCCTTTCAGTGCTTGACTCACATTTTTGTAATTCAAAATACCTAGTTACTTTTTAATATTTCTGACAACACCTATCCCCAAAAACAGCCTCCACGGCTGGGAATGTGATCAGTGACCCCATAAAGAGGAAAGGGGGGCTAGTAGGACCAAGTAGGTCATTCTCTGGCAACCAGACACACCTTTAGGTAGAATGCTATCAACCAGGTGTCTGTATCCACCTGCCTGCTGCTCATGTCGCCTTTTGTTGCCTAGCCGCTTAGTGGAAGTGTCAACCCAGCAGTGGTGGCCCTAGGTGGTAAGAGCCCCAGCTTTTGGAAGTGAGAGCAGAGGCCCCATGGTGGGAGGGCAGTTGGGGGGCGCCAAAACAGAAAGCACCTCTGCTTTGGTCACTCTGGAAACCTTCCCATGGTGCCTTTGCTTGGGCTCCAAAATGCTGGCTCTGCCGGGACTCCCCTCAGCCCCATTCTGCATAATGTGCTTTATTCTATGTTCATGCAGCGGTGCCCTCTGGTGAAGACTGAGACAGGGGTGCAAAACAAACCACCATCTGCCTCCTCACACTAGTGTGAGGAGGTCCCATAACTCAACATGCCCTCATTCCTCCATGGAGCTCAGGAAGCTCTTCCTACTGAATCCTCCCAACAAGCCTTTGAGGCAGAGATGGCAGAAGGAGCCAGGGAGGCCCAGTGGCTACTGGGAAGGGGCCAAGGACCAGTCTCCAGCCCTCCCAGGATGCACCCTGCCTCCTCTAATGCAAGCCCTCTCAGTGGAGCCACAAGTGCTGTGCGTCTCTTTCCAGCCAATCGGTGGACAGCGAGGGAGGAGAGCGAGAGAGAGAAAGAGGGCATGGGGCAGCCCTAGAGCCTTTGGGGAGGGAGCAAGCACTACGTGTCCAGTGGCACCGCTCTTGCTCTGGCCCCAAAGCCCCCTAAACTCCTGCGCCCCTTTCTCCCTTGCAGGAAGGCAGGCAGACGGACAGGAAGACGGATGGTACTTACTGCCTTGGGAGGCTCCTTCGCCCGACGTGGCTTCCGTGTCTACGCAGAGAGAAAGCCTCGCTTTAGAACGACTACATTGCAAGTCTGTACAGCACATTGCCCGCAGAGAGGCACCCATCCCCTGCCAGAGCCAGGGCCAAGTGCTTGGCCCAGGAAGGCCTCCCCCTCAGCCTGGACTGAGCCTCCAAGGAGGGCCTGGAGCTCAGGGCTCAGAGGACGCCGCTCCCTCCCTGGGACCCAAACATTAGCCCTGCGACTCAGAATAAGCTACGGGCTCTCAAATGGATCTCTGACATAAGAGACAGTGCTACTGAGAAGAAGCCCCCTGGCAATGCCATCTTTCCTCATCTGTTGTAAAGGACATCTTCTGGTCTGCAAGATGGCAAATATAGGTTTGGGAGAGGAAGGCACCTCCAGAAGCCAAGGACTCTCCATGACTGCAGGGAGGACGTCAGTACCCCTGGCCCTCCCATGAGGAAGGAAACCACACTAAGGATAGGCACCCCCCTTACAATAACAGAAGGGTGCAAAAGAGACTGCAAACCTATGCCATTTGAGCAATTTGCACAGCCTCTACGCTGGGACACCTGGGCCTCCCTGCTCTCCTCACTTTGGGGTGGGCTCCTAGCCAATAACGCACAAGCCAATTGAAGGACCAGCAAAAACAAGGGCCTGCTTCCCATCTGCTATGCAGCCAAGTGGCAGCCATCTTTTTCCCAGCTTCAGCTTTGTGGCTAACAGGCAATGCGGACATCCCAGCTTGGGTTGGAAATGGATCTCAACCGCTTCTTCTTCAGCAGGAGACATCTGTCAACAATTCCATCTTTGGGGTGCCAGGAGACTTTCCGCAGCCCCTTCCCAACCCCTCCAGTGCTCCGCCTCAAGACTGCTCTCAAAGACAGCTTTGGGGACTTTCCTAAGAGGCCCAGCTTTGTCTCTCTCTCTCTCCTCCTCCCCGTCCCCTTTATGGAGCCTTCCGCTGAGCTCCAAAGCTTGCTCTCTGCCTTGCGAGTTGTTTAGCCAGCTTCAACAGAAGGATATGCTCTTCTACTGAGGCTTTTGCAAAGGAGGAACATCCTGGGAACCAGGTCGTGAGCACAGCCCCTGTCTCAGGATAACCTCAGAATCCCAATCGCACCAGGTTTTGGGAGAAGCAAAGCGCAGAGCAAGTTAAAGTCCAGGGATTTACCTCTGTGTGCACGAACGTGGGTCTGGAAACAATTGTAATACTTGTATTTCTTTCCACAGATGCCGCACTCATAAGATCCTGGAGGAAAAAAGAAAACGCAGATGAGATGAGATTCAAGCAGCACCTATAGTAATGGTCCGAGTCCCTAAAACCAAAGCACTTTTACGGGTTTAGCCTTACAGGAACCCTACACTGGAACTTCTGACCAATGTCATAAATATTAAATATATAATATAATATTTTCTAACATAATTATATTAATATAATATAATGTTTCTTTTGCCAGAAATATTAAAAATTAACTAGGCATTTTTAATTATAAAAATGTGAGTCAAACACTGAAAGGGTTAAATGGATGCAATGACTCAGCAAAAGCTGTAGTTCAATAAAAGCCGGTGTAGACTTCTGTTAGTTTGCCTCAGTGGGAGAAAGCTCTCAATCTGTGAGAAGGCCTCACAGTGTGAGGTAGGCCTTAGTCTGTGAGAGAAGCCCCTGTGTGAGTTAAGCCTCAGTATGAGAAGGCCTCTGTGAGAAGCTCCAGTGTGAAGGTTGAATGTTATTTGTGTTATAGAAACCTTGTTCTTGTAAATAGTGCAACCATATTGTTTTGCTATAAAGAAAAGCCTCCTAAGGAAGAGATAACATTGGTCTATGTGTTTTTGTTCTTTTTATCACTTTGAACTACTGGTTTCTGGGTCACACTGCTGCTAATCAGTTACTCTGCTGTACATTTAAGAGGAGAGTCTTTTGTTAATCAGCCAATTCACCCAACATCTAACACAAGTAGGGAGAAGACATCTCTCCCAAGTCACAGTATGCTTCTGGAGGGAAGGAAGGAAGAGGCAGCAAGGCCCTGGCTTACCGAGCGTCTGCTGGTTGCGCACGCCCCCAATCACCACGCAGATCTCTGCTGGCACCTCTCCAGTCCCGTCCTTCGGGCCCTTCTTAGGCTCTTTGGCACCGCTGCCATTGTCCTGCCAGACCACCTCCTGGACGTAGTCATCCGGGAGCTCCGTCTTCACCTTCACCTCCGGGGTCAGGGCTGCTCCTGTGGCCTCCTTCTCAGGTGTATGTGGCTGGGTGGGGGCTGCCTCGGAACCCTCTGCCTTCATGCTCTTCTGGGTCCGCTTCAGGCGCTCCCTGGGAGGGAGACAAGACAGAATGTGTGTGAGAGAGGCTTCAATTTGAGAGAGCCCTCAGTCTGAGAATGCCTCAGTGTGAGGTAGGCCTCAGAATTAGTAGGCCTTGGTGTGAGAAGCTGCAGGTTGAAGGCCTCGCGTGTAAAGCTCCAGTGTGAAGCCACTGTGTGTAAAAGCTACTGTATGAAGCTCCTGCTTTGTAAGTTTAGTGTGAGATGAAGCTCTGTGAGAGCGAAGCTTTTTATCTGCGTAAGAAAGAAGGCCGGTGTGGAAGCAAAGGAGGAAGTATAAAGAACTTTTATTTGTGTTATGGAAACCTTGTTCCTGTAAATAATATTATTTTGCTATAAAGAAAAGCTTCTGTCTGTGGTCTGTGTGTTTTTGTTCTTTTTATCACTTTTGGCTTCTGGTGCTAGGTCACACTGTGCATTTATGGGGAGGATCTGTTGTCAATAAGCCCAACATAAACCACTGGATGTGACTGAGCAGACTGCACCAGACACAGGAGAAAATTTCCACAGCATCACCTACCGGCTGGTGGAGGACCTGGTACCAACGCTGCTGCCACTCCCTTCGGCCTGGGAAAGAGAAAAAGGGGGACAAGATTAGATTTCATGGCAGCCGATAACCCTTTGGAAACATTGGAAGATTTTGGAAATGTTGTAAAGAATACAGCACCCAAGTTTTGAGTGCAGAAATAAAATGAGGAGACAAGGGAGGACTCAAGGGCAACCTGCTCTCAACAGAAGAACTGCCTTCCTCCAGATTCATGGCTGAGCTTGCCATAGCTTTAGGTCTCCCTCTCTTCTTGTTCAGTTGCGGGCAAGACCACAAAGAGGGGCAAAGCACAACCTCTGTGGGATGGAGGAAGGTGATGCTGTTGGGACCCTGCTGGTTTCTGTGGCACGAAACCAGTGGAAGTGCCCTCTTGGGCCAAGAAATCCCAGGCTTCTTTAATATCCAGAGTATTGTGCAGGCAAAGGTTTCTCTTCGGCAAGTGGACCAGGAGTCCAAGGGAAAGGGTAGCCCCGTTGGAAAGTGGGGTGGAATATGCACAAACAGGGATCAAGTGACCCACTGCTCCTCCATCTGGATCAAGATTGAAAGCCCAGGGTCCGGTTGACACGTCCCCTTCCCCTTGAGGACTTAGGGGCTTCCTTCCAGGGCCAAGATCTTCCAAAAGGGGGGCATTAGGGGTTGCTGAAGACCCTCTGTGTGCCCTGGCTGTCGCAAGGAGGGGGCACCATGTCTCCCAGACACCCCTTTATGCAGCGTGTGGGGCTGGAGAAAGCAGACCCTGGGGAATGAGCTCCAGAGGTGGAATGAGTAAGGCCAGGCTATCAGGCACCAAGGGTCCATGCTTTCTCTGTGCTCCATCTGAGCCAATTGGGAAAGCCAGCCCCCCCCCCCATGTCGAGACCCCAGCCCAGACTGTACCCCATTTCCCTAGAGCAGGGCCTGCAAAGTAAGGCCCACCAGCCCCCGCTCTAAACCTGAGATGGAGGGTCGCCCTGATCTGAAACATCTTGAAGGCCCACAACAATAACAACAGTAACCCTAATTAACTGGACTCTCTCACCAGCCAAAAGCAAGCCCACAACACAAATTGGTAAGTTGATGTTGGTTAGCATTATCCTAAATATTATATTGTTCTTTAATGTTTGCTTTTCTTTTTTTTTTTGGCACTACAAATAAGATCATGGTTTTTTCAAACTATAGTCCGGCCCCCCTGAACAGTGTGTTGGGCAGAGAACTGGCCCTCTGCTTAAAAAGTTTGAGGATCCCTGCCCGAGAGAATCATAGAATCCTAGTTGGAAGAGACATTACATAGCCACCCAGTTCAACTACAATCATGCTAGGGAGGAAAAGCACAATCTACGCCCCCCCCCCCCAAACAGATCGCCATCTATCCTCTGCTTAAAAGCTGCCAAAGAAGGAGACAGTGAGTTCCACTGTTGAACATCTATTCTTCTTACGGTCAGGAGGTTCTTCCTAATGTTCTGGTGGGATCTCCTTTCCTGTCCTTCAATTACTCCCAGTTCTCTCCAAGTCCCCTCGCTGCTATTTCCTCCCCTTCCCATTCTCTTTTGGAGGCAGAAGTGAAGGAAAGACTGGAAACATTGGGAWCCCAAAAGAAGGAATGGAGGGGAGAGAGTGAAGGGAGAAGGAARGAAGGAAGGAAGGAAGGAAGGAAGGAAGGAAGGAAGGAAGGAAGGAAGGAAGGAAGGAAGGAAGGAAGGAAGGCGAAAGAGAGGGAAGGAGGAAGGAAAAAAGGAAGGAAAGACAAAAAGGAAGGAGAGGGAAAGGGAAGGAGAAAGAGCGAAGGAGGAAGGAGAAAGAGAGAGGGAAAGAGGGAGGAAAGAGGGAAGGAAGGAAAGACAAAAAGGAAGGAAGGAAGGAAAGAAGGAAGGAGAAAGAGGGAAGTAAGGAAAGACAAAAAGAAAGAAGGAGAAAGGGAGAGGGGGAAGGAGGGAGAAAAGRGGGAGGGAAGGACGAAAGGGTGAAAGTGAAGGAAGGAGGGAGGGAGGGAAGGAGAAAGAAAGGAAGGAAARAGAGGAGGAAGGGAGGAAGGATGGTGACGGAAATGAGGGCCTGAGAAAAAAGCCCAAGGGGCCACATTCGGCCCCCGGGCCTGGGTTTATTCATACCTAATCAATAGCCAAACAGCACAGCATTGCCCCCTTTGCAGCATCAGCAAATGCCCATTGAGCTGATAAATCTTTGCTGATCAATTTGTTTTCAAGCAACTGCTTTGAATTTTAAATTCAGCCCCTTCCCTCCTCCTCCTCCACAAAAAAAAAAAAAAGACCCTACTGCACCACAGAGTGCCCTAAATCTATCTATTCAATATCTGTATCTGTCTTTTCTCAAACACAATATTATTTCAAACCTCAATTTTTTTTTATTTCAGAATTTGTGTAAATGTACGTCAGGAGTCTGGGCACATTTTGCTTTTTTGTGTGTGCGCGAATAGCAAAAACCAGCCAATTCAGGGGCTGCGAGGGAAACGAGTTCGATAAAATAACCCCCTTTTTTAATTTAAATGCTAATGCGCTGAATTAAAATTTAATAACTGAGGAAATTGAAAAGCCAAGCTGGAATATTGGAAATAAATCCAAGCAGAAACAGCTAAAATTAAAAATTCTAGAGAGTGGGAGGACAGAGGCTAAGCTGCCTGATGCGATTACGTTCCCCCCAGAAAGGAAGGAAGGAAGGAAGAAACGGGGAGAAAACAATCCTGTCTCCGGCTGCCGCAAGGCAGTAAATCGAAAGCTGGGTGATTTATTGTCCAATTTTCCTGAGGGGGAAAAAGACCCCCTCCTTTCAGGCAGAAATATTTCATAAATTTCAAGACGGCATAAATTCTTAATTTAAAAAGTTATAGAGGTCACTTCCAGTGCATGGGCGCAATTTTGAAATCTGAAAGGAATGCCAATAACGGAAAGGAAGAAAAAAAGAGGGGAAAGAATGGTAATTTCAGTTATTATTTCCATGCAACACAACCGAGATTTCCCAGCCACAAAAAGGACAGAGCCCGGATCAGGGGGGACGGGGACGTTGGTCAAGAGGAAGTCCCGCCCCACACTTGACCCCAGGACAGCCGCCATTTTGGGGCAATCTCATCGTTATCACAAAATAGGGATTCAAATTCTGCTCTTGTTCTTTCAAAACCAGATAGTTCCTAATCCGTTTTCAATACTTCACATATTTATCTATGCCAGTGGTTCCCAACCTTTGGGCCTCCAGGTGTTATGGACTTCAGCTCCCACAGTTCCTAACAGCTGGTAAGCTGGCTGGGAATTCTGGGAGTTGAAGTCCAAAACACCTAGAGGCCCAAAGATTGGGAACCACTGATCTATACACATAATAGAAGTGGAAATATATACGTGTGTATATGGCTGGGGTGTTCACTTACACAGACAGGCCCCCGACTCCACGAACAGCTATAGCTCCCACCACTCAGCAGACACCAAAAGCCCTTCCTCCAATGACATTGCAGGTTTCAGAGAGTGCCGTAAACATACAAGAGCCCTGCTAATGTCCTCCATAGACATCACACTGCCCACCACCCAAGTGAAGACTTTCATACAGGGACAATTCCATCTTGGATTTTCTGTGTTAACTCCACCACAGACATCCCAGTGTTTCTGACTCTCTTCGCTGGTGTGGAATTTGCATGGCCCTGCCCAATGCCTCTCCCTTAACCCTTTCCTACCCTTTTCCATGTTAAAGAGCCCTGCCAATGTCTTCCACCAACACCACACTGCCCACAACCCAAGTGAAGGCGTTCATACAGGGACAATTCCATCCTAGATTTTTTTGTGTTAACTCCACTGGTGTGGAATTTGCATAGCCCTTCCCAATGCCTCTCCCATAACCCTTTCCTATTCTTTTCTATGGCACACAGCAAACACAGGAATTGATCAGCAACTGAACATACTATAGAAGTTTGGGGTGAATTCATTATGATTTATAGGAGTTGTAGGTACTGGAATGTATAGTTCACCTGCAATCTAAGAACTACACTCTGAACTCCATCAACGATGGACCTGGAACTAACTTGGCACACAGAATACCTATAAACAACAAAACATATTGGAGGTCTTTGGAGGGATTTAGAGGAATTGTAGTTTACCTACATTCAGAGCGCGCACTATGAACCCAAAACAATGACGGATCTGGGCCAAACTTGGCATGCATACCCAATATGTCCAAATTTGAATACTGCTGGATTTTGGTGGGAATTGGCCTGGGTATTTTTGAGTTGTAGGTATTGGGATTTATAGTTCACTTGCAATCAATGAGCACTCTGAACTCCACCAAGGATGGAATTGGACCACACAGAGCCCCCATGACCAGGAAAAAATACTGGAAGTTTTTGGGGGGAAATTCACTTTGATTTGAGGGAGTTGTAGTTCACCTACATCCACAGAGCACTGTGAACACAAACACCATTGGATCTGGACCGAACTTAGCACACACACCTGATATGCCGACATTTAATTACTGAAGGGATTTGGGGGGAACTACAACTCTCTTTGGGTGCCCCCGGTGGCGCAGTGGGTTAAAGCACTGAGCTGCTGAGCTTGTTGATCGAAAGGTCGCAGGTTCGATTCCGGGGAGCGGCGTGAGCTTCCGCTGTCAGCCCTAGCTTCTGTCAACCTAGCAGTTCGAAAACATGCAAATGTGAGTAGATCAATACAGGTACCGCTCCGGCGGGAAGGTAACGGCGCTCCATGCAGTCATGCCGGCCACATGACCTTGGAGGTGTCTACGGACAACTCTGGCTCTTCGGCTTAGAAATGGAGATGAGCACCACACCCCAGAGTCAGACATGACTGGACTTAATGTCAGGGGACTACCTTTACCTTTTACAACTCTCTTTCTTTCTGAGAGTTGTAGTTCACCCACAACCAAAGAAACTGTGACCTCCGATGATGGACCTGGACCAAACTTGGCACACAGAACCCCCATGACTAACTCAACTTTCTAGAGGGGTTTGTGGGGACTGACTCATCATAGTGGGAGTTGTAGTTTACTTTGCAGCCAGAGAGCACATTGAACCACACCGATGATG